AATATCAAATAAGATAAATTTTCTTTTAGATAAAACAAATTATAAAAAATAAGTATTTAAATTAATTTATCCCTTACAATATTATCATGTCCAGATAAAAATAATAATAATAATAATAATAATAATAAGATGCATAATAAGTTGCCTAGAATAAAAATTGTTTTATCGTAGTTAAGAGAAATAGTACTCTATACTGATACTAAATAGTCTTTTTCTTGCATTTTCTTTTGCATATGCATCTTGGAATTTAAGTTTGCCATGTGATTTTGATCGATGAACCTTCCAACATCAATGATTGGTAATCTACAACAAATATAAAAGAATCAATTAGATAATTCATTATATTTTTTCCGCATAAGATAATGGTAGAAAAAATTAACATTATGTTGATAAAATAAAATGTAGAGATCAATAGGGAAAAAAATAAAAAACTAGAAAAAGAAAAAAGTTTTTTTTGAGAGATAATAGAAGAAAATCATATTGAAAAATTAAAAATAATTATATCGAGAAAAAATTATGGAGAATAAGAAAATATGAAAAAAGAAACCAGGGTAACAGTGAAAAAATGAAATAATTATTACAAGTTTTTCAAGAAATAAAAGTTTAAAGGGAGTTCTTTAAATTTAGAGAAAAAAGTTGGAAACTATGCAAATAAGGAAAAAATGAAGTAAACACTATATTATAGAAAAAATATACAAACAAAGTTCTAAAGAAAGGTTGCAAAATATATATAGAGAGATGGAAAAAAAAGATAAGTTTATTGAAAGAAATAATGAGAAAATTTTCTAGTGAAAATTTAAAACATTTGACATGGGTAGAAATATTTATCGAGATCATTATAAAAAATTAAGAGAATATTTTTAAAAGATACTTAAAATAACTCCAACACATTGACAACCGCCCAACGTGATACTCGGTAAAGAAAACATGGTGTAAAAGGATAATTTAGTTATAGGAAACAAATACACTATATTATAAGAAAAAAATGAACACGAACAAACTTCAAAAGAAATGTTGCAAAAGTTATATAGAGAGATAGAAAATAAAAATAAGTTTAAGAAAAGAAATAATGAGAAAAGTTAGGAGGAGACTTTAAAAGGTAAGACATAGATAGAATTATTTAGAGATATCATTATGAAAAATTAAGGGACTACTTTAAAAGATATAAACCTATGAATTAATAAAACCAAAAAGATGGATAACAAGTTATATTGGATTATTTCGAATATTAAAAATTATTCCCAGTGTACTTAAAATAACAAAACACATTGACACCAAAAATTACACAATTTTATTTATATCAATAATATATATATATATATATGTATATATATATATGTGTGTGTGTGTGTATATATACATATATATATATATATATATATTTACATCTATCACGCCATTGAAAATGTCATATAATCGTTGAATCGTTAAGTTCATATATATCTTAAATAACCCGCACAACGCGCGGGATAAACACTAGTATATATAAAAAAAAGTATTTGCAAAATGTTCCATTATTCGTTATTTTTGCAATCTAACGAGATTAATTTATCACTTTATAATTTTGCTGAGAGCAGATGATCCGTAATATCGTTGAAAACACACATATCCACTCACACACAAACAAACAATAACAAACGGAAAAAAGGAGAGCTGAAACTCATTTTACCAAGTTCCTTGCATAAATTTGAAAATAGGATTCCAATCAAAGACGAGCGAAGGAGTGGAGTTTAAAACTGTTTGCTCTTTCTTCCATGACTTGTTTTAATTTTTTTAAAAATATAATTAAAATTATGTTTATACGTGTGTATTAAGATTTATTTTGCTACTTGGACTCAAATTGTGTTTTCCATTTCATTTCTCTTAATTTGGGTTGGGCTTTGAGCCTAGAAAAATGTTTCAAAGTCATAGTTCCAATTATTTGTTTGGACCTAAACAATTTTATCCTTAATTTTATAAGAAGATTAATGCTAATAATGATGTAAAAAAATAAGAAGATTGAGTCACGTCTGGAGTAAGTGAGGAACCATTATTGATCCCTTTAATATATATATATATATATATATAAGAAAATTAATGCTAATAATGATTAAAAAATTAATTTATTCTATGAAGTATATATATAGGATCTAAAACTTTAAACTATCAAAGTTTTTCTCATATCATAACTTTCATAATACAACTATTCCTTTGCGCCCATAAAAAAGTATGGTGCCCTCATTCCAGATGTATATGTTCAAAAAACTATATTTAGTTGTTAAGATACAAATACTTTTTAATCTGTGGTGTTTTAGTTATAGTGAGAATGAGATTTACAATAATGAGCTAATTTCAACATTCTTAAAAATGACTAAAAATCTCAAAACAAAAACCCACGTTATAAACATTAGTTACAATAAAAATTCATTTCTTAATGATGTAATTATAGTCGACTCCCACTATATTTTCCGTCTAGATCCGCTATATTGCTTTCATGTAATTGTAACTTGTAAGGCCAATCACGTTCGTATTTTCCAATTTGTGGCAACTCAAGTTCTTTTTATGTGATACGTAACAATATCATACTCCTTCAATCCTAAAAACTAGTTATATTGAATTTGAGATTTATATATTTATAGTATTAAAAATTACAAATTTCAATATATACTAGCTTTTCTTAGAACCGAGGAATATTATATAATGTCCTAAAAAATAATTACAAATTACAAATTTCAATATATACTAGCTTTTTTAGAACCGAGGGAATATTATATAACGTCCTAAAATACAATTAATCTTGTGAAATTGTTCTTTCTATTTAGAGGGGGCAATAGAAAGCACTATTTGCTCTGAAATATGTGGTTCTTTACTAGTTTGACCAAGGAAAGGAAATATTTTTGCGTATTATTTTCGAGGCACATGTTTAACTGATGTTTACTTATTGGCAACACCCAGAAATTGTACCTTCCTTGCAATAAAGGAATGAAAGAATCTAATCGACTGAATTCCCATCACCAGAGGCAGTAAGATGACTAAACCATAACGTAGTTTGGGTTGTAATTTGATATTGTAGCTATAACATTCATTTTCTGATAAAAAAAGAAGTAAGAGTACTACTTTTGCTTAAGATACATAAAGGATAATATGGTCGCCTACGGAAAAATAGAAAAATTTGAATGAAATGAGGCAATTGAAGAACATGGGAGGGGATCGCTGGATTTTATTGCTGAAAACTCAACATTTTAATAGTTTAGAATGAGTACTTATTGCTGCAATTCAAACCTTGAGATATAAACTCAAATAGTTTAACTAACATGCAATTTAGGAAATTATTACATGAGTACTTATTGAGCGAGAGCCCAATTCTTACTGGGATTCAGGAAATTATTGCATTACTACTTAGACTAGGTAGTTTAATGGCGTCTTTTCATTTATGTCAACTGATTAAAGTAGGGGGGACGAAGTTCATGAAATCCATAATCTAACTTATAATATTGTATGTCATAATTGTAATCGACTAGGTACTTATTAATCAATACAGGTATTACTTTTCCAAAAAAAAAAAAAACACGAAACGTAAGTCGATGACCATTTTTTTTTAATAGAAAGCATCAAAACTAACATTTCCTTTAATATCAAAGTCAAGCACAAAGACTTCCAAGTTCCAAGTCAAGATCGATAGAAACAGATGACTAGAAGAATAGACTCTATCTCATATTAGGTTTTCTTTTGATCAACATATACCAACAAATCTTACAAAATTATTCAACAGTTCCGGACGTGCCTGCATTTGTGGGTGTTCGGGAGGAGCTATCACCGCTGTTAAACAAAGATTGAAATTTGGAAGGGTTCTCATTGGACTTTGTGATTGAGGACGGATGACTATGATTATGCACTAACTGGTAGGACATATTTTGGGACACCATCTCGCAGTAGTTGTTATGCACTCTATACTTTGTTATAATAAGTGGCCATGCATCATGTAATTCTAGAGAACAGTTACGGCCTTAAAGGTTATGCTGGGGGTTAGGTATATATAAATAATACTTGAGACTCTTGGAAGATGAGCTTTGGGCAATAATGAATTTTAGACTCCATTGCTGATTGACGTTTACTGGCTGATGATAATGATAGTCGGAATGTAAAAAAGGGCATTACTCAGAGATCACACTGTAAAGCGGCAACCACTGGTCAAGTCCTCTGAAAATTTTCAGGAAGTCTAAAAAAAGCAGCCAACAGCCATCGTGCGCGCTCATTGTCTCCTACCCCCATAGTTATTCCTCCATCATTTGCAACACTGCCCAAGCAGGAGTACCCATTGTGCCTTAAGTAATCGTCTGAAATATTACAAAGGCTGAGTTCTCGGTTTGATAATATCATCAACAAGGGGGAAACGCTACATCACCATGATCAATTTCTGGCTTTCATTAATCGGGAGCTCGAGACGCTGGTGCTACTCAAGCAGCATTATCCTAATTGGAAATTCAAAGTGGTTCCAACTTCCAAGGCACTAAGGTGAGCAGTTGGTCGCATGGGGCTAACTCTGGTGGAGAATAATCCTTATCACACCACGTAGAGTAGAGAAGGAAGAAGAGGAAAGATGAGTGAAGAGAATTGAGAGTTTTCATTTGCATTTTATGTTATGTTTTATGTAATCTTATCTTTTTTGTGTGAGGGTGAGTTTGAGTTTTAGGGATTTCTGAGATGTTTTATCTGCTTAGTTATTGTGGATATGAGATCTAAGTTTCTAAGAGTATGGATGTAAAATTTTGGTTACAAGAACTTATATTATATGAAATCCTTCCACCTAATCCAAAAAAAAAATAAAAAATAATAAATAATCTCAAGTTTCGCCTTGAAAGTTCCCCCTTCTTTTAATCATTTATTCACTTTTTGGCTTTTTTTTTTTGGAAAAGGAACTTTGCAAACTCCAATAAATATATATATATATATATATAGCGATATTATCTCTTAGAAGATAGTTTACAATTTTAATAAAAAATTTGAAATTCTTAAATATCTTTGCGAGTAGCTAATAATATACGTATCAACTGATATGTAGAACATTTAAACTTTTAATTATACTAAAACTTGTTTGCATTTTTTTTTTCAGAACCTTGACTTTATAAAGAGGTTTTAGAATTGTCCTTGAGATACATACCAACTGTAGAACCTTGGTAATATCCATATGTCTATAAGAACTGACAATGTTCTTCTATAATTAGGGCTGAGATATAAAGAGAGAACTAAAGTAGCTAACACAGTAATGAATGATGCCAAGAAGCTCCAAAAAAAGGTCACCATATCAATCTTATCATCATTGCCATGTTCAGTTGTACCAGTAATACTTCCACATTGTCTTTGGAAGAGTGATCCACAAAGATATGGATTTCCTTTATAATTGCTCTCATCGAAATTTGCAAACTCTCCAGTTTTTGGTGTGACGCCTGACAAATTGTTATATGACACGTTGAACATAGATAAGAAGTTCAGATCCGTGAGTTCATTAGGAATTTTACCGCTGAGATTGTTGTAAGAAAGATCTAAACTCTCCATAAACTTCAACATCGCGAGACTTGATCGAATAGAACCTTGCAAGTGATTGCATGACAAATTTATTGCCCGAATTCCAAAAAGATCACCCAACTCAGATGGTATTTCTCCTATCAGTTGATTGCATGACAAATCAAGTCCTGACATAAAATTCAGAATGTTGCCTACATAGACATTAGCTCTACTTTTTGTGGTGAACTCGACTATTTCTTGCGTCTCAGAAGCTACAAAATACTCTGTCCCGTATGATCCCATAATATCAATGATATCTTGGGGGAACAAAGTGTTGTTCAGAAATACATGCATCATTATTCCATAAGAAGAGTGATACGTATTCCATATGTCACAAGAGGGATCCAAGTTTACTCCAAAAGATAGATTGCTCAGGCATGAAGGTATTCGGCCTGAAAATTGATTATGAGAAAAGTCTATAATTCTTAATTCCTTCATATCACAAATGTGGACAGGAATCTGACCTTGAAAATTATTTCTCCCCAAAATGAGAAATCTGAGTTTTGTGAGTGCAATGATATCATATGGAATGCCACCAGACAAATTGTTACGTCCAAAATCAAGACTTCTTAGGTCATATGAATTTTTTAACAAAGCACTCGGCATTGAACCCGTGATTTGATTCCCTTGTAGGTGTAGGAATTTCAATTTATGAAGGCTTATGCATGGAGGTATGGATCCATTGAACAAATTTTCAGAGAGGTTTAAAAATTCGAGCAAACTTAGGCTGCATATGCTATCAGGTAGTCCACCTTCTAGTTGGTTCTGTGACAAGTCAAGAACCTGCAACCATGACAAGTTTCCAATCCAACTCGGAAATTCTCCTCGTAATTCATTATTCGACATTCCCAACCATTGTAGGTAAGGGCTCCAAGATAAATCATGTGAAATTCTTCCAAAAAAATGATTTCCATCCAAGCGAAGAACTCTCAAATGTGTTAAGTTCGCCAAAGTAGAAGGGAAATTGCCTCTCAAGTTATTATTAGATAAGTACAAATAAGTGAGGGAGACGCAGCCAGTTCCCATTTGATACGGTAATTGCCCAGAAAAATTATTATATGACAGATCGATAGAATGTATCACTTTCAAGTTACCAAATGATTGAGGTATACTTCCTTGGAAATCATTTCCTGACAAATTCAGGTATTCCAAAGTTTGAATAGACAAACCAATATCAGGAGGAATTTCACCACTAAGCTCATTTTCTGAGAAGTCGAACATCCGAGGATTTTGCAAATTTGGCGTGCCATCTGAAAAAAGTGAGCCTGTAAACGAGTTGTTTGCCACTTTAAGAACTTCTAAGTGGGTGTTGTTTAGTATCAGCCAATTTGGAAACTTTCCAACCAAATTATTGGTGCAAAGATCAAGAATTCTAAGTTCTTTTTGGTAGAACAAAAAATCAAGAACCGGTTGGGTCTCATGATGCAAATTGCATCGGGCTAAACGGAGAACTCTCAACTGAAAAGGAGGTGGTTGAACCAAGCCTCTGAAATCAACATATAATGCACTCCTTGAGGGTCCAAGTTCAAGGACCTCAAGTTTTGAATGGTTGGAAAATAGTCGTACCGGAAATGAACCTTCAAAATGGTTGCCATAAAGAGAGAGGTATTCAAGGAGTACGAGGCTGGTGATCGCAAGAGGGGATATGCTCCCACCAAATTCATTTTTTGAGATATCAAGAACCTTGAGAGAGGTTAAATTGCTTAGACATGGAGGAACATTCCCACTTAACTCATTACACGATAAGCGAAGTTCAACTAGATTCCTCATGCTACAAATTTCTGCATGTCCAAAAAATATACACATTTAAGATTATCTTCTAAGTTAGCAAACATGTTCTGATGTTAACTGTATCATATCGCGGAAAAATATACGATATAGAAGAAAAACAACCCGCGGAATAGTTAGTTACCTTCTGAAGGAAACAATCCCTTTAACCTATTTCCAAAAAGTGACAATTTTCTAAGGGGAGAAATCGCCTTAATGCAGTAAAATATTTCATTGCTGAAGTAGTTCGAATCCAAATTCAACAATTCGAGCTCCTTGAAATTATCCAATCCTTCACAATCTGTACATCATAGAAATCATACACAATTTGATATTTTGAGTTCAGTTAAGAGTTAAACAACAAATGTACAAAAGAATTTTATTGAATATAGACAATATTAACCGCCTACCAAATCCATTGTTTCCAAATTCATTATGACTCAAGTTCAAGACCTTGAGGTTCTTGAGAGGGACCAAACTGCTCAAGTTTAGGAACCATTTATAATCATAACTAGGATATAAATCATGAATATTCTGATCAAGAAAAGGAAGCTGGAGTTCAACAATACTTCCAATCGTATCACTACATTTGACCCCTTCCCAGTTGCAACAATTACCGACTGCATTCTGATTTATCCAAGAGGGAAGAACAAGATGAGGATATTTGGTCTCAGTTATGGAAGATTTGAAATAAAGGAGGGCATTTTTTTCTTCCAAAATGCAGCTTGAACAAAGCTGCATAATTGATAGAGAGATGAATATCAGAGCCCACAAGTGAAAGACTACATTAATATTCTGGTAGTACTTCATTATGTTTATTTATGTGTAATACTATATGGAAAAATTAATTTGATGAAATCCAAGCTCGGACTCTAAACGAATTTATAAAGGAAAGAGTGGAAAATTTCCGCATCAATATAGATGAAGTCTTCCACATTCTTGATTAATCTTGATGAAGGAAGACCCACTAAATCACAAGTTGAAGCTCGGGCATTAATTGTTTTTTCCTTTGGTCCATCGGTAATTAATGGGAAATTGTCAATTGAGCAGCCATTGTGACTATTTTGTGGTCATTATCTATTGAAAAAATCTCCACAAAATAATACTTGAAACAATGATAGAGATATAGTAGTGCTGTTTAACACAATAATTTTCATAGTGACTGATGAAGGATTATCAGAATTATTGAAATTCACATCCTTTTGAATTTTTTTTGATCAAATACTCTACTTTCCCTATCAGTGTAGGTTGATGTCAAGGGACCATATGCGCCACAATAAAGTCCAAATAACTGTTAAGCATTCGAAAATTGAAATCCTAACATGCTGTAATTGTTTTTTTTTTTTTTTTTCCATCCCTCTCAAACTAAAAATCATGTTAGTTGGATATCTTTACATTCTGTGATTCTCATATATTGCCATGCATTTTTTTTATATTTATTTTTTTGGTCTTTTGTATACAAGTCAAATATGAAGAGAAGAGCTGACTAAACTAGAAGATTAATTAATAGAGTCAAAGACTCCTGCAAGGCAAGTTAGACTTGAAACTTGATCATACATCTTTAATTATTGTGTCCAACGGCTAACAAGTAACAAATCACAATCACATTGAATAGTGTTCGCTATGGTATTTATTGTTTTTATCAATGGAATTTGAAATAAAACACCATTTTCGTGACAGAAAATTTCACATATTTTTGCAAGGGAATGGTATTTATTATAAAGACTAAACCCTCATATTGGTCCTACACATTTGCCCCAATTAACATTTTCGTCCCGTACATTAACATTTGAAGGGATTGGTCCCAAACATTTATGTCCGTAATTTTTTTGTCCCATTTTACTATTCCGGTACCTTTTCTGTTCGACTGCCACCGCAATCAGGGGTATTTTCGTCTTGTTTTTAATATCAACTTATATTAACTTAGAAATTTTTTTAATGATTAAAATTTTCAGTTTAAATTATTAAAATATTATTAAAAATTAAAAATTAAAAATTATTTTGAAAATTATTTGTCATTTTTTTCACTTTTGAACAAAGTTAATCTCTTTTACTATTCACCTTTTACCTTACGGCCCACTGTACCTCTGACCATTTATCGTTGCAGTAAATAATTCAAAATTCAAAATTTAAAAATAAAAATAAAAAATATTTTTCACCTAAAATTTTAACCCGCCTAAAAATATTTTAACCCCCTTAAAAATTTTAACCCGCCTAAAAATTTTAACATGCCTAAAAATATTTTTAACCCACCTAAAAATATTAACCAACTTAAAAATTTAACACGCCTAAAAATATTTTAACCCGCCTAAAAGTAATTTAACCCACCTAGGTGGGTTTAAATTTTAGGTGAAATTTTTTTTTTATTTTTTATATTTCAATTTTGAATTTTTAATTATTTACTGTAGTAATCAATAGTCAGAGTTACAGTGGATCATAAGGTAAAAGGTGAATAGTAACTTTGTTCAAAGGGTGAAAATAAATGACATAATTTTCAAAATATTTTTTAATTTTTAATTTTTAATAATATTTTAATAACTTAAACTGAATATTTTAATAATTAAAAAATTTCTAAGTTAATATAAATTGAGATTTAACAAAAGACGAAAACACCCCTGATTGTGGTGGCAACCAAACGGAAAAGGTACTTTAATAGTGAAATGGGACAAAAAAAAGTTACGGACATAAATATTTGGAACTAATCCCTTCAAATATTAATGTAAAGGACAAAAATGTTAATTAGGCCAAATGTGTGGACCAATTTGAGGTTACCATGTCTAGTCAAGATTGTATAAAAACTTAAGAAGAGGTTACCATGCATGTTGACACAGAAGAAGTCGATATACTCTTTCCGTCCTGAAATGATTGTCTAATTTGGAATTTCATTGTTAATGCACGTACTAAAAATAATAATTCAAATAGGATAATTATTTTGGGATTAAAAAAATATCATAATTGAAACTCATAAAAATGTGCTAACACAATTTTTTCATTTTTAGTGAAAAATTACAATAAAAGAAAGTTCTACATAAGTTGCCAAAGCAGGTTTTGATTTTATTTTATTTTTATCCCATAAGTGGAAGTGGAATTTTTTTCATTTGGGTACATAAATAGAAAACTTAGCTCTCTTCGACACCACTTGCATGGCTCCCGAAGATATAGCCCAGTGGATTTAAATTATCAGTATCTAAATTTCCTTTATTAATGAGAAGCACTATAGTGAATCACGTGTATAAGGGCAGAACAATTTCTCAAGACAGCCAGTCATATTGTGGCAACAATATGAATAATACGAAAACTACACAACGTGAAGTGCTTTAGTATCTATTCTTTCTATTCTTAAATATATGTCGCTTTAAGATTTATAATTTTTTTTTAAAAAATATACGTCATTTTAAGAAATTGAGACAATTGTTATCCTATTTTTCTAATATTACCCTTACATTATAAAATGAAATGATATTTAAAATAAAATTGATTTGATTGATGTTGAGTTGTATGGATAATAAATAAAGATAATTTTGTAATTTAAACACATTTTTAATGTTCTATCTATATACTATACTAAAGCAAAAACCAGAAAGAGGAATCTAAAGTCAAGGAGCACATGCCACGTTGGATTTTATCCTAGGTGGCATTTTCTCAATTTTCTAGATATAAAAATGCACAAAACAAAACAATAAAAACCAAAAAAAAAAAAAAACGCAACTGAAAAAATCCAAACCCTATATTGATTCGACAAAATCCTTGCAAATCCGATGGACGGATCTCTTCTTCCTAAAAAAACGCAACTGAAAAAGAATTTTATATTAATAATTTATTAAAATAATTAAAGAAGTTAGGCCAACCTGAAACTTCTATAATTTAGCTTCAAATATGGAATTGAGTTAAAATACTATGGTGATGGGTTGATGTAGCGGGGTTAAGAATAACTCTGGCAAAAAATAAAAATATTAAAAGGCTTCAACTATAGCTATTCTTTCTTCTTCTTTTTTAACGTTTTTAAATCCAAATTTTTAGTTTATCTTTCTTGAACCTAAATGGCAAAAACCAGAGAGAGGAATCTAAAATCAAGGATCATATGCCACATAGAATTTTATCCTATGTGACATTTTTTTAATTTTCTAGATATAAAAATGCACAAAACAAAACAATAAAAACCAAAAAAAAAAAAAAAGTAACTGAAAAAATCCAAACTCTATATTGATTCGACTAAATCCCTGCAAATCCGATGGACGGATCTCTTCCTCCTGAAAAAAACGCAATTGAAAAGAATTTTATATTAATAATTTATTAAAATAATTAAAGAAGTTAGGCCAACCTGAAACTTCTGTAATGTAGCATCAAATATGGAATTGAATTAAAATACTTTGGTGATGGGTTGATGTAGCGGGGCTAAGAATGGCTCTGGCAAAGAATAAAAATATTAAAAGGCTTCAATTATGGCTATTCTTTCTTCTTCTTTTTTAACGTTTTGAAATCCAAATTTTTAGTTTATCTTCCTTGAACCTAAATGGCAAAATGTACATACATTAGAAATAAATATACTAATTTATACATGAATCAACTACTACTCGCTAAGTAATGAGGTCTCAACACTCGGGATCTCACAAAAATGCTCTAAAGATGGATAGAAAGCAAAATAGTTGAGAACCTGTTTGTTTTGTCATGCAGAAACGGAATTAAGAAACGGCTTTGAATACTGACGAAATGGTTCTTCTTGAATGCTGATGAAATCATGATCCTAATGCTGCTATTTGTTTTGAAATCTAGAATAGTTTGATTGTTACCTCTGTTTAGCTAATCTTGGTAATGAATTTCAAGTTCAGGTTGTGCTCATCATTCCATTGAAAATTTATATAGATTTCTGATGCACACTACATTCCAACAATAGTACAGTGCTCATCATCACTCCGAGACAAGGAATAAAGGTCCTGATATCCAACCTTTTTTTATTTTTTTATTAAAAAATTAGATGGACTCTACAACAAGTTAGGGTTGTTGTTTCTGTAGCAACCATTCCTTATCAGAAACCTTTTCAAAAAAAAATAAAATTTTCTTATCATAATCTCTTAACCACCCTAGCCAACCTTTCCACCCCAGACTACTAATGTAGTTTACCAAGAAATATTGCAAGATATATAATTATTTAATTCAAAGTTTTTTTTTTAATTTCTTAACAATCTCTTTTGTGTTAAATAAATTACCAGTGTATTCGTTTGGTAAAGTATTGTAGATGTTTGTGTTTTATATTTTTCAATGAATTCATTATATATTTTATAAAAATACAAAAATATATACAAATATTAACATTTTTTTGATTTGTTTGTGTAGTAATGTCTATGTACATGTGCTCCCCGTCCATCGGACGGGTCTAACACCTATTTAATATTGATAAAATTGTCAGAAAGAAATATATTTTGAAATGTGGAGAATAATTTATAATATCACAAGAGTATATAACCCTAGCCAAGGATTCATAAATTCTTTAATCAACGGGAATGTCTACGAGATTCATACCAGTGGTAGAATCTTATTAGAATCCATATATCTATAAGAACAGACAATGTTGCTCGATAATTGGGGCTAAGATATAAAGTGATTGCTAAAGTTGCTAAAACAGTAATAAATGATGAAAAAAAGCTCCAAAAAAATGCCACCATGTCAATCCCATCATTATTCTCTTCACCACCAATAGAACTCAAAGGATATTCTTTTGTGTTTGAACCGCTTTCACATCGTCTTTGGAAAAGTAATCCACAAAGATTCGGGTTTCCTCTATAGTTACACTCATCAAAGTTTGCGAACTGTCCAGTTTCTGGTGTTTTGCCTGACAAATTGTTGTAAGATACATTGAAAATGGACAAGAAATTCAGATTTGCAAGTTCATTAGGTACTTGACCAATGAGACTGTTGAATGAAAGGTCTAAACTCTCTATAAACTTGAGCATAGAGAGGCTTGACGGAATAGACCCTTGCAAGTGATTGTGGGACAAGTTAATTGCTCGAATTTCGGATAGATCACCCAACTGAGATGGTATTTCTCCGGTTAATTGATTGCATGACAAATCAAGTCCAGACATATAATTTAAGATGTTGCCTGTGTAGGCATTGTCCATACTTTTTGATGTGAACTCCACTGTTTCTAGCACTTGAAAAATCACAAAATATTGTGTCCCATATGATCCCATAATATCAATCATATCTTGGGGGAACAAAGTGTTGTTCATATATATATGCACCTCCGTTCCATAGGATTGTTTATGAGTATTCCAAGTTTCATCAAAAGGATCAAAATTGACTCCAAAAGAGATATTACTTAGGCATGAAGGGATTTGGCCTGAAAATTTATTTCGCGAAAGATCCAAAATCTTTAATTCCTTGAGATGGCATATGTAAGTAGGAATCTCACCTTGAAGATTGTTTCCTCCCAAGAGAAGAAATCTAAGTTGGCCAAGTGTCCTAACACTGTATGGAATGGCGCCGGCTAAGCGATTGCGCCTAAAATCTATACTTCTCAAGTCACGCGAATTTTCTATCAAAGTGTCGGGTATTAAACCTGTGATTTGATTCCCTTGCAAATGGAGGAACTTCAATGAACTGAAACTGTTGCACGGGGGAATAGATCCATTGAGCGAATTTTCAGAGAGGTTTAAAAATTCAAGAGACCTCAGCCTGCAGATATCATCAGGTATATTATCTTCTAGTCGGTTATGTGATAGGTCAAGAACCTGTAACCATGACAAACTTCCAATCCAACTTGGAATATCCCCTTGAAATCCATTGCTCGACATATCCAACCATTGAAGGTAAGGGCTGTTAAATGAAACAGGCGGAATGCTTCCAGAAAAATGGTTGTCATTCAAGCGAAGAACTCTCAGATGAATTAAGTTAGCCAAACTTGACGGAAAATAGCCTCGCAAGCTATTATTTGATAAATACAAATAAGTAAGAGAGACGCACCCGATTCCAATTTGATTTGGCACTTCCCCTGAAAAATTATTGTTTGACAAACCTATAGAATGTATCTCTTTCAAGTCGCCAATGGATTCCGGTATGCTTCCTTGGAAATCATTTTTTGACAAATTCAAGTACTTCAAAGTTGGGAAGAATGAGCCAATATCCCGAGGGATTTCACCCTTAATTTCATTATATGCGACGTCTAACATCCGGAGATTTTGCATTTTTGTTGTAATACCAGACAAAAATGAGCCCGTGAAAGAGTTATTCGCGGCTTTAAAAACTTCTATGCGGGTGTTGTTTTCAAGTATCCAATTTGGAAACTTTCCAAATAAATCATTGGAACAGAGATCCAGGATTCTAAGTTCTTTCTGGTAGAACAAAAAATCGAGGAGCATTCGAGTCTGGTTGTGCAAGTTGCATCGAGCCAAACGAAGAGCTCTTAATTGAAAAGGAGGTGGTAGAGCAAGACCTCTAAAATCAACATATAAAGCACTTCTTGAGGGGCCTAGTTCAAGTACCTCAAGTTTTGAATGGTTGGAAAGAAGTCTTAAAGGGAATGAGCCTTCAAAATAGTTGCCATAAAGAGAAAGGTACTCAAGGTTTCTGAGGTTCATGATGATCACTAGAGGGGTTACTATGCTCCCACTAAAATTATTCTTCGAGATATCAAGAACTTTGAGAGACCTCAAATTGCTTAGACATAGCGGAATATTGCCACTTAACTCATTCCACCACAAGTGCAGTTCAACGAGATTTTTGATGTCACATATTTCTGCATTTAATTCCCATAAACAGGATTCAGTCAAGGCAAAGATTTTTGTAAGTCAAAATATATATAGTACTCCCAAAAACAGATTCTCTGAGTTAACGAAATATATTTTATACTATCTCTGTTCCTAAAAAATAATTTACATTGATTTTTGAAATTTGTACTAAAATCAATATGAAACTCAAAACTCAGTATGAACTATATTTTTTTATTTTTTATTTTTTTAGGACAGAAGGAGTATCAAGAACAAATCAGCAACTACGTATGTTTATTGACTACGTAAAAGAAACTGTACTAATCTAATGAAGTTTTTAATCGGGAACTAAGAAATTACCTTTTAAAGGAGACAATCCTTTCAGCTCATTTCCGGAAAGTGACAATCTTTGAAGGGAAGAAATGGCCTTTATGCAATGAAGAATTCCATTGTCGAAGTAGTTCCAATCCAGATTCAAGTGATTGAGGTCTTTGAAGCTACCCATTCCTTCGCAATCTGAATATCAATGAAATGAAACGAAAATACTGTTTATATGGCCCGACAGTTTTCTTGCATATCCAATTCTTCGAAAATAATTAAAGAGCCTATAGACGGATAAGTATATTTATTTTTTAAAGAAATCTTTTACGTCCCTTTCGTTGGTGAAGGTTTCTAGTAAATAAGAGAATGTAAAATAATTGAAGTTTTTACTTTTATTTTTTCTTTTTCAGAAGGAAGGAAGGAAATAAAGGGAAGTAGAGAGAGACTGGAGAATGCCATACCAAAACCATTTTTTCCAAATTCATTATGGCTTAAGTTCAAAACTTGGAGGTTCTTGAGAGGCAAGAAACTGCTCAAGTTCAGGAACCATTTACACTCATATTCATAGTGCAAGTTATGAATGTGCTGATCAAGAAAAGGAAGTTGGAGTTCAACAATTCTTCCAGTTGCATTACTACATTTGACCCCTTCCCAATTGCAACAATCTCCAACTTGAAGTTGCTGATGATGATCAATCCAAGAAGGAAGAACAAGATGAAGATATTTGGTCTCATTGATGGAAGCTTTGAAATCCAAGAGAGCCCTTTTTTCTTCCAAAATGCAACTTGAACAAATCTGCACAATTGAGAGCAACATGATATAGTGACAATACTTCATAGTTAATTTTCTTCGGATGTGTGATATTGCAGTACTGTATCAGAACAGTTTATAAAACATATCTATAAGTAAAGAAGAAATTTCTTCTTTTTTTTTTTCAAACCAAAAAAAAAAAAAAATCCAATAATTGGATGAGTCAATGCCTTGCCCACTCGTTCATGCAAAACCTTTCATCTTAATAAATAATACTAGTAGTTGGCATAATGTGCATAGGAAGTTGATGTGTGTGTGTGTGTGTAATTGTTTATGTGGATGTCAAATTGTCAATAGGACTCATTCATCGTCAAAATTTTGCAACTATCACATTTACTCAAGATCTCTTATTGAAAATTCATACCTTCCAAGCATACAAATTGAAGTTCATTTCGTTTCAATCAATTGCCTTTTTCTTTCTAATCGTTCCTACGCGCAGAGTCATTTAACTAGATGTTTTGGAAGTCATGATGGATTTTTTTTCTATGAATTTTCTCGACAAATTAACAGTACGTACTATATTTGCCATAGATTTATCATCAAATTTCAAAATGTGTAATCTTATTATTATTATTGTGAATTTTAAAATGAGATGGAAAAACTACAACATACGTGGCAGTGATTGATGCCAGAAATTGTATATTTATTCTCTGTAGAATTAGTCAAAATGACGACTATACTAGAAGAATATTAGAGTCATATATGTTTAGCCTTCAATTGTTCTTCACCGCGAGTTTGTCTTTGACGAAAAAGTATTCCTGTTCCACATACAGTGTTTATATATAGTGACCAAAATTGACTCCATTTTTTTTCTTATTAGTAGTTATTCCTTGCTCACAATTTTTGGTACTTTTTCTGTGTTTTTTTTATATATATATATTTTCAAATTGACAGTTGAAGACAGAATATTACTCCCTCCGTCCCATAATTATTGTCCAGTTTAGATTTTCATCTACAGTTCAAATTGCACTAAAAGTGAAATTTCAAATATGATAATAATTTTGGGATAAAGGGAGTACAAATAATGAAAACATAATTGAAAAAAACATTGAGACCATGCCAACCATCGCACTGAAAGTTAAATCAGAATCCATGATCATTCAAGCATTATAGTCAGTAGCTTCTTATCACATGAGTGCCCATTTTTACAATTCTAATGTACACTTAATTTCTTTATCTTTTAGACGATATATATTTCTTCCGACTATTTTCAATAACCTAAAAAAAAAAAACTCAAATTCAAAAGGCTACACATTGTCGACCAACCAAGCAAATTTTTATTTATATTTATGGTTTTTGGAAGTCGTATTAGTTATAGCCTATTAACATTTTATTTTAGTTTATGTTTTGTATAATTTATGGTTTTAGGGACAGAAGGAGTACTAAAATATGAAAAATTTTCAAACAGTAAAAAATTATTATTATCACAAAAATTATCTTTGAAGAATGTGTTGCGTTGGTCCGATTACCTCCGAAAGGAAATGTAAATATGGTATTGCGACCTATCTATATTATGGTGTTATTAGCCAAAAGGTTTTCTTCTACTGTTTTGCCCTTTAGGAAATTTATTTTCAGTGTCAAAACTAGCTTAGTTGAATTATCAATTACCAATTCTTCCAGATTTATTATTACACAAGCCAAGTGACACGTTTCCAGTTGCAACAATTACGTACTTTGATGATGATGGTAGTGATGATCATTAGTTGTCCCAGAGGGAATTAGAACAGCGTCCGCGTATCTGGTCCCGCACATGGAAGCTTTGAAATCCAAGAATGCTATTTTTATTTTTTATTTTTTACTTCAAAGATCCATGCGGAATTGAACAAATCTGTATTATGAATATTTGAACCCACAAGATCATAGGCAACGCCTTCGACTAATTATTTTGGTAGTTCTTCTTCATCTTTTTTCCTATGGTTATAGTTTCTGGTGTGTATGGTAAAACTTTCGACAAGCATATGATAATATATTTGTTGTATATATAATTTAGCCGGAAATGGAAACTTATAAAATTCTCTTCGCTCTAAAAAAAAGTTAATATAATTCACTTTGTTGAATTAAAACCGTACAACGAAATAGATTACGAGTTTTCCATATAATAGAGAAGGTATGAAAATTCTCATAGTCATCAAAGTTTGCGGAAATTAAGGGAGGCCAGTGACATGTTCAAGAGGGGAACAAACTAAGCTTGGAAATCAAGATTGGACTCTAGGCGCGTTATGCTTCTGTTGTTATATATTATGCACCTGGTATTTGAAATTATTATTCTGAGTTATCCGAATTCGAGTAAAATATGTCTTTTTTAAAAAATAATATTCTCCTAACAAATATTTTAATGACTATCAAATATCGATATCCGAAGTCAAACCTAGGTCATAGTTAAAATGCGATGACTCCTTTATTTCAAATGTAACAAAGACCCTTTAGAGACTTCCAAGTCAAAATTACAGCAATATCAGAGACTCGTTATTGGAAAGTTAAGCCAAAATGTGATGTCCTAGTATATCCAGAAACATTTTGATTATTTAAAATTACGTTAATTTTGTTTGTTATTTATATGTGATTTTTTATTAATTATTTTTCCAAGTAGATAAAATAAAATTCAAATTCAAATTAATAAAAAGTTCATAGAAAATTATCGTTACATCTGTTTCTTGATGTTCCTTAATGATATGCTTCACAGGTTTAGAGTTTCCTTGTACTTCAATGTTCCTTAATCTTTTCCAGATATGAATCCAGTGTATACTACTTATAATCTCTCCTTTGTTTCATTGTTTAAAAAACTTCCAGATGTGTATCAAATGTCTCTTCCATTATCTCAATTGCATAGGCATCCTAAGTTCTTTTGTGTTTCCGACCATTAATTAATTAATTGCACCAAAAGCTTGCATCTATAGCCTAATCAGTTAACTGTGAGTTCTTTTAAATTTTTCTTTTTTTGGTATGAATAATTAGGAGTTCAAAGTCTCTATATCGGCTAAATAAACCAATTATGTCGTTTTTCAACCACATATCCACTAACTAAATTTTTATCAGTTATATTATGCTGGTATTTTTCTCGAGTCGATTCCAGATTTAACTCTCACTTATTGAAAACGTAACTTCGAGTGCTAACTGGAATCCTGTCTTAGCATTGAATTCTTAGAACGGGAAGGCTAGACAAACTTATAATGGAGTGTGTAAAGGATGGTGGAAATTAAGCATGTGCTGCAAAATTAGATTTTCAGTATCCAGATTACCTTAATTTTCAATTGCTTAGGCTGAAAATTTCCCAAGAAAGCTTCTAGGCATATTGTTGCAACAATCAAAATATTGAAAAGGAAAAATGCAAAGAGTGAAGTTTATTATATCAACATTGACCATAAAGGATTCCAAAATTCCTTAATCATCGATCTCTAACGCGATTTGTACCAGCGAGGTTCATATCGGCGGTAGAATCTTGGCAAAATCCATGCATCTATAAGACTAGACAATGTTCTTCGATACTGAGGACTAAGATATAAAGAGAGACTTAAAGTTGCTAAAGCAGCAACAAATGATATAGCAAAGCTCCAAGATAATGCTACCATATCAATCTCCTCATCATTTTCATCACCACCATCAGTGTACAAGGAATGATCATTTGTACCTCCATTACTTTGACAATGTCTTTGGAAAAGTGATCCACAGAGATTTGGGTTTCCTCTGTAACAGCTCTCATCAAAGTTTGCAAACTGACCAGTTGCTGGTGTTTTACCTGTCAAATTGTTATATGACACGTTGAAAGTGGACAAGAAGGTCAGACCTACGAGTTCACGAGGTATCTGGCCGCTGAGTTTGTTGTATGAAAGGTCCAAACTCTCTATAAGTTTCAACATGGAGAGGTTTGAGGGAATTGATCCTTGCAAGTGATTGTGGGACAAATTCATTGCCCGAGTTTTGTTTAGATCACCCAATTCAGGTGGTATTTCTCCTGTTAATTGGTTGCAAGACAAATCTATACCAGACATGTAATTCAGAATGCTTCCTGAATAGGCATTAACTCTACTTTTAGTTGTGAAATCCACTACCTCTTGGAACTTAAGTGGAACATAAAACTCTGGGGCATACGTTTCCAAAATATCGATGAGACCTTTCATTGAAATTTTAGAACTTTTTGTTATAACTATATTATCATATGATCTATAAACATCCCATATGTGATCCAAAACCTCAAAAATTACTCCAGATGAGATGTTATTTAGGCATGAAGGAATTTGCCCTGAAAAAGTATTATGAGAAAAATCTAAGATCATTAGTTCCTTCAGTTGACATATGTATATAGGAATCTGGCCTTGAAGATTGTTACCACCCAAGAGCAAAACCTTAAGTTGTGAAAGTGCCATAATATCATGAGGAACACCACCAGACAAACGGTTATGCCTGAAATCAATAGCCCTTAGATCAAATGAATTTCTTAAAATGGAATGTGGTATTAACCCTGTTATTTGATTTCCTTGTAGGTGAATGAACCTCAATTTATACAGACTTGTGCATGAAGGTATAGATCCATTTAACTGATTTGCCGAGAGGTCTAAGAAGTTAAGAGAACTTAGCTTGCATATATCGTTTGGTATGCTTCCTGCAAGCTGGTTTTGTGATAGGTCAAGGATCTGCATTGATGACAAGTTTCCTATCCAGCTTGGAATTTGTCCTTGAAATTCATTTCTTGATAAATCCAAGTATCTTAGTTCAAAATTCCGGGATAACTGATTTGAGATGCTTCCAGAAAATTTATTGTTATCCAAGCAAAGAACTTGCAAACGACTCAAGTTTGCTGAACCCGAAGGGAAATTGCCTCGCAAGTTATTATGGGACAAGTACAAATAAGACAGGGAGGGACAACCGGTTCCAATACGATCTGGCACTTCTCTGGAAAAATTGTTGTGTGAAAGATCAATAGCATATGCCACGTCCAAGTAGCCTGGAGATTCAGGTATACTTCCTTGAAAATAATTTCTTGACAAATTCAAGAACTTCAGATTTGGGAAGAACAAACCCATATTCCGAGGTACTTGACCAACAAACTCATTATTTGAGATGTCTAACACCTCGAGATGTTGAAGTCTTTGTGTGATGTTTGAGGGAAATTTGCCTGTAAATGAGTTATTCCTCAATAAAATAATTTCTAAGCGGGTGTTGTTTTCTAGCAGCCAAATTGGAATCTCCCCGACTATATTATTATGAGAAAGATAAACTTGTCTAAGTTCTTTCTGGTAAAACAAAAATTTAAGAATCTCATTGTTCAAGTTGCATCCGGGCAAGACAAGATGTGTTAGTTGAAAAGGAGGTGGTAGAGCCAAACTTCCAAAATCCACATGCAACCCACTAATTGAAGGTCCAAGTGTAAGTTTCTGAAGCTTTGAATGATTGGAAAAAAGACTCAATGGAAGTGAACCCTCAAACGGATTGAGAAAAAGTTGGAGGGATTCAAGGTTTACAAGACTAGTGATCACAGAAGGGGGTATCCTCCCACTTAAGTTATTGTACCCCAAACCAAGATACTTAAGAGACGTTAAGTTGCTGAGACATGGCGGGATATTCCCACCGAAAAAATTATATTCCAAATGAAGTTCAACAAGATTCTTCATGTTACAAACTCCTCCTGCCCATAAACCAATCCGAAAATCTCTATCAAAAAATACATTAGCAAGTGACCATTTTTTGTTATCAAGAAATTGCTTCATATATACAATGAAGTATGTATTTGGAGATTTTTTAAAATGGCCCTGTCGTTCCCAATACAAAGAAATCATAAGGACAGATGAGCTGAGTGTTTGCACAATAATTTACCTTTAGAAGACATGAGTGAACCTGAAAACCGATTGATACTTAAGTCAAGACCCTCCAATTTCTTCATACCACTAATTTCTGCATAATACATACTATCATGAGTTTTTAAAATTTATAGTATTTTAAGCATAAAACTCAAGATTAAATGTAGACTATTTTTCTGAAATAGAACTATAAATATATCTTATCATTGTTAATATACAGAAACTATACCAATCTTTAAGAACATATGACTAAGAGAGGGGAAAGCGGGAAAAACATACCTTCTGAAGGAAACGAACCCACTAATCCATTTCTTCCAAGGCTCAATCTTTTAATGGAAGAAATTCCCCTTACACATTGAAGTATTCTGTTGCCAAGGTAGTTCCAACCCAATTCCAAGGATTCAAGATTTTTTAGATTAGCCAATTCTTCGCAATCTGAATGTCACCAAACAGTACTTGATTATGTAATTAGCCAAACAGCCAGCCACCTTTCCTTTTCCCAAATATAATCATAAACAAGTTCAGTGAAACTCTCAAAATTTTGAGAGCCATATTTAAAGTATCGAGAGAAAGGAACATATAATAACCCACCCCCCAAAAAAAAAAAAAAAAACCACTATGAAAATGAGATGGAGAAATATCTATAATTTACTGAAATAAGGAAAGGTAACCCACCAAATCTATTTTTGCCAAAGTTATTGTAACTCAAGTCCAAAACTTGGAGGTTGTTGAGAGGGAGGAAACTGCTCAAGTTGAGAAACCATTTATACTCATAATCATAGCGCAAATTATGAATATGTTCTTCAAGAAAGGAAAGATGGAGTTCAGCAATTCGCCGAGTAGTATTGCTACATATCACCCCTTCCCAGTTGCAACAATCACCGACTTCATTCTGATCAATCCAAGACGGAAGAAGAAGGTGAGGATATTTGGTCTCATTCATGGAAGATTTGAAATCCAAGAGGGCCTTTTTTTCTTCCAAGATGCAGCTTGAACAAATCTTTACATTTGAGAGAGCTATGAGTATTTGAGCCCACAAGAAAATAAGCAAGAACTTATGGTAGTATTTCATATTTTTTTCTAGTTATAATTTCTGAGTATCGATAGTAAACTCTCGACAGACGTATACTAATATTGAAATATTTAAGCAAGAAATACATTTATATATAGGGAGAGATTAAAGAATACCTTCTAAACTTGTAGAATTGAGGATAAAATGAACAGAAGGGGACAAATGAAGAAGACTTGGAAGTCAAGATGGGAGAAAGACGTATGAATTTTCCATGCATTGACGTCCCTGTAACTAAAGGGACTTGCACTCTCCTGTGCATCATTTAAATTTGATCATTTCTAAGCGCATTGTCAACAAAAATCAATTCCAAACAATAGGCAAGACCTTTCTGTGCTTCTGATTTCGATCATGGTTTGATTAACATTGCGTTTCATAATGAACACACGTTCCAAAGATACTATCTTTTATCACTTATCAGTTAAGTGTGCATGTAGTATATTTCCCTTCTTTGTTATACGTTCTAGATTAAGATAGTTCTATTTCCAAAAATATATATGTTAGACAAAAAATAATAGTTTCTTTGATTTAGTACATAATGGAAGTCAATTATTAATGTTTTTTTTTTCTTTCAAGAAAGTAAAATTGAATTGTCCTATATCAAGAAGAATCAAACTTTTGATCCCGTGGTAATACTAATTTCGTTTCTGAATAACGAATATCATGACCCGTAACAAAGCCGTGGTTTGATTATTGCGATTTCTACTTTCCAGAGTCAAGATGTAGACAAGACGGCAACCAGAAGTCGTTAAAACTCGAAAATTTGTAGTATTTCATTTCATTCCACAATACCAAAGAAGCTCCAAACAAAGCGAAATAAAACACAGTTTCCAAATCGATCAATTCCACCATCATTTCCTTCACCACCATACAAATTAAAAGGTGATGATGACCTACACTTGCAATAATGCTTTCGCATTCGTGGTCCACAAAGATTTGTTAACTTAATTAATTATTTTCGTGGATGTCAAGAATAAGAAGAAAATAACTTAATTATACTGATTAATATATATGAACCACGCATGATGGATATATGTCCATAAACTAACCATTTATGTATATATCTGTATAATTTGATGTGGATTGCCATCGACTAACTTACTCTCTTGACATCGTGTAGGGAAATTCTGCTCTCTCTCTTTTTTTTTTTTAAAAAAAAAAACTAACGAATCAATTTGTTGAATGGCCTCTTTCATTATTATTCCCAAAAAAATGCGTTAATATTTGTTGATGGTGATTTGCAGACAGCTTAGTTAAATTTGATTTCTCGGTCAAAGTACTAATGAAATAGTTACTATATTACTATCATAAGATTTTAAGTCAGAATTAGTTCATTTACAACGTAAATCTTCACAATTTTTTATTTATAAATAGAATCGAAAAATATTTATAGTAATTTCTGTGCGAACGTGGATGGACTAACTGATATAATATTAATTCATTTCAATTACTTGGAGTTGGAACCATTTACTAGCAACATCCCAGTAGTGTGTGACGTTGATTTCCTATTGTGAATTTTGGAGGTTAAAGCAATATTGAATTAGGTATTCACTCATTATCTTTCAATTAGCTCGTTCATTAAATAATTATGCCGTGTTTCATTTAACTAGTTGCATTATACACAACCGACAATTTAAGTAGTATAACTCTCTCTCTCTCTCTCTCTCTCTCTCTCTCTCTCTCTCTCTCTCTCTCTTCTTATCCTATCTATAGTTCACATAATAAATTATGAATTTACTGAATGTAGTAGTACAATTTACAATTTATAATTATATAATATCAACTATTTTTATGAAATAGATAGCATTAATTAATGTGTACTTCCATAGCAGCTTCTAGTGTTTCTTAACTACTATTACCAGTAAATATCATTTAAATCCAAAATAAAAAATGAAAATAAACGTGTTGGAGTTCAGGATATCAGGACGGAGAGTATTACCCACCACCAAAACAATGGAGACTGATCGACTAAATGACTTAATGTTTCTCTAGATAATTGTATTGCTTGCAATCAATCTTTCACACTCAGTTCTGAGTGGTGAAAATAAATTAGGGCTTTTCCACTTTAATTTAATTACTCGGAGATCAACCTGATTGGTACTACTCATGAAATCAGTTAGCCCATTGCCAATCTCGTGGCCTCTTATATTTAAATTATAAAGGAAGCCAATTATTAGTAGTCGGCAAGCTAATTAATTTCATATTTTTCTCATGCATATTAATTAATCGTATGAAACTTACTAGTAGTAGTTTGCAAGTTCATTGATGATGATCTTTATCCAAACTGGCCTTTGTGAAATTTAAATTAAAGATCAGTAGAAAAGCCTCTCTATAAATTCAGCCAAGTTTCGTGCTATTTTTCTTGCGTAAAAGCATCAACATTATTCATTTCAAGTTACCATCTTTCTATCAATCGTATCCATCAAGGGAAGAGTAATGGCTAAGAGCGGAGTTTCAGTCAAGTTCATTCATGCCATTCTTGTTCTTTGCATCTTAGCAGTCTGTAAGCAAGCTAGCCCCTCTTATAATTATATTGTTTGTTAAATTAAATAATTAATTAGTTTTAAAAATGTAACCCAAATAAACATCCAGCTGATCAAGGTTTCATTATTGGCTCTGTTTAATTTTATTTTATTATAATTTACACTCCCTCTGTCTTTAAAAAAAAAGTAGTTGAGATTGAGTTTTGAGATCCGTAGTAGTACTAAAAACAATACCAATCTTCTAACTCAATACGTAGACTTCGGAGGAAGTATTTATTTGTTTTCGGGTACGAAGTAGTTACGTTGCTGGCGATTTTATTTAATTATGTCTCTGTATCATTTGATATGTTTATGTAATGCGCTCTCCCTGGAATTTGCAGGTTTGGGAATGGCTCCAGAGACAGAAGCAACCCGACCAACTCCGAGGAAGCTCCAGTCCATAAATGAGTTTGATCATGTGTTGCATTATCTCAACTGCATTCTTACCGGTCCACTTTGCTAGAGGAACTGATGATAATCAAATGGACTGATGTTATTGATGGTGTTTCTGTTTCTGTTGAATTTATGATTTTCATCACCTTATTAAATTTGCAAAACAATATTGTGATGCAATTTAATTGCGGTGATTGTTTGCGCTTTTGATTTTGTGCACTTTGTTCGTGATGATGTGGGAAGTCTTGTACTCCCTCCGTTCCAAAATAAGTGTCATTCTTAAATTTGCACATAGTTTAAGAAAACATTAAATAAGGTAACTAAATTACTAGAATATCCTCAACCAACCCCATTAAAATAAATTTTCACCAATAATATTATTTCTTTTGAGGGTATGTTTGGAATTTTTTGACAAAAAATGCATTGAAATCCGAAAACGACACTTATTTTGAAATTTCTCCATTTTGCCAAAACAACACTTATTTTGGAATGAAGGGAGTACCTTTCTCTTCGTTTTCATAAATAAAATAAATGTCCATTTGTTCGTGTCACTAGAGTTGTGACTCTTCTTTTTCTTTTTCTTTTTCTTCTTACGACTAATTATAAGTATCTCGCTCTCATTCATCTTATGCTAAAAGAGTAAAACTAAAGTCATTTCAAAACTAGTAAATAGGAGATCATCTGGATCTTAATTTAATTTCTAACGTATGAATTGAGTTATTATAAGAGATTAAATCAGGTGATCGTTTGGAATGAGGGCCAGAATTCATATGGACACTATTGCTTCAAAAACTTTGAAGCTCGATAAATTTGAAATATGAATGTTTTTTTTTTAAAAGTTGAAATAAAATATGAATGTTAAATTTAAGGACCCGGAAGTTTTTCTTTACCCATTGTATAGGAACCGTACCGATCTAGATGTACCAGGAGGCCGCTTTTTCCTAAACTAATTGAGTTTTTTCCGGTTACATTATACTGGTATGTTTCTCGAGTGAATCCATATTTAAATCTCACCTATTAAAATTAATCTTTGAGTGCTAACTGGAATCTGTCTTAGCTTTGAATTCTTAAAACAAGAAGCTAGACAAACTTATAGCGGACAGTGTATTGAAGCTCTGTTTGATAAAAAGAAATCAATGTTTAATTCTGAATGTTTAATGCTGAGTTCGAATTACTGAATTCATTAAACAATTATGAAATACTCTCTCCGATTCTTAATATAAAGTATTTTAATTTGTTCTATGTTTCACCTAGTACGTATTTTTAATTGACAAAAAAGACCTTAAAACATTTCGTAATGATTAAATAAACATAATGAATGTGAAAATATATGTTTTTAAGATTTTTCTTTTATTAAAAATGCATATTATGTGAAACTTAGGACAAGTCAAAATTTCTTATATTAAGGACCTAAGAGAGTAATCAATAATCTTGCTTATATTTTATAGTGCAATTTCAACACCACTTAATTCATTACGAGGTTGATCTTTTGTTATCAAACACACTGAAATGAAAAAGTGTTTAATCGAATAATTTTAAGCATTAAGTGACTTTATCAAACAGGTCTTTAGCATGTGCTGCAAAATTAGATTTTCAGTATCCAGAATACCTTAATTTGAATTACTTAGGCAGAAAAATTTCCCAAGACAGCTTCTAGACATACTGTGGCAACAATCGAAAGATTGAAAAAGACAATTATACGCTGTGAACTTTATTATATCAACAGAGACCATATCCTCTAAGAAAGGATTCCAAAATTCCTTAATCATCCATCACTAACGAGATTTGTGCCGGCGAGGTTCATATCGGCTATAGAATCTTTGCAAAATCCATGCATCTATAAGACTAGACATTGTTTGTCGATACTGAGGGCTAAGATATAAAGAGAGGCTTAAAGTTGCTAAAGCAGCAACAAATGATACAGCGAAACTCCATGAAAATGCTACCATATCAATCTCCTCGTCATTTTCTTCACCACCATCAGGGTATGAGGAATGATCATTTGTACCTCCATTACTTTGACAATGTCTATGAAGAAGAGATCCACAGAAATTTGGGTTTCCTCTGTAACTGCCCCAATCAAAGTTTGCAAACTGACCAGTTGCTGGTGTTTCACCTGTCAAATCTTTATATGACACGTTGAAACTGGACAAGAAGGTCAGACCTATGAGTTCGTGAGGTATCTGGCCGCTGAGATTGTTGTACGAAAGGTCCAAACTCTCTATAAGTTTCAACATGGAGAGGTTTGAGGGAATTGATCCTTGCAAGTGATTGTGTGACAAATTCATTGCCCGAGTTTTGTTTAGATCACCCAATTCGGGTGGTATATTACCTGTTAATTTGTTGCAAGACAAATCTATACCAGACATGTAATTCAGAATGCTTCCTGAATAGGCATTGACTCTACTTTTAGTTGTGAAATCCACTACCTCTTGCAACATAAGTGGAACAAAATACTCTGGGGAATACGTCGCCATGATGTCAGGTGAACCTTTTAATGGAATAGTACCACCTCTTCTTAAAAATATATTATCATATGATCGGTAAGCATCCCATATATCATCCATATTGTAATATTTAGTATATTTCCTATTACAGGGTTTGTTATTGTCTATATATAGTCTGTATATTGTGCACAACACATCATGAATTCAATACAATTTCTCTATTCTAAGTTGGTATCGAGCTAGGTTTAACAAAACCAATTTTTTTCTTTTCTCTCCTCTCTCTTTCTCTCCCCCGCCGACTTCCTCTTTTTCGGCCGTGCACACCCCCTTCGCCGATAGTCGGCTTCTTCTTCTGCTCTTCACCGTCGACCACGCTCCGCATCGCCGGCTTCTTCCGGTCGTAAAGATCTTCCACCGCCGCCGTTGATCTTCCACCATGCCGCTGCCGGCATTGTCACCTTCTCCCATCCAACCTTCCTGCCGGCGCCGACCACACTCAAGCATCACCGGCGTTCTTCTTCTTCTCCCCGTCGACCAAACTCGGCATCACCTACCGCCGCCGCCCCTTCTTCGCCGCCGCCGCTGCGCTTGTCTTCTCGCTCGCCCGCGTGTGTTCGTCGGCGTGTGTTCGTCGTCGTCGGCGTTGAATCCGTTCCATCGTCGGTCGCATCCTCCGTCTGCCGCCGTCGTCGTTCCTCATCTCCGTTCCTCATCGTCGCCGCCGCCGCCGTCTTCGTTCCTCATCGCCGCCGTTCCTCATCGCCGCCGCGCCGCGTCGGTCTCCGTTTTGGCCGATTGTTGCCGCTTAGTTGATTGTTCTTCTTTGTTAAATAAAAAAAAAACAAAAAAAAAAAAAAAACAAAACAAAAAAAAAAAAAAAAAAAAAAAAAACAAAAAATCAAAAAAAAAACAAAAAACAAAAAAACAAAAAAATCATCATAAAGAATTCTGTTTTGCTTGCTTACTTTCAACGATGACTATCACCGACCTTTCATCCGCCGACCAGGCTACTCATCTTCGGTCACCGGTATCTTCTTCACAGGCATCAGTATCAATTCTTCAACCTAGTATGCAATCTCTCAATCATTCCTTTACTGTGAAGCTGCAATCGCGGGCCAACTATTCGTCTTGGCGTCTTCAATTTACTCCTTTATTGACTATGTTTCGTGTTGCCGGTATTGTCGACGGCACCGAACCTGCACCGCCACGTTTTCTTCCTTCCGTTAGTGGTGCCGTGCCCCAACTCAATCCTGAGTTTGATATCTGGCAGCAAAAGGATCAGTTGGTCCTCTCTTGGATTCTTTCTTCCGTTGCTGAAGAGATTTTTCCCGTTCTCCGTGGTGCACAACATCGGAGGCTGCATGGATGCTCTTCAGCAGGTTTCGGCACTCTTTCTTATGCTCAGCAGACCTGACTTGTTATGGAGCTCCACGACTTGCAAAAGGTGACTTGTCGGTCACGGCTCTCCTCTCCAAAGCGAAGGGCATCGCGATACACTGCAGCTTGCCGGCCATCGCATATCTCTGCGGAGTTTAATGCCATAATCTTCCGCAAGCTTGGTGCCGAATTCAATGGCATCATCGGAGCTCGCAGCAGCGATCCGAACCCCCTCCTATCAAGATCTCCTTGGACAGTTAGTTTCATATGAGGTGCTTCTTCACGCTCAGCAGCCGGTCCTTCACCCACGGCCATGCTTGTGCGGTCGCCCCCTCTCTACGCCGCCTCAATCCTCTCGTGCCGGTCGCTCGCAACGCGGCGGCGGCGCAATCAGTTTCGGTCGTGGTGGTGGTCGGCGTGGTTACACCCTCCCGCTCCGGGTGAGACGTGTCGGCTTTGCGGCATCTTGAATCACACGGCCGCCACTTGTCGACGCCGTTTGATACTAACTTTGTTCCTCGACCCCGCCGTTCGGTCGGTTGCTTATGCCAGTGAGTTCCCCGCACCGCCTTCACTGGTTTGTTGCCTCTTCCGTCTTACCCGGAGGCGACTATGTCTTCTCAAGCTCATATGGCGCAGTATGCACCTTCGTCACTCCCCGGCATCCGGACACCGGTGCTACCGATCATGTCACGCCGATTTGTCCTCTCTCGGTATCTCCAATGATTATACCGGTACGGACCATATTTTAGTTGGTAATGGAGATGCTTTACCTATTCAACATGTTGGTCAACTGTTTTGCCATCGTTTTTCGTCCTCTTTATTTAAATCGTGTCTTGCATGCTCCTTCTCTTACTAAACCTCATTATCTGTTCAAAAGTTTACCGTGATAATCACTGTTTCTTTGAATTTTATTCGACTCTTGTTGTGTTAAGGATCTTTCAACCAAGGAACTCCTCCTCCACGGTCGGGCCGATAAGGGTCTCTATCGCTTAGATCTTCCTGCTCGTGGTTCCTTGTCTCCAGCAGCTTATCTTGTCTCTTTAGGTCAGTGGCATGCCCGTTTAGGGCACCCTAATAATGTCACTCTTCGTACTTTGGTTAGGCAATTTCAACTTCCTTACTCCTCGTGTCCACGTCCACCGATAAATGTGAGGCGTGTTGTTTAGGAAGTTACATAGGGTCAGTTTACCTTCTACATTTCATCGTAGCTCTAAACCTCTTGATTTAATTCACACTGATGTTTGGGGTCCTGCTCCTATTTTGTCATTCAATGGTTATCGCTACTTTGTGCTTTTTATTGATGACTTCTCTTTATTCACATGGATTTATCCAATTAAGTATAAAAGTGATGTTGTCCATGTTTTCAAGCAATTCAAAGCTCTCGTACAAAACCAATTTGGCACTACCATTAAAAGTGTTAACTCCGATTGGGGTGGTGAATTTCGTTCTCTCAATTCTTTCTTTAAGGATGTTGGTATTGTTCATCGTTTAGCGTGCCCACACACTCATGAGCAGAATGACACTGCTGAACGCAAAATTCGTCACATTGTCGACATTGGACTTGCTCTCCTTGGCCATTCCAGTACCCCTTTTCGGTTTTGGGAGTTTGCTTTTGAAACTGCTGTGTTTTTGATTAATCGCCACCCTAGTAAACCTCTTCAAGGTCACCTCCCCTTCACTACACTATATCACCAGCCACCTGATTATACCTTTCTTCGTGTCTTTGGTTGCGCTGTCTATCCTCTTCTTCGCCCTTATAATAAACATAAATTCTCCTTTCGTTCTACTCAGTGTGTCTTTCTTGGGTATTCTCCATCTCATCTTGGTTATCATTGTTTTGATGTGGTGAATAACCGTCTTTATGTTGCTCGTCACGTTGAGTTTGATGAGAAACTCTTTCCCTTTAAACTTCCTATTTCTAGTTCTCCTTCTTCACTGCTGGAGTCTTCGCTACCCCTTGGTTGCGTGTAACCGATTCTCTGGTATACTTGCGTCGTCTTCTGCGTCTTCTTCGTCTCCTTCTAGTACACCGGTTCTTTCGTCTCCTCCTATCCCTCCCGACTCATCACCTTTAGCTAGATCTCCCGCATCCAGCCCTTCATCATCGATTGCAGTCCTCCGCCGCCACCTCCTCCTCCTTCTTCCCGTCAAGACTCAATGACACTTCGTCCACAACCCAAGCCCAAGAAAATTTTTGATCCTCGGCTCATCTTACCTCTGTTTCCCCACCTTGTCTCTGCTCCTACATCCTTCACCCAAGCCAAATCTCTTCCTCGGTGGCGAATGCCATGAAGGATGAAATTTCCGCCTCCTCAAAAATAACACATGGACTTTAGTTCCCCTCCTTCCTCCGGCAATGTTGTCGGTAATCGATGGCTCTATAAGATTAAAACTCATGCTGATGGCTCTATTGAGCGGTATAAGGCTCGGTTGGTGGCTCGAGGTTTTACTCAGTCTTTTGGGGTTGATTACACTGACACTTTTAGTCCAGTTGTTAAGCCGGTCACCATTCGTTCCGTTTTGACTGTTGCCCTGGCACGTGGATGGTCGATTTCTCAGCTTGATGTCAGTAATGCCTTTCTTAATGGTGTTCTCAGTGAGACCGTGTATATGGTTCAGCCACAGGGGTTTGTTGATCCGGTGCGCCCTCATTATGTGTGTAAACTGCATAAGTCCTTGTATGGTCTTAAGCAAGCTCCTCGGGCCTGGTATTCTCGGCTGGCAGCATTTCTACTTACCTTGGGTTTTGTGGAGTCTCGTTGTGATTCGTCTCTTTTTGTCTATCACCGTGGGTCGCAGTTGTGTTTTTTACTGGTCTATGTGGATGACATTATTCTTACAGGCAGCACTTCTGGTTTGGTTCAGCATTTTATCTCTTGTCTTGCTAAGGAGTTTTCTCTTCGGGATTTAGGTCCATTGAGTTACTTTCTTGGGGTTGAGGTTCGTCGTACTTCCAAAGGTTTGCTTCTCTCTCAGCGCAAGTATGTCACTGATTTGCTACGACTTGCAAATATGCATACTTGCAAACCTGTTTCCACTCCTTTGCAGGCTAATGTTGTGTTATCCCGTTTGGATGGTACTCTGTTGTCTCCTGATGATGCGACTACTTATCGTCGGTTGTGTGGCAGTCTGCAGTATACCACTCTCACTCGTCCAGATATCTCCTTTGCGGTTAATAAGCTTTGTCAGTTTATGCATCAGCCTCGCACTTCTCATTTTCAGGCTCTCAAACGGGTTTTTCGCTATCTTCGTGGTACCATTGATTTCTGTTTAGTTCTGCATCCTACAGATTTGGGTACTCAAAACGTATTCCAAAAGAGAGATTATTTAGGCATGAAGGAATTTGACCTGAAAAAGTATTATGAGAAAGATCCATAATAGTTAGTTCCTTCAGTTGACATATGCACGTAGGACTTTTGGCCTTGAAAGTTGTTACCCCCAAGAGGAGAACCTTAAGCTGTGAAAGTGCCATAATATCACGTGGAACACCACCAGACAAATAGTTATGCCTGAAATCGATAGCCCTTAGATCAAATGAAGTTCTTAAAATGGAACTTGGTATTAACCCCGTAATTTGGTTTCCTTGCAAGTGAATGAACCTCAATTTGTAAAGACTTGTGCATGAAGGTATAGATCCATTTAACTGATTTGCCGAGAGGTCTAAGAAGTTAAGAGAACTTAGCTTGCATATATCGTTCGGTATGCTTCCTTCAAGCTTGTTTTGTGATAGGTCAAGAATCTGCAATGATGACAAGTTTCCCATCCAACTCGGAATTTGTCTTTGGAATTCATTTCTTGATAAATCCAAGTATCTTAGATCAAAGTTCTGAGATAACTGATGTGAAATGCTTCCAGAAAATTTGTTGTAATCCAAGCAAAGAACTTGCAAACGAGTTAAGTTTGCTGAACTCGAGGGGAAATTGCCTCGCAGGTTATTATTGGACAAATACAAATGAGAAAGGGAGGTACAACCGATCCCAATAAGATCTGGCACTTCTCCGGAAAAATTATTGTGTGACAGATCAATAGTATCTGCCACTTCCAAGTAACCTAGAGATTCAGGTATGCTTCCATGAAAATAGTTTCTTGACAAATTCAAGAACTTCAGATTTGGGAAGAACAAACCCATATTCCAAGGTACTTGACCAACAAACTCATTATTTGAGATGTCTAACACCTCGAGATGTTGAAGTCTTTGTGTGATGTTTGAGAGAAATTTGCCTGTAAATGAGTTGTTCTTCAATGAAACAATTTCTAAGCGGGGGTTGTTTTCTAGCAGCCAAATTGGAAACTCTCCGACCATATTATTGTGATGAGAAAGATAAACTCCTCTAAGTTCTTTCTGATAGAACAGAAATTTAAGAATCTCATTGTTCAAGTTGCATCCGGGCAAGACAAGATGCGTTAGTTGAAAAGGAGGTGGTAGAGCCAAACTTCCAAAATCTACATGCAACCCACTAACTGAAGGTCCAAGTGTAAGTTTCTGAAGCTTTGAATGATTGGAAAAAGGACTCAATGGAAGTGAACCCTCAAACGGATTGAGAAAAAGTTAGAGGGATTCAAGGTTTACAAGACTAGTGATCACAGAAGGGGGTATCCTCCCACTTAAGTTATTGAATGCGAGATGCAGAACCTTAAGAGACGTTAAGTTGCTGAGACATGGCGGGATATTCCCACTAAAAAAATTATATCCCATGTGAAGTTCAACAAGATTCTCTTGTTACAAACTCCTCCTGCCCATAAACCAATTCGAAAATCTCTATCAAAAAAATACATATTAGCGAGTTGGTGAGCTGAGTGTTTATGCAAATTTACCTTTAGAGGACATGAGTGAACCCGATAATCGGTTGACACCTAAGAACAGATGCTCCAGTTTCTTCATGCCACTAATTTCTGCATAGGGAATATCAGGGGGGGAAGAACTGATAGAAGTTCTAGAGTTAATTATATAAGTATGAAAATCTCTGAATATGTCTTGTGGTTGTTAATGTACAGAAACGATTACCAATTTCTAAGCTTATTAGAGAGGGGAACGCATTCGTATTTACACTGGTTGTCAACTCCTTGCAACAGACCTAAATCAAAACCCAATCCCGGTGGAAGCACAAGAAATTGTGCGTCTGTTAACTGTGGTTATGTCTGTCTATTGAGTTTTGTGAAATAGTTAAGGTAAGTCATAGTGATGCGAGTGATTTACATAATATAGCGTATAATGTAATTTGTTGTAATAGTATAGACACTTCAAATTAATACCAGGTACCATTTAAAAAAAAAAAAAGAGGGGAACGTGGGAACGACGTACCTTCTGAAGGAAACGGACCCACTAATCCATTTCTTGCAAGGTCCAATCTTTTAAGGGAAGAAATTCCCTTTACACATTGAAGTATTCCGTTGCCTAGGCAATTCCAGCACAATTCCAAGGATTCGAGATTTTCTAAATTAGCCAATCCTTCGCAATCTGAATATCACAAAACACTTGATCATGTTAGCCAAATATCATCACAAACTAAGTGTAGTTAAACTTTTGAAAATTTCGAGTGCCATATTTGAAGGAAGAAATATAAACATAAGATACAGAAGTAAAGTCAAAAGAAATTAAGGTAACCCACCAAATCTATTTTTGGCAAAGTTATTGTAACTCAAGTCCAAAACTTGGAGGTTGTTGAGAGGGAGGAAACTGCTGAGGTTTAGAAACCATTTATACTCATAATCATAGTGCAAATTATGAATATGTTCTTCAAGAAAGGAAAGATGGAGTTCAGCAATTCGCCGAGTAGTGTTACTACATATCACCCCTTCCCATTTGCAACAATCACCGACTCCATGCTGATCAATCCAAGACGGAAGAAGAAGATGAGGATATTTGGTCTCATTCATGGAAGATTTGAAATCCAAGAGGGCCTTCTTTTCTTCCAAGATGCAGCCTGAACAAATTTGCACATTTGAGAGAGCTATGAGTATTTGAGCCCACATGATCATAAGCAAGAACTAACGGTAGCTCTTCATCTTTTTAAAAATAATTGCTGTGTATCGATAGTAAACTTTTGATAAACATATGATGTTGGAAATAACTAAGCTAGCAAGAAGTAGACAAACGAATTTATACAGGAGAAAAGACTTCTTCTTCCTTGAAATAAAATAAAATAAAATCTATTAGAGGGGACAAAGTAAGAAGACTTGGAAGTCAAGACTGGAGAAGGATGCATGAGTCTTTCATGCATTGATCTGTGGTAACAGTCATCCGGAGACTTTCCCATCCAGTTCTTAAGTCTAGTTTCTAAGAATCCAAAAAAAAAAAAAGGGTAAGAAACACATTTGAAAGTATTTCAAGATGATTGAGAATCAGTTTATCAATCAATTGTAAGAAAGCCGTAACAAAACCGTCGCTTGATTAAAGCAATTTCTAAAGTCAAGAAACTTAGACGACGGTCACCCCATTCACTCCAGCCAAAATATTTGTATTTCAAGGTGAAAAGCTAACCACTACGTGTTTAGTGTCCAAAGTTAATAGTAAAATGATAAACTAGAGATAGAGATCATTTTCTGACCTAAATCCACAGTAATTTAGCTAGTTAATTTCCATTTCCCAACTTACATTTAACTAATTTCATCATGAATAACCGAATTTGAATTCACTAAGTATTATTTCTATACATACTTGTTAGCTGCCGCTCAACGTAACTAATTTATATTTTATTATAATTTAGGCATCGAGTTTCTCTAACATGCACTTTTTGTATTATAGTGCTACCGGCCCACACTACATTATTTTAAAATGTGAAAATTTGAGATAATTAGTCAACGTCAAAAAAAAAAAAAAAATCCCCAACAAAATATCATCAGTAGTCCTTTTTTTCCCCTTTGGCTATGATTTCTATCCAATTTTCCATTATTTGACATAATAAGTAGAAGACTAAATCTAAATTGGACCACTAAAAAGTAAAATGTACCCTCTCCCTCCCTAAAACAAAGTCGAGATGTTGAAAAAAAAGAATGCTTTGGCTTGCATAGAGGTCTAATTAGAGGAATGGTTACTTGTTTAATCGAGATTGGCCTGTGAAGATTATTCATGTTTTTCGTGAGGTGAATTTTACTGTGGATTACATGACTTCCTTAGTAATGAGCTATCCAGTAGGCTTGCATCGGATCGAGAATCCACCATCTTGGGTGAAAATATAGTTGGAACACGGTGTCATTGGTGTCTTCTATCCACGGAATGTCTTAATTTAATTTTTCTGTCAGGATTTACTATTTTTTTTTTTGGGGGAAGTACAAAGTTTTTTTTGTCACTACACTTTACGTAGCCGGATAGATTTAAAAATTAGGTTGTTGTGAATTTTTTTTAATTTCTTTTTTAAAAAAAGAAATTATCTAATTTCGATGTATATATTTTCATATATGAAATTCAGACTTCAAATTGAACAATTAATTTAAAACCGTAGAAGTATCTATTTTGTTCCAACATTAATATATTCCATCATCTACGTACATAAATTTTCAAAAGTGAACTTTGCCACGTAGTAAACGTTTGTGACGCTTCAATTCATGCAAAGCAAACAGTAGAGCATCATAAACTATATGGCTTAACGAAAAGGTATTTAGCAATCGCACACAAAATGGAGTTTGGGACTCCTGACAGTACATTTTAACCGCCAATATTATTAAGCTTGATATATGCAATCAACACTTCTAACATATAAGTAAACTCTTTCCAGAAAAAACATATTCATTTCATAATATGCTGCAGTTTATCTTTTTTTTTTCCCCTCTTTTGTTGGGGGGGGAAGGAAGAGTAGTCGATGATCTTTTATTTTGGGCTTAGAGTAATGACATGGAAGAAACATAAGCCCAATTTAGATTGGGCTATTTAGGCCGGATAAAATGGTAAGTCTGGAATTTTATAATAGTTTAATGATTTAAATTTTAATAAAAGTTCAAATTAAATGAAAAGACGAAAATACCCCTGATTCCGGCATGTCAACGGCTGGTCAACATCGAATTGGACGGAAAAGTGGCCGAAACAGTGAAATGGGACCAAAAAAATTTGAAAACACAATGTTTGGACTATGATATTGAAATGTTAATGTTAGGGACGTAAATTCAAGTAGCCCCAAATATAAGAGACCATTTGGACATTTTAGTCTTTTTTTTTTTAACAAAAATCGTCAAATTAGTTCTTCGTTTCAGGATTTCAGTGAAGAAATGATGTGAACATCAGAGTTTATCTTTTTCCTCTCTTTTGATATAATTATTATAGTTAATCAAGTCCTTTTGAAGCACATATTATTTTCGTCCCAAAATAATAATCTTATGTGATGTATAATCATCTTGAGACGTATGATTTGTCCGCTAGGAATGAAATGAGTGGTAGCTGATGTCGATTGTACCAGACTTGTTTGGTTTGTAACCACTGTTTTAACGAATGCAATCCGGAAGTCCAATCTTAATGCAAAAGGCTAAAAATTTGGTCTAGCTTATATGATTATGAATCAATTAAAACCTTATTTTATGAATCAAACAATTTGGGTTGTTTAGCGTGTCAAGTTAACGTCATAAGAAGAAGTAGTAATCCACAAATTGTTGGACTAAATATGTATGTATGTGAAAGTCAAGTATGAAATCATTGTGTCGCCTACATTGGACTTCAATGATTGTCTGTTTCATTGTGTCCCTTTAGAATTCCAACCCAAGGGAACTGCGACTGCAGATTTATGACAATTGGATTAATTGGAGGATGATCATCATATCTGGTTCTTGCTTTATTCCTTCAATGTAAATCTAATAATAATTTGTATGCAAAACCCAAAAAGAATTCCATCCCATTCAAAATAGTAATCCTATTTGTTGAATGGAGTTAGTGATCTTGAACACGACTCAATAACTTCAGGATGCAAAGTCAAATGCTTTCCTCAATTATTATTAGTATTACAATGCTTCAACTGTTGAAAGACCAATTTTTTTTCCCTAAAAATGTACATATATCCTTAATTGTAGAAAAAGAAGTTAGATGACAAAGCTACCTCCGCCCAAGTCAGTTCCGTGTTGGTACTATAACCTTCATTCCGAAAATAAAGATCATGTATGTACTATAACCTTGTTCTGAAGGAATCTGTCAACACAGTAACTGCCTCTGAATTCCTCGTTTCCCGTTTCAATGTTAACGTTGTGAGTTGTGAGTTGTGAGTTGTGACCCAGAATTATTACTACTCATCATCGTTCATATACAGCCAGCTCATTTCCCCCCATTTATTTATTTATTATTACTATATATTTACCTTCTTAGGTTTCGTGGCTTCCCTCCCTTTTCAGTTTTCCTCTTCTCTGCTCAAATTTCAAACTTTTCGAATCTTATTATTATGAATGATCCACCCCCCAAACACTCCGAACTTACAAAACTTATTGGAAAATTTGAAAGAATAGAAGCTTATAAGTTATAACATTAACATTGTAACCTTTCTCTAAATTGAAATTCATTTGTTTTATACTTTCATTGTCTTGAAATTATTATTCACTTTGAATTTTCATTTTAATACAAATTAAACTAAAAATAAAAATATAAATTGGACAAAAGAAGCAAGTATTATTGATTTGTACTTTTCTGATTTACATATTTTTAATTAATTAATGAGTAGCTAGACAGTTTATTTCCAGTGACGGAGACATTTGTAAGTGTTATTTTAGCTTGAAGATGAGTGTAATAACGTGTTAACGAAACATAGGGTTACAGCAAGCTATTCCTTTTGACTTCAAAAAAGCCACTCGGATTGGATTTCGATGGGTTGTTCAATTGCTAAAATTATGTTGAATTGCGTACATATTACAGTAACAAAATTGGTTCAATCTTTTTCTTTGTTAACGCGTCTACACATTCTTACGGCTTCCTTTAGTCAAGAAAATTCAATTGTTCGCCATGGGAGTGTTCTTTTTCCCCTAAAATATACTAAAAAAAATATACTTACATTACATCATTAATTGTTAGGGAGTAATGTAGTAGAACCAGTTTTATTTTTATTTTTATTTTTTTTTGAGAAAAACACCCAAATAAATCCTTCTCACCAATGGAAAAAAGAGAACTCTCCAACAGAAAATTGAAAAAAAAAAGTATCAAAACATATACACTCAAAAGGGTAAAAATAAAATTGAATGTCCAACATCAGTTATTTCCTCTCTCCTCATCAAAGGACGTATAGCCACGGCAAGTAAATATATTTGTAATCTATAATTTACGCGGTTGCATCATGCATGTATCCATTATTTTTAATTTTAATAAGTCACTTTAAAATTTTGCTTCTGTTTGTTAACCTGTGCCTAAAAACCTTATAAGAATAGCGAAATGAAAAAAGAAACGAAAAAACAGTGGGAACATTAGCTAAACAACATAACTTATTGAATTTATATATGAAAACAATTTTACATCGAAACACAGACGGAAAAAAAAAATGGAACGATACAGAGACGATAGAAAAATAAAATAATGAGTGAGACAAACAATGAAAATAATAATAATAATAATAAAATTGAAAACCGGGGTAAGGGTTGGTCCATTCTTCTGTCTTCATCCATATTAAACATTGTAATATTAGTTTGTTTGGACAATAGTTCATTTTACCTCTTAAACACAAAACTCAATGAAAAATAAAATATCATCCAAACAACTTTCTGATTTACATTTTAAATTCCAACTTGAAACACTTTTTGTTACTTTATTGACCATTTTAGAACTACAAATAGTTCAGTGACAAATTTGGCAGGATTCCGTTGTTGAGTGATTGTTTTTGGAAAAGTTCTTTTTTGCAGTGACTATAATTGACAGTATTTAATTGTTTAGTAATGACTTGTACTTGATATTTCAAAATGTAGTTCAAAATACTTTTTTTCAAAACCAACATCCAAACAACATTTTTATTTCTCATTTAATTTTTAATTTGAAACACTTTCTACTTTTAAGTGACAAAATGAAGTGTAAGTTAATGCCAAACAAGAACATTTCATCATACGTCAAAGTTTCAAGTCAGTTTTCTTCCTCATTCAATAATTAAGTTGGGAAAATAAAATTTTTACCCCCTATATACATATAGTGTACACATAATAAGACTTGAAGGAAGAAAGAAAGCAAAACTTTCTAGGAAATTCATGGCCTAACTAATTCTGCTTTCCTTTTGAAACTTTCTTTCTTGGAGAATCTGACAAATATATAGTTGACAACCCTCAATGCCTTCATAAAGAAGCTCTTCTTCCGCCCCATCATCATTTATACTAATCAGTTTTGCGTATTTATTAGTGTACTGTGTGACAATTTTCAAAACATCTTTTACTTTTACTCCAAAAAAAACACTGCAGAAAATCGCCAGAGTTTATGCCCTCTTTATTGGCTTTCCCCTTCTCTCACTTCTTTTCCTTTTCCTTTCAGTTTTCTCTCATTTACACCATTTTTCTCTGTGCACAAATTTTCCTTTCCTTCTTCTATCATGGCTTCTAATTCATCAAACAAACCTTATCCTGGAGACACAACTTTCATCCAAACTGACCCTTCAAACTTCAAATCAGTTGTCCACAAATTAACCGGGCTGCGTCAAGACAAGAAGCCCGGTACTACTAGCCCAGCCGGAAAATCAACTCCCGGCGAGATGGGCCCTCGGAAACCAGCCTTCAAACTGCATGAACGGAGGCAGAGTGCGAGGAAGCTGGAGATCATGCTGCAAAACCGAGATGGGCTCAACGACGGCGTCTGTCATCATCATCACGAAAAGGTTATGGTTTCTCCGGTGTCGCCATTTGGGCTTCTTCTGAGCCCGGCAAGTGGAAGCCCAAGAAGCAGTACTCCGTCGACGCCGAGGTCAAGTAACCCGGCTGATCTGATGGATGAAGAAATGCGGGGAATTCTCGAGAATGGTTTTTACATTCACCCATCACCTTCTTCTTCCTCGTCATCAAGTCATCTGAGAAGTGGTTCTATGCCGGCGCCGGCGCCGCCACGGCTTTTGTCGTTGTTTCCGGTTAATAATGGCCGGGGAGATTCTCCGGATGATAGTAGTGATAACTGATTGTCATAATTCAAGTTCTTAGAATCTTTAGTTCGTAGGGAGAGTATAGTTTATATTATTATCATAATTTTACCTATAAAGTTTTACGTAGTTTGGAAATTAAAATGGGGGGAAATTATATTGTTTATTAGTTAGAGAGTATTATTATGGATGATTAAATTGGCTTGGTATCTACTCCATAGATTAATGGAATTCACTTCCATCGTCTTTGTAAATTATTGAATACTGCCTTTCAAAGTTTTTTCTGTTTTTTATTTTTTGGAATTTATTTATTGTCGTTTATGATAATTATATTACTCTTACCCGTGATTTCTATTTTGGGTAATAAAGCAAAAAAATTTATCGATTATCTTAATTCTTTTTTCTCCTTTTTGAGTAATAAAGCAATGGTTTATTTTCTAAAGAGAAAATTCATGGGTTTTTTTATTTTTTGGTAAATGGTTTATTTTCCTTTCAATGTATCTCACATCTATATACATAATGAATGTATGTTTTCTTTCAGAATATCCCTAGCAACAACTATATATATATATATATATATATATATTTTCAAAATAATCTCAACTGTTGCCATGAATCACGATGATTCATACAATACAACCAAAGAGTGTTGCATTAATTTGTGTAGACCAATTAATATTAATTGATCGTTCGAGATGATAGCTTCTTCTGAATTCAGTAGGGTTTTTTGACACATAAGTACGATCTTGTCCTGTCACCACCTTATAATCACACTTCAAATTATTGAATTTTTTATTCTAATGTTGTGTCCAAGACCCTCTAATTCAAAGCCTCTATAATTTTAGCTGGCTGCTTCAGGGAATGAAATAGTGAGATGAAGAATATTATTGCTTCACTTAAAAGTAATAATAATATATATTTCATCCGTCTCATTTTAAAAGTATACTTAATGATATTATTCAATGTGTAACGCTGGACCAGAACCATATTCAAGATTGTACGTAATCTTATGAATTGTGGCTCTGAAGTCTTGCAGCCACGGCTCGAAGCCCCCGCAATGATAATAATCTGATCAAAGAAAACAGAAATGGGTAGCAAAAGGTCAAATGATTCCTGTTACAAAGTCTATCAGAATGGTGATGTTGTTGACTTGAGAAAACAGAAAAAGGGGGGTTGGAATTTTTTACCTTGAAAAAGACTTTGAAAGTCACCTACATTTGAAGTAATAGAAGACGGCAAGTCTCGCAAGAAAAGACCACTTCACCAAAGTCTTTTTCCTTTTTTTGACCTGGTGAGGACTAACTTGTTGCAAAGAGTTGACCTGGTTTGACCTCATGTCCTCCACTCTTCTTATCTTCTTCTTGAGTAAATTGCATAATACAACCACAACTATATATAGATTGCACATCAATGCCCAAATTATACTTTGATCCTAATGATTTGTTTGTCAATTGAATAGATAAAAAATATCCTTAAAAATGAAGCATAGACATCATTGTGGTATAATAGGACCACAATTTTTTCTAGCTTATTCCTTCTCGTAACGGATTACAAAAGTACAATAATGTGGTCATATTCACATGTGTTTAACAAAATGATAAAAAGGCTTTCACACAAAGCAAGCTGACCCAGAGTCATTTCCCTCAATGGGAAATAGTGAAAAACTATCACTACTATTAATTTATTAAGTGAACAACTTCCTTTATACAATTCCTAACGTCATTGTGTGTTTGCTCGTAACGGATGAACTACGGTCGAAATCTGTATTATCAAAATTGAGTCCAATATGTATGGAATAATTGAAATGTGAGTGACAATACTAATATTTTACTGAAATTGGTTAAACGAAGAATTATATGCAAACAAATCAACAAAGTAAAATTGATTTTCTGCAAGTATAATAGAAGTGTCGGTAAATGTAAGCAGAAGAAAGAGATAGGTATAAAGGAGAAATTCATATTTATAATTTTGATTAACAGTCGCAAGTTTGGTTTAGGGTAATAGAGAGAAAGCAAGGAAACTTACGGGATCTCGTTTAACGCTGTAATCACTAGTTTAAGAGAGCATTTTCCTTATATAGGTTTAGTTGAAGAACTAATTTTGCAAATTACTCTTTTTTAGTCTTGTTATTATCTTTCAAAGTGGGAAAATGGAACCTTTCTCCTACGCCAAATCGTAAATTGTCCTTTTTCTTGTTTCACTTTTTTTGTGGGTGGCATGGCATTCATTCACAATCGGTTAACTTGTAAATTTGAAAAATTCAAGTCTCAAATTCTGCGCAGATTAGCCAGCACCTCTCTGGGTGGGTCCCATCAAGAACCTTATCTATGGACCACCTCTCCACCTGAGCTTATTACTACTCTCTCTATTTTGAAATATATTTAATTTTAGGATTTGATAAATTTTTTTAAATATATATCGTTTTCGCAAATCGAAGTACATTTGACCACTTTTTACCAATATTACTTTTGCATTAGAAATGAAATTATATTTATAATGAATTTCTATTGGTTTGTGATAAATTGAGTAGATAATAAATGATGATATTTTTGTATTTTTACCACATTAATAAATATTTTCTTGATTTTGATAATTTTTCTAAAAAGACATATATAAAAAAATGGAGGGAGTATTATTTTTGAGTCTGTCTGGATTCTTCTGTGTCATCCCCATGAAAATTAATTTTATGGAAAAAAAATCACCAAATTCGATTGTTGTTTACTTTTTCTGTGTAGATAAAAAAAGGACCCATATTCCTAAATTACTTGAAAAAATCCAACCTTTTTTTGGTTTTTTCTCATTTGGACAAATTGTTTGATTAAAATGTGTTTAAGGCTCCGTTTGGTTAGATTGAATTGTAATTAAATTATAATTATAATACTATTGAATTAAAAATGAGATATTAATATTACAATTCAATTCTAATTCTTTCGTTTGGAAGATCTCAAGAATTGACTAGAATTGAGGTTTTAATACCAATTCTTGGTTTAGATCCTTAAAAATTTATAAAATCTAGAATTAGAATTAGTTTTTTATTATCTAACTATAAGTTAGTACTTTATTTCATTGAATAAAAGAAATATTTAATTTTATATATCAAAGCAGTTTATTACTTACATATATAAGATTAAAACAAAACTTTATGTAAATTTATATTAGAATTTTTGTTGTATGAGTAATATATATCAATTTTATAATTTATAGATACATACATACTTGTGGAAAACTTTTTTTATTATTATTACGTAAGAAATATTAATGTGATGATTGGAATTCTCACAAATAACATGTAGAACATCCTTGTTCCTCTCCTTTTTATTATTTTATAAATTTTTAATCTTTAGTTTTTCTTTTGGGTTTTAGTGGAAAATTTTTATATAGTTGAAAGTAAAGACCATTCATTTATATATAGATTAACATTAATACATAGTGCTAATTAATTATTTTTATTTTTAGTATATAATTACATATGGAATAATATATATTTTGACTTCTTGAAAAACTTACATAATTTTTAGTGAAAAAATTTCAAGTATAGTTCAAAAATTATTTATACATTTGATAAAAAAAAATTGTTAACCCATAATTAATACCTTTTATTTTTTAAATAAATTACTGGTATGGTTATACATTTGATAGTTTTTGCCAAAAAAATATGAGTACAATACTAATTTTAATGTATAGTCTCATTAATAATTATCAATATGATGTACACCTCTTTTGCACAATAAATAAAAACATATGTTAATTTAACAAAAAGCAAAAAAAATAAAAAATAAAAAATCCAGATCTAAAAGAAAAGGGGCAAAAAACGAAAAAGAAAAAGGAATCGCATCTGCAGCGCTGAAGGAAAAAAAAAAAAACTTCAAGTCTTCAAACTTAAAAGGACCCGTTTCGTTATAACTCGGAAAACAACCCGCATGTGACCCGCATTTTTTCTTAAGTCCCTAGAGTTCGAATTTCAATTATTTGCTCTCACAAAAAAATTGAAAATAAAGAATTGAGCCTCATTTTGAGTTATAATTCTGATTCTGGAACTCCTATTTTTGTCAACCAAACACAAAATTGGAATTGAAGGCCTCTAATTCTAATTCTTGGGTCCAATTCAATCTAACCAAACAGAGCCTAAGAATTTTCTGATGTAAGATCAAACGTAAACGTTCCGTGATAGCAACAACTTGTCTTGGAATTTAATCATGCTTTACGCGTTTCGTTTTTTTGGGCCTTCGGATTCCACTCTCAGCTTTCCAAATTCTTCGATGCTGACACATGAAAATTCGAGCTCTGTTGTTAAATTCAGCAGATTTTATGGCCATCTTGGCTTTGTTGCTTTTGGACTAAATCTAGCGTCATTAATGTGTTAATACCTGATGAAGTCAATCCTTTAATAGTTCACATCATTTGTAGTGTATGGCACGAAAATAGTGTTTACTAATTTAACTCCAAAACATAGTAATCCCTCACGTCTTTAATATAAGATATTTAGATTTGTTTTATGTTTCACCTAGTACGTATTTGTAATCGATTGAAAAACTTTAAAAACATTCCATAACAAAAGAACGCAACAAATGTAAAAATATAATTTTAATTTTTTTTATTAATTAAAAATATATAATATGTGAAACTTAAGACAAATCAAAATAACTTATATTAAGAATCAGAGGGAGTAATTTTTATTGCATTTACATCATATTTAATCGTCCAAAAAATACATGTAGATAATGTAACAAGAGTATGACATGACAACATGAACTAATACCATTTATTAAAGGAAGATCAACAAAACAATTAAGTGAATGCTACTCATTGTAGAATGTACAAAGCATACAAAATTTCGGGGTAGGAAAAAACAATTAAACTCTACAACTATTATTCAAGTTTCCAAGAAAGGGAAAAAAAAAATAAATACTCAATTACTGGAAAGCTAGAACCGATTATTAGTAAGCTCTCTTCTGTACTGCTTCTTGATGGCCACAAAAAAAATAGGTCCGCCACGCCTTGAATCGGCATTGAATGAAGTCCTTGGGGCACCTGCATTTTTCCAGGTTTTTACTCCCTTCAACGAACTGAAGCACAGATAGATTGTGTATTGTACAAGCCATTCACCCCATTGGTGAAATGCTGTCTGTTTCTTCTCCGCTTTGTAACCACCACAAAACCTTCGCCATCCCCGTGTTTATTCTTGTTCGAGTCCGCCCTGTTTTGTGTTTCGTTGTTCTGCCCTTTGGAAACCACCTCTTTCTTTCCCTCGTTTCCGTACAGGATTTTTATGATCGCACTGTCGTTTGCGATTGCTTCTGCAGAACTTCCAGAGAACTCGCGCTTCTTCTCGCTGGCTGAGGGCTCACTTTGTGAGTCGGAAGAATGCTGAACTGACTTGACAATGAAGCTAAGCAAAATTTGCCTCGCCAGCTCAGCTTTCTCAGCTTCTGAAGAAGTTTTCTTCGATCCTTCTTTAGCCACGACATTGTTTTTCTTATCAAGACTTTCCTCTGCAGAAACTTCAGGTTCTGAGGCACTGGATACTGCAGATGGATCAGAGGCATCTGTTGTTGAGCTTTCAGTTGGTGCAACCTGGACCCAAGCTCTTCGCGGAACAAATTCAGGTGCATGAGGATTCATAGTTTTTGTGGCATTTCTTTCCGCAGCAGGGATTTGGTAATTCATGATCCCATGTTTCATCCGGAAAGAATGGCTTGTTCTGTAGTACATAGGGGATCTAGGCCCACAGGGTACTCGAGCAGCAATCGAAGGGAAAGCCACAGGTTCAGTGAGCATACCCTGGCTAGCTACTACGTCGTAGACACTGGTGGGAGCAGTTGGGGAGCTTAGTGGATGGACGAAAGGATAGCAACCTGGATTGAATGGAGGAGCTGCAGCAGAAAGTTTGCTCCCATTTGTATCGGCTTGTTTCTCTAGCTCATTTTGACTAGAATCGTCCTCGGTCTCTGGAGATGAGTTCTCTTCCTTTCCAACATTTTCACTTGTTTCGCCTTCATCATGTGATCCTGTCTCCTCTTGACTTGGTGCCACATCATCCACGGTCGTGCTTTCTGTCCCATTCTCTAATATCTCAGGTTGACTATTGGAGATGGGGAAATCAGTTTTGGCCTCGTGTAATTCTTCAACTTTCTCCAGTAAAGGCTTTAGAACTGTACCTGGTGAGGCCAGGGCTACATCTTTATATGACAATGACTTGGTAGCTGTGGGCGTCATACTAGGATTTGGGGAAACTTTAGAAACTGATGTTGGAGAGATTCTCAGAGCCGTAGGCTTGGCGAGTGGTTTAGAATCTTCAGCCGTACTTGGGCTAACAGTCTTTGGTTGCTTCTGCATAGAATAGTCAGATGATGCAGCTTTAGACACTGCTGCCTTACGTCCCTGTACAATAGCTTCCCTGCGGTGGTTGCTATCAGCAGCATTCTGCCAATCAGAATTAATTTTTAACTTGGAAAGATTTGGCTTTCTGCGGTTCAACTTCTTGCTAGCACCATTTCCCGACCGTCCTCTTGAGTTAGCTTCTTGCCAGCCTTCATCTGAGCTAATCTCCTGGACAATCTCTTCAGAAATTGGAGGATTGCTGGCACGCCTATCAGTGACATTAGGTTCCAGGATGGGAACTGTGTCTTCCTTAGTTTCCACTTTTTTGGTTTCAGCTGCCACTGGACTGGTATCTGTGTCATCACCTGTTGAGGATTCATCACTTCTTCTATCATCATTTTGTCCTTGCTGAAGCTTATCACTGACGGGCAACACCTGATAGGTGAGATCAAGAAGAACACATAAGTGTTAAGTATGAATACAGGGAAAGTAAGCCAATTTATTTGTTTCAAAAAAAAAAAAACCAATTTATCACTCCATGCTGCTCATTGTTACTAACTGAAATGATATCTTGGCCTAGTACGAGGGAGATTCTCGTCTCCTAAGATTTTATCAATTCCATCAGAACAGGTTGCTGACTTCCGCTAGTCATAAAGAATATCTATTCAAACATAAATAGTTCAGAGATGAATAATACCTTAGCACGTCTTTTTCTCTGTGCATCCATGGTTCTCGAATCTTGATCAGGACTTATGTAATCAAGGAGATCCGATACACTGAAAAAGAATCAGGAAGGTTTCTGTTTTAAGAGGTTGGTACTGCATAATATACTCCTATAACTTCTGTAATTTGGGTATACCATGTTAATACCTCAGGTGGCCTTTGCTAGCAATAGATGCATCAGGTTTTGGGGTCCCATTCCTTGCTGCTTCTTGCTGCTCTAGTGCTTTTGATTCAAAATATTCAAGCCATGCAGCAGCATCCTGTAAACCGACTATATAAGTCTCCCACTCTGAAAGCTACTACAACTTTTACATAATGAAACTGATTGCAAAAACTAGGGCTTTAAGACAGAACACAGTTGCACAAAACTGTAAAGCTCACTAATTCTGTAATTGTTAGCTCTTTAGTTCATTGCGAAACTATACTACTAACAAGCCAAGAACTTAGTCAGCGTAGGATATTAATATTGTCAATTCCACTGAGTAGTCTGACCCTTATTTAGTGATAGTCATAAGCATGAATATACTTGGAAAAAAGGGACTATTTGTGCAAAGGTGAGATGGACAAAGAAAAAGTTTTATAATAAAAAAGCCACGACTGAGCTAGATGATCACCTGAGTTCGGAGATCCTCCAGTCCTAGTTTAGCTTGAAGAATCTGTAGAGTAGTTTGCTCATGTTGCACACTAAGTGAATATGCTTCCATCAATGAAAGAGCTATTGCTATAGCGTGATAGCTTGCAGCAGTCTTCACAAGGTGAAAAAATAACCATAATCAGCATTTAATTCAACTGGAAATGGAATCAAAGTGCTAAAATATTTATCACACACTACTAATTCATCTACAAATTATAAATTAGGAGCGGTCAATAAAGGAAGCACGGAACTACTGAATGTTAAAACATGATACTATAACATGTTCTTACTACAAGTGTGCATTCCAATGCAGGAGTTTGCTGCATGGAAAAAATAGTTACCTGTATGTGATCTGCTCCCAACAATCTTTTGTTACATTTAAGGGCTTCATGCAGATATCTGAGAGCAACATGAACATTGCCCATGCCCTCTTCCATCATGGCCACATTGATATAAGTGGCAGCTGTATTTGGATGAGACAGTCCACAGGTAAAATGAAGAAGAAATAGAGCACGGTTGACGTATCTGCAAAATAGCACAATTTTCAGATTTTCGAAAGGAAAAAATGAATCAAAAGGATTACAAGATTTCAAGAAAATGAGTATTTTCACAAGATTTTCTCAACACCACCCATTCAAGAGAAAGTATTTCAAATTTGGAAGCAAAGGAGTTAATGTCCAGGACAAATAGCTACATTCCAGTTTTTATCATATTTTCTGTTAGGTATGACCCATTAAATAATGCCTTAACAACCTGACCCTTCCCTAAAACCACACATACAGTAGCTTAACAAGATGTCAAAAGCTGATCAGTAAATTCAAGCCTAGCAAGTCTCTCCAATGAATAAAGCAATATTTCAATGATGTTACTCACTTCAGGGCCAGCTCAATGTGCTGAAGGCGGTAGTAGAATACTGAAAGATCGCCATAACTTTTCATTGTATCTGGATGGTCAAGCCCAAGCTCCCTTTCATTGATATCCAAGGCCTTCTGCTGATAAATAGTTGCCTGCACAATAAATATTGAAACAATCAGATAGCTTCAACTAAACTTACAACATATGTGGCTAATACCTGCTGCTAGTTAGCAGCTATAGCATCAACTCTTTCCGCTCCATACTTTCTCTTAATCTAATAGACAATATGATTTTGAAAATTTCATATTTCCCCTTTTAGATTTGTAGTCATTTACATTATGGCGTAACGACCCAAGCTTCTACCGGAACCCACACGTGCAATAGAGACTGCCCTCTACGACGAAAAAGATGCCAATGACTGGTCACTGAATTCCAGTTCATTTTTCCCCTTTTGGGTGTCAAAAACTGAGAATACATTGATGGTTCGGAATTATCTGTAAGCATGTTGTGTATCATGACACATTACAAGTATACTGGCTACAACATACATGCTGCAGACACTATGTACAAACTGCATGACACATTACTGGAGTATCTGATGATATTCAAACGGAAGTGACAGAAAATGTTCCCCAAAAATTAAAAAGGAAAAGGTGAAACCAAAGTAATAATGTTCGGCCCCCAACAAAAATAAGACACAGACAGAAAGTATATATGCATGACTCTTCAAACCCCACCACAATCTACACGCCATGGACTACATTAAATTGATGTTATGTCATAATCAGTTTTTTGAACTCAAAAGTTTTAGTTTCTGTTCAGATGTGAGTATAATAGTCACAGTATTGTCCAGGAAAGAAGATTTTGTAAAAAAGAGTAGTTTAGAATTCATATTGGATTTCAGTAGATCAGAAAGCACAAAAAGCAAATTGTTCTTTAAAATAACTAAATCTCCACCGAAACACCAGTACAATAATAATCATTATAATACGAATAAAAGAAGAAGGAGAGGTTAAATAGTAAAAGACAATCAATTAAGTTGGAACAATATTTCACTACCTGATTGAAGTCACCGGTGTGGTAAAGAACAACAGCAAGAAGACTATACGCACTTGCCGTAGTTCTATGATAAGGACCACATACAGCTATCATCTTTGCTAGAGCCTTCAAAACAAATTAGACAAAGAAAAATCAGATTTTAAACCAACACAGATATGTACGCTTGAATCTTTCATATATTCAATAACGTCTTTACTTTTGTCCCATAGTTAACAGCATCTTCAAGCTTTCCTTTATCAAGGGCAATCTTAGAAGACTCCAGCAAATTCCTTCCATCAGCAGAAGAGCACCCAACATGCTGTGAGGGTAATATTAAGCATCAGATCAGGAGGGACAAAACAAAAAGATACAACTACTGTGGTTTTGAGCGAGCGAAAGAGAGACTTACTTTGCACACAGGCACCAGGCTGATGATATCAGATGGTCTGAATGGATGTGGACTTCCCATGTCAAAGTCTCTTGGAACCAACTCCAAACCAACCTAAATAAGAGCAATATGAGTAAATCACTGAAAATTAAGAAACTATAAAAGAGACTGATGAAAGTAGCACCTTATGGCAAAGTCCACGAAGAATTGTCAACTTCCTTAATTTCAGAAGTTCATCTTTCAGCCTCCAACCAAACCTTCGTGCCAAAAATTCCCTCAACCATTTCAAGTTAAGATTATAATTCTCACTTGAGTTCTGATTATCATCTTCTGTGGACCATGAGCCAAGTAAGAAATTAAGCGCCGAGGCAATTGCTCCTGGTAAGCTGGACACGGCATCAACAGAAGCAATAACAGCCTTCAGAACATGCTTAAAAGCTCGAGTAACCATCTCATGAATGCAAAGTGACTGTATATGAGGAAGCTTCTCTGCAAGTTCAACCTGGATCATCCCCACACAAAAGAAGAGAAGAGTATTTGAGACCATAAATTGCATGTGTGATGAAATGGAAACAAAAAGTTAGCTATTCTTCGATTTAGCTCAGCTCAGCTGTGTGTGTGTGTGTGAGAGAGAGAGAGAGAGAGAGAGAGAGAGAGAGAGAATCTCACCACCCGACCCAAAGAACACATTTGCAACCCCCTTAAATGCATGAAGTCAGTCAGAGTGCGTCCATCAACTGGGGACAGCTCAAGAGACGCAAAGTCTGTAACCTGCAATGGACAAGAAATAAATTACATATTATGAAATGATACAAACTATTCCCTAATAGCAAAGACGGGCACAAAAAGATATCTCACCAGCTTGGGTAAAGCTACTTCGTCATAATATTTGTGTGCCAGCTTAACAAGCTCATCGACAGACTGTCACAGTAACCATGATGGAGTTAGAGGATAACAAAGACTCATTTCAAGTAATGGCAAAAGTGGTAATGCACTAAGTTGACTGCAAAACAAACTGCACTCGTGTCATTAGTTACGTCTTTTTTCTTAATAATCTTTCTGTCTCTTTCTCATATTTGTAAATGCATGGGACATAATGTGGGAGGGCAGGGCATGGTCCATATGGTTTTTCACAAGTGAATAATGCCTAATACCTTGAGATGAAGACCTGTCCCACTTTCTTTCAGACGTTGATAAGCTTCTTCAGGTATAACATTTCTCAAATCCGAAGCACCTTCATCAAGCTCCTCACTGCTTGACTCAGCTATGCTGCTTTTGATGTTTGAACCACTAACTGTGCAACTGTTTTCTTCATGATCTTCCATGGTACTTGAATTATCTGATTTTCTTTCCCGCTTCTTCAACATTTTAAATTGCTTCCCCAGCCCCTTAACCACAGGTTCATTCTTGTTACCTTCCTGATCTTTTTTTGAACCATCATCTGCGGATGTTTCCTGCTTCTGTAGATGCTGCACCCAGCAAGAGCCAAGTTCCCACCTGATACTCCTGTGCGATACAGCTTCCTTCTCTAAGTTAATTAGACTATCTTTAACAACTGTTTCAACCAGGAGTTTTGACTGATCCAAGTTGCCATTATCAGGGTTGGGTGACTGGCCTGCCCCAGATGGTTCTGATGTAATTGATTTGTGGAGCAAAACCCTCAAACTGCAAGAAAAGCATACAGACTTAGCAGGAAGATCAAGATTAGAATGCATTAAGAACATGATGGACAGCAAAGATTTCTAGTCAACTTCTCCCAAGCCCTAACCATGAGATGCGAATAAAAAACAGCATCATTTAGAATACTGATCCTTCTCCAAAAGGGTTCGTAAAAAAGAGATCTCTACAATTTGTTTCTCTTTTGTAATGATTTTTTATTTCAAGGTTTTCAACATAGAGCACAATTAACTAAACAAAACTTGTATTTCAACAAAAGAAGTCCTGTGGAAGACAATCTTCACAACATTATTGCTTTGATTCACAGTCCAAATTAGTTCACACCTGTTTATATTAAGGGCATTGGCCCCTCCTTCTGGTTGGTCTTCAATTTCTATATCATGAATTGAGTTCTTTCCCTTTTTGACGTTGCCAGTAACTTTAATAGTTGCAGTATATCCACATTGTCTAACAACAACAGTTCCTAATGACGACGTATCCTGCAATAAATTCGGAGCGTTATTTTACTTGTTTCAAGCTGAGAAACAAAGTGTAGTTTGCAGAGGGATATTACTCACATGAACAACTACACTCTCATCTGCAGTCAGTCCTTTAAGTAAGTTCCTCTGAGTTACTTCCTCTGATGATAAGTTGGAAGCTCCAGAGGAGATATTTTTAACTTCTAATTTCGAGCTGGCATCTGCAGTATCTTTTTTCACTGTAATAGACAAGTCCCCAACACGTTCCTCGTGCAAAATGGAACCTGGAGTATAATTGATTTCACCTTTTACTATGGCATCCATTACTTTGTCAATGGCTGAAACAGCTTTGAAGGTTGAAACCTCAACAAAAAGATTGTGGAGCAAAAAGGCCTTGCGGTCTCGGACAACCCTCTCCTCCTCAGTTTTACAAGGAAGGTTTGCCAATACTGCAAACTCCGTGGCCCATGGTCTCAAATCATACTCCCCATTTCTTCCCTGACCCCCACCGCTGCCACCCCAATTTTCATCCTCAGTTGGCAGTGGGACAAAGGGAATGGCAGGATCAGCAACAGATGGAGGAACAAGCCATGTGTTTGCACGGAAGCCATATGGAAGATTGCCAAACTAGAAAATGTCATAGTTATAAACGAATTTAGTTCTCCTTATATTGAATACTTTCAACACAAAAAAAAAAAAAAAAAGAAAAAGAAAAAAAGATTCAATCACTAATCAGTAATCACCTTGTTGTGCTCCACAAAGGCTTTCATTAATGAATCATATGCCTGCACAAACATTAGATCTACCAATGATCAGTTAACAAATTTGGGTGCAATTCACACAAAACCAATTAGAGCAGGGACAAACTTGCTTGCAATTGTAAGTCAAAACCAAGTCAAAGAGCAAGGGCATTTTGCCTGTAATCGCCCAAGGGCGAAATAAAATGGGATCAGTAAAAGATCCAATTTTTGTCCAAAAAAGCAAAACACCCTGCCTTTGGAACCGTATATTTTCGGAAGTAACAAGTACAGGAGAAACCAAGTATGTTTTGTGAAGATAACATATGAGAACATCTCTTCCATTGTTAACCATGACGGTAAACTAACCAGAAATATAAAGCAGATGAAAATGAGTAATGAAGAACATTGTGCTGTTGCTTACATTGGCAAAGGCTTGACTGAGCTGCTGCAAAAGATCCACTAAGGAATGACTTTGTAAAACTTGCTTTCCAACGGTGTAGAACCCTTTTCTTGAAGCAACAACTTGCATTAGCTTCCCATTACATATTTTTATCTGCATTTCGGCACCAAATTGCATCATCAAATTGAGAAAATTGGAAGAAAGACTAAATCAAATTAAAAGAAAAACAAAATAAAAATCCAACTTTAAAAACACTTCAGCTGACCCGACCCACAAAAGATTATGAAGAAAAATTGCACCTGCATTTCAAAATAGTCCCCATCTCGCCCCAGATCTCCATCCTTCCGTTCCAATCTTTTCAGGTCTGCCAGATTCCCATGAAACTAAAATTTCAGGAAAATTACCCAAGACAAAAGAAAAAAGAAATATTTGAAGGACAAAGGGAAGAAGAAATAGTACTAAGTTAACATACTTAGAATAGGAGTGAGGTGGGAGAAATTGAAGAATTCGTAGAAATCGGAGAGCTTCGGAATCGGGTGAATTGCCACCATATCGTACCCTTCCGCCACCGCCGTCGCCGGCGAATCCGGTAGCCGGGAATCTCCATCTGCTGGGGAGGAGGGTCGGCTGGATGGCCCGTTATTATGTTGGCTTTTATTCTTCTTCGCCCGAGATTCTTGCCCGTAGCCGGCAGCGGGTGGCGTGGGGGTTTTCCCGCCCTTGCTTTTGCCGAATCGTGTAGTACACGCGACAATGTCGAGCAGCCTCCGCACGTGGGCCAAGACTTGAGACTGGTCCGTGTATTCCTCTGAGAAAGAGACCAGTGAGTGGCATTTTTGTCAAATGACTAGGAAGTCGGAACCTAATTTTGGAAAGGTGGGACCGTAACGTAAATTTCCACAGTACGACTGTTTGACTTTTTGTTTTTTTTTCCCATGTAATTTTTTTGGTCAGTTAAAAAATTGTTCCGAAATTCTTAATAAAGAAAAGTACCATTTAGAGCTCAAGGCAATTTGTGGTGTGCTCCGCCATTTATAAAATCACCATGTGGACAAATGTTTTCTTGAAATTGATTTCAAAGAAAAAAATAAAATAATCCCCCCTATTCTGAAATAATTATTCTGAATCGATTATTCATACTATAATGTCAGAGGAAGTATATTTATTAAATGTATCCCTTTTTCTTTAGAAAAAAGTTAAGGCAGGTGCTAAGAAGTGAGAAGGGAAAAAAAAAATTTAGTTGGTGTGTTTGGTACCTTATTGATAGAATTAGAATTGACTTTGATCTCAATATGATTAAACAAATTCAAATGGATTTTAAAGATATTATAGTAGATTTATAAAATAAAATTAAAAAAAAAACCATGAAATTCGTTATTTTAGACGACTCCTGAATCGATGGCATTGTGAAGGACCTCTTTTTTCCGTACAGAAGTAGGTCGATGCGAAGAATAAAATTATGTAAAATGTTAATGTAAATTGGAGTTGCATTTCTATTGCCTTTTTTAGTTGGTAGACAATAAAGTGCATGCCATTTCTAGCCAACAAATCCATCAGACTTTTTTTTTATGAAGATGATGAGCTAATATAAGTTAGTCAAAACTTAGGAAAGAAAATAGAAAAAGGTATATTCCATATTTCAGAGAACTGTCAATTAGCAATTTATTAGCACTTTTATACAGAACTGACAAAACTGACTGTACTTTTTAACCCAAAATCTTTACTATTATTAGTGTCTGGGGAAAAATAATTAATTATTGTTTTCGAACTCTCGTAATCTCTTACTATTCCGTTCTAATATTCACACAAAAAATAAGAATTGACAATGCAACTTCAAAAATTCTATCAATTCTACAACATTGTTGCAAACTAGCAACTTGATTATATGGCATCCAATGTACATTATTAAAACCGGCCTTTGTTGCCTAAGGTGAAAGAATACAAAAGAGTGAGATGCTATCTTTCTCGAAGTATCTGTTCATAAACTGTTATTATATCATCTAATAAGCCAAAATTTGTTTTAGAAAAGAATTGAGTATATGCCATTTTGCTCTTTGGTGGACAATTTGGGTTTATACTTTCTAGGTTTTCAAAATTGGTTTGGAATTGTCTTACTATATATAATAACCATTTCATAAAGTGGACAAATCCAGTTTGCATTTTGGCAAGTGGTTGGTTGATGCTCCCCAGACTAATAAGATGAAGGCAAAACGCATAGATTGGTTTGTCCTAAGAAAAGACCATTTTAATAATTTTTGTTATTTGTTTATGTTAGTCAAATTATAAATTAGGACCACCTAGTAAATAGTAAAAAGAATAATGATGAACAAAATACCAATATTTGTCACCAAGTTTAATAAAACTAAAAATTTAATTATGTTGATTAATGGAAATATGATTAGTTAGTAGTAGAAACCCACAGCCAAAGCAGTTGTATTTATTGTGATGTTATAATCACCTACCTTCAACCATCTTCAGCAAACATGGTTTGAGAGTGACAACCTCCAACTTGTCATTCAGCTTCTGTCCTTTAACCTGTTTTTAGTCCATTGTTGCTGACATTAGTATAAAAACTTACTAAAAATAATTTCACCATATTAGTATTAAGATGTTTATTAGTAGTAGTTTACTTCATTCAAATATTATAAAAGCAATACGAGTTTAATTAACTAATTTAATTTCAAAGAAATGCTTATAACTGTAAAAAATACCTCATGAGAGAACGAATAATTGGTAAGATGACATGTTTCAACATTGGCAGCCAGCAGCCTCCTGACGTCTAGTATCTTGTCAGTCGAGATGCCCTTCAAAAAAATTTCCAATACAAAGTATAAGTTAATCAAACCAATCACGAGTCTTTCACAGCCAGCAAATTGGACCAAAATGGATTATATTAAAATATATATATATATATATGAATTCACCAAAAGGAAGTATCTCGTGATTCATACACATTCAATTTGTTACCAGGAATTTTAGAAAAAATGGAATTCAATTACCTTGAGAATGACTTGAGTTTCATAAGGTGTGATGACAGTTATGTCAAGAACATTGGGGACAACTGTAATTCAGAAGAAGAACCAATCAAAAAAAAAAAAAACTCATCAAAATGATGGAAATGCAAATGAACCCATCAATCAAAACATCAACGATGGATGGATAATCCAATCCAATCCAATTAGTTTACCTTTCTCTTCTTTCTTCTTCTTCTCATTCTTAGCTTTGTTTCCCTTTCCCCTGTTTCCTGACCTTGGGGCCATATCCTACTGTTCCAAAAAACAATGAAAGGATAGCGAAAAACCGGAATCCGGGGTTGCGAAAACAATCGAAAGCAATCGGGATTACCGAACACTGATTAAGCAATGGTAGCCATGCAAAAATGAAGAAGAAATTAAAATTGGGAAAGTTAGGATAGAGGAGCAAAGGGAAAGAAATAATGGTTAAAGGAGAGCTATCTTGATATGGTTAAGGTAGTTTTTGGATGTTTATGAGGAAGAGATTGGGAAAGGGGATAAAAAGAAAGCAGAAGGGCCAAGGAGGGAAGGGAAGGAAATCTTGTGATTATAGGCAGAGGAGGGAGGGGTTTGAAAGAAGTGAAGATAGGATAAGGGTTTTAGGTGTTGAGGTATTCGTGGATTTTGAAAGAGAAATCCTGACCTCTCCTTCTTGCTTAGCTTGATTACAATTTACAGATTACCACTTGAAAAAAAAAATGGAAAGAAGAAAATGACCAAAAAAAAAAAAAGAAAAACAGAGTATATATTCAGTCGTTCTGTGACCACACTCTTTTCTTCTTCTTCTTCTTCTTCTCTATAAATAATTTAGGTGTAAATTTTTTACACACAGTCACACAGTGACTGATTCTTCTCTCTCCCTTCCTCACTGTGGAGAGCGTTACACACACAGTGTTGTAACTCTCTCTTCTTCTCTGCCCACGCTATATGTGATGGTGTTTTTTAAGGAGGTGAAGGGGAGCCCATGATGAAGTTTTTTTTTTTTTTTTTAGGACAAGGACAAAGAATTGGTGGGGATGGTGGTGTTATAAAGGGAGTGACCCATCTGGGTTGGTGCCACGTGGCATCTGTGTTTTGGGGTGTAGAATGTATAGCCGTGTGTTTCTTGTTTTTTCATTTGTTGTGACATTATTTTTTCTTTTTGCCCCGAGTTGGGAGCTGATTTTGAGACTACAATTTTGGCACACTTTGATTCATCATCTTCATCGTTTTGGCTGTTGTCAATTATTTTGATTACTGGAGGCCTAATTTCAATGTTAGCTATCACTCATCAGTAAATCATACTAGGTGTTACAATGAACGGGGAAGGCATACAATTAGACATTTTTACATAAATTTTGTATTTTTATAAAATATGTAATAACTTTAGTTTTAAACACGATTACCTCTGGATATATAGGAATTTATTTTTATTAAATGACATTTTAAATTCATTGATGATAAAATTTATGCAGATCTCTCTAAAATTTGTTAGGTTTTGGTACTCTCTCCAATCAATATCTTAGTTAGGATTTGGTTCATGAAAATAAGGGTTCGATTTTTATTATTTTGTTTTTTTTAAATTACTTTAGTTGCTTTTTTTTGTTTTATTATTTTATTTTGTGCATTTTTAAGTCTAAAAAATTAAGAAAATGTCACATAAGATTAAATCCTATGTGACATGTGCTCCATGCCTTTAGTATATAGAAGATTTGATAATGTGATCTTGTTTTATGTTTACGCGATAAAAATAATACAAATTTCTTAATTAGAACGTTATTTAAAATGATTTTTACCAAAATGAACTCGATAAACTCATTTGAATTATAATGTTGCCCTAAACTTCATGTTAGTCGCACATTAACGAATCATGTTCGATTTCATTAACGCAAATGTGTAAATCTTCTTCAATTATACTTGTTTCGGTCCTTAACATAAAGCATTTTGATTTTGTCATATGCTTCATTTATTATGTATTTTTAGTTGGGAAAAAAACTCTTAAAAATGTATTTTTACATTCATTGTGTTCTCATAATTATTATGAAATATTTATAAAAAAAAATTTAAAAAAAAAATAAAATTACGTATTAAATGAAAGATAGAAGAAACTAAAATAACTTATATTAAGGAACGGAGTAATATCGTTGAACCGTTTTTTTTGGTGGCAGTGTAACCAATTACGACCTAAAACAAGAAGTATTCAAATCGTTGTTTTTCATGACTTATGATGAGGATTTTGCTGGCTCCATGAAAATCTCGTTGGCTGATGCTGAAAAAATGGGAGAATACTACTATTTGTAGTCAATACCATAGAATTTGGTTTGACTCAAAAAAATATATAAGTTCTCTCTTTCAAGTAATTCGATGTAAAAAAAGTGTCACAAATTGAATCTACCCAACCCTCTTTCTTGCATTTGTCCATCGGTTATGTCTTCAGAATTGGCGCAAATTATAAATAAATCGGCGCCAGATGTTACTCCCTCTGTCCCAAAATTATTGTCTAGTTTCAGATTTTATTTTTAGTATAATTTGAACTAAAAATGAAAACTTAAACTGGACAATAATCATAGGACGGAGGGAGTATTATTTTATTTATTTGTGATATTTTGAGTTTTTGTTCACACATTGGTTCCGGCAAACGTTTAGCCAGCAGATTTTTTGCATGCACGTTTTTAACTAAAACAATAAATGAATAACATTAACAGCACACAGGTGTATGTACTCCGAGTCTCCCCACTAAAAAAAACTTTTAGCTAATTATTTTGTGTTCTAAAATAATTATTTAATTTAAATTTTTAATTTTAGTAAAATAGTAAATCATAATTAGGTGGGTAAGATTCATAAATATGACATATACAAATCAACTTATACAATTATGCCGGGGGCAAACTTTATATCCTGTAGTAAAAATATGCAGGTCAAATCTTCCATTTCTTACCGTTGACAAAAATTATTACACTTGCTTCGCTCTTACCTTGAAAGTTAAAACAGAATAAAATATTATAAATAAATAAATTAAAAAGGAAAAGAAAAAGAAGAGAAATTACTTAGTCTCGATCCCACTCGATCCCCAATTGTTTCTATGCAAACTTTACGAAGTTTAAATACACAAACACACAAACCACCATCAAATGTAAAAACTAAAAACAAGTGTAGATGAAGAACACCAATCGAAGGTTTCTCAATAAAATACTCCCTCCGTTTCATAATTATTATCCAGTTTGAATTTTCATTTTTAGTTTAAATTGTACTAAAAGTAAAATCTCAAACTGAACAATAATTTTGGAATAAAAGAAATGAAAAGAAAAGAAAAAAAAAGTTTGAATTGCGACATCCGTGAATAAAAAAAATCATCTTACCTAGATCTTGGAATTAAAATAATATTTGTCGAACTTAATTTCATACATCAAATATAACTCTAATTTTATAAACATAGTCTTCGTTTTTATGTTCATCAAATAATCCATCTCTAAATTATTTCCTTCACCCCAAAAACATTCACATTCAGTGTTGTTTGCTAAAAATCAAATTAATTAGACAGCATTTTGTGCGATTAGAAGAGAATTGAGAATCCCGTACTTATGGGCAAGACAGAAAATAAAAGAAAAAAGAAATGACAAAGAGGAAGAAGATCAAATGACAATATGACATCATGATGCCGATTCCATCATCAAATTTGATGAAGCAATCATGTAACTTTCTGCATCTTGATCATTGGTACCGCGATGAACTACGATACTTTTATTGAGCACGTGCCGCACATGGAGTATTAATTATAAATTTTACATGAATTAAATTTTCAGACTAGTACGGACTCCCAAAATTGACACACCGGTTTTTCATTTAAGGAATGATTAACATATTTTTTTGATGGATAATGTTTGATGCAGAAAAATTTTACAGGAAATTTTAATATGAAATAAATTATAACTGTTCATACTTATACTTTTTATTTAAGGGTTTATCTAATCTAAGATTTAAGGGATTGTTAAAATTCATCCACCTTATTTCTTGTAAATTTTTCATGTACACCACTCTTTGTTGAATACCAATTTCACTGCTAATCCCTCCACTACAAAATGAATATCATGTAATTCTATATGTCTCAATATCATTGTTTATTTTAAATTTTTACTTTTAATTCATGTTGTACTAAAAATGAAAATCCAAACTAGACAATAAGTTCAGAACAGTAACAATAAATTAGATTTGGACTCCGATTATGTTTAAATTAGAGATTCAAATGATCAAACAAGTTTAAAGTCATCTAAGGAGTACTACAAGGACGTACTATTAGCTCCTGTTTTTTTTTTCCTTCATTTTTTTAATGATTTTGGCTCGTATTCAATGATCCTAGAGCAAACCTTTATAGGATATGTTACTTGTACTGTTAGGCACTAGACTATTTTTTTTTTCCTATCGTATCGTCGAAATCTCACTAGTGAACTTACGTATATTGTAATAATATGCAAACCACTTCGAGGCAAATTATTCTAAATATGTAAGTTTGACTATTTGAGACTGAAATTATATATTGCACGTATGAGTTTGTCATAACAATTTAGGATGTTAAATATTAATATTTCGCAAAAGAAAAATAGGGCGGGGGGGGGGGGAAGTAGCTATATAGCATCGTGCATATCCTAATATTCATACAAATCTTCTTTTTTTTTTCAAATATAAAACGGTAATAATTATTACTCCACACATCTAAGTTCTTTAGAGTGCTTTGCATATGTATATCGATTATGGGGGGTGACCCTGAATATTGGTTAATCAACTAAATTAATTGACCAAAACTGTCTTGATCGATCTTCCACAAAGAATTCGCTCGACCGCACCTCATTTCCTTAGAATTTAGCTCCATGATCAAGTACGGTAACATTGAAAAAGAAGAAAACTGAATGATCAAAGGGGAAAAACACAAAAAAAAAAAAAACACAAGAAACATATGTTATAAAATAGTTGTCTAGTTTAAATTATTACTTTTTTATTTAATTTGTATTAATTAAAAGTAAAAATCTAAAAATCGTACCATCATTTTAGATGGAGAGTAAGGAGTATGAGGTCAAATTCAAGTTGTAATTATTTACAGACTTCAAAGTTGTCCACAATATATACATAAATAAACAATGGTTCCAGATTTAGTAAGTTGGACAAAATTCCAATTACTTCCATTGTGAACGACGTAAAGAGAACACCAGCTTAATGGTTTCTGGCTTTCTTCCATTAACTTATGTCAAAACATTTCTATTTTCTTTTTCTTTTCCCTGTTTTGTTTTGACCGACAATTTGACAATTTTTTCTTAAAAAAATTAGTTATAGTCTGTTGAAGAATCTAAAAAACTATTTAAAAATTTGTCAGCAAATTCCTATAGCTTAACGATAGAAGATATATATGTCGGACAAAAATTAATGGACAAAAGGAATTAAATCATTTACAGATTTAATTATTATTAGATTGGTTAATGTTGTATCCGTCAATTAATCATATCATCAACAAAATAAAGCGTGCATGTCCTTCTCTTGTTTAAAGTGTATCTTAGTAAATGATTATTAATTGATGAAAATGAATGTTCTGCAGGCCTGGTGTTGAAGTATAACGAATCAAAGTTCATTCCGAAAATGAAACCATATTTTCATATATATATATATATATATATATATTTAGAAATAAAAATAAATTCATTAATTTGCTAAAAATCGTCTAGCAGCGATTGATAAAAGCAAGATACAACCATAAAAACACAACTTATAACTACTCGCAATGTCATTGTTGTGTTTCACTACATTGATAAATCTATATTGATCTACCCCATAAAATGATGGTTGTACTGCGTGCCAGACTTTTAATCCGGTCAAGGATACAATACTAACCTTCGGTTGAAATCTCTAAATCGTAAACCTAATAATAATTAGATCTACTATGATTGAATCTTCTTGGACCATACATGCCAAACCGACGAACACCTTCAATAAAGCCGTCACTGCCGTATCTGCATATATCACCGACGAAACTGCCACCATACTACTAAACATCAACAAGGATGGCGCCGTCATACCTGCAAACATCGATAACGATGTTGTCGCCATATTATAGATAATAATCTACAAGCCGTTTATTAAAATCAAATTAAAACACAATAAAAAAGTTAAAGGATATAAGTAGAATTATTTCCTTTCAAACTTCCAGCTATCAAATTGATATTCCTACTAGAATAATTGTACAAAATAAAAATTCAAAATTGTATAATTATTTCGAAACATAAGAATTATATATTTTTGTTATTGATCACTATTCCATGGAGGCGACCTTGTGTTAAGAAACAGGTTTTGTTTTTTAAAAACAAAATGCTTTATTTATGTTATGATATCCAATTCTAAATTTCCAATTGGATATGTTGGACGGTCGATTTTTTTTTTTCCCGATTGTTCAAAATACCATTTCACGACAAGCTTATGTTATTATGTCAACACAATTTACATAAATCTTTTTTTGGTTTTGAAATTACTAGTGGGCAAATTCAACTAATACTATATACTAATATATTCTCAATCTGAACTCAAATTCCTTAACAAACTGATTTAGATCCTTGAAAATTTGATTCCATGTTCTATGTCAAATGATGAAATTAATACAGTGACCCAGAAACGTGTTAAACACATGAAATTTCATTTGTACGTTTGATATTTTTTTGAGCACTCAACCTTGTAAATCAAATCCTTCACAAGGTATCATTGATTTTCCATATCAAAAGCACAAAATCGATGCACTTCAAATTCAAGGGACTGAATTAGAAATAAGTCTTATAGTTGGGGACAGTTCTTGCTATTTTTCCCACCCTTAAGGTTAATCCCTCAGCCCAAAAAAGCGCGCCAACGGAAAAACCTCTCATTTTCTCAGACCCTACTTACGGCACTGATCGATTCGAGTCTGAGGATGCCGGAGCTTCCAGAAGTGGAGGCTGCTCGCGCAGCCATTGCGGAGCATTGCCTTGGAAAGAAAATTATAAAGTCCATTATCGCTGACGACACCAAAGTTATTGATGGCGTATCTCCCAAGGACTTTGAAGCTACGTTGACCGGGAAAACAATCGTCGCCGCTCACCGGAAGGGGAAGAACATGTGGCTTGAGCTCGATTCACCTCCCTTCCCGACTTTCCAATACGGTATATTTCTATTATCCGATTTATTTATGCTCATTAGCAATCTATCGGTTTACCATTATGGGGCCTGTAAAACCCTAGGTGAACAATGAATATTCTTATATGTTACAGGGATGGCTGGTGCCGTATATATCAAGGGAGTTGCTGTTACAAAATATAAGAGGTATACGGCTAGTAATTTTGTTACTGCGATTTTGGTGACTAATTCGCTTCGAAATTAATTTAGGAAGACTAACTTGTGAAATTTTCTTATTGAGAAAAGATGCATTTGAGATTTTGTTTCCTTAGGGAGCTGCTTGGCTTCACTTTTGGTTTTGATAACTCGGCTCAGGAAATGTTGGGGGGTGGCTGATTATAACCATAATGACAGTGATCTTTGTACCTAGAAATTTCTGCGAGTTGGAAAGAAATTAGGCAGCTGTGAGAAGCTTGCCCTCATTAGTCTGATTGTATAACTGTCATAAATTTTCATTACATTCTAATGTAATTGCAGTCGGGAAGAGTGCTAGGATGGGAGCAGAAAAGAAAAAGTAAGAAATAGAAGCCTAAGGAAATTCGTAAAATTGGAGATTATGCAGACTCCACCAAGATAATTGTTGCCAAAGGACTTGATTTATGCAGTTTTTGTTTATTCATCCGTATGTATGTTTTAGTTTTGGTCCTCATGATCATAGGGCAGGCTGCCAATGTCTTGTTAGTTGGATACACTATGATGAATGTACTTGGTGTTGATGATGCTGTTTCACTGTTGCGGAGATATTTTTGCTAAACTGCCTTATCATCTTGTAGGTCAGCTGTAAAAGATGATGATGAATGGCCTTCCAAGTATTCCAAAGTTTTTGTTGAAGTAAGCAAAATGGCCATGTAAACTTAAGAAATTCTTATTTCTTTTGTTTAATCAGCGAGGACAAAACTGCTTACTCAATTCCACCAATTATAATTTACGTGCTTTAGCTTTACAGAGACTGTTGTGACTTCTATTAAAAATCAGCCTTTCGGTGCTACACCCATGTATTGATATTTAAGGCATGTTTATGTTGCTGCTCCATTTTCAACCGTCAATTTGATATTTAGCACAGCAGTGAGATTCCATGTAATCTGAACTCCTTGTGTATATGCTTATAGGCCATAGTAAACTGTGGATAACGTAAGCAGTCGTCATTTCTCATTACTATTACTTGTTTGGCTTTCAATTGGGAAAGCTTGAATAAATGAGTAGAAGAAATGCCCATTGTGTTTCCTTAGATTTCTTCTCTCATAGCTGATTCATCTTTGTTCTGTTATGCAGCTAAATGATGGCTTAGAGTTCTCATTCACTGACAAGAGGAGGTTTGCTAAAGTTCGTTTGCTTGACAATGTAATGGGCTATCTCTTACCTTTCTTGGTTCTATATATGTATCTCTCTTTTGCAAACTGTTTCAACTGTTCTGATGATGAATACATGTCCGCAGCCAGTGGCAGTGCCCCCAATTTCTGAACTTGGTCCAGATGCATTCCTGGAGCCTATGAGTGTAGATGAGTTCTTCAAGTCATTGAGCAAGAAAAATATTGGTATCAAGGCCCTTTTACTTGACCAGGTAAGAAGATTAGCTTTTAGTCTAATCTAATGTGTATAAAAGTAAAGATGTAATTTGAAATGGAAAGTCTTTATCAAGTGTGACTTTTCTGCTTTTATGAAATTTTGCAGTTTATGTTATCAATACTTCCCATGGAGTTTCATTAGTTGTTTGGAATACCAGTAAATGATCTTCATCTCGATTATATAAATATAGCATCCAATTAAATGATCATGTGCAAATCAGATAGTACTGGCAGTTATGCTGTAATAAGGCAAGATAAATGATTATTTGCCTTAACATAATTCATGTTTACAGTCAAATGCTTCTACAGTAAGTGGTGGTTCAGGGCTAATTTTGAAAATTCATAAACTACTGAGATATATTTCTTTTAAGGGGCACAGAATATCTTTTCTGACTGTAGAACTAAGACTACCTTTTTGTGTTTGCCCCTGGGTACAGTGTGGATATAACATGGCGATGGGAACATGGGACTAACGAGATAGGCAAACCCCAGCTGTAGTTATTTAAGAAAGACAGTCTTTGAAAGCTACAAAAGCTTATTTATATAAATCAGAAAAAGTAAATAATAAAGCTGCAGAACTGCTCTATTTATAGAGAATTCTGATCATTCCAATCCTATTAGGTTTACTAATTTCCTAAAACCACGGACTGAAACTAATGTACTTAAAAAAAACCCGTAATAATAAAAGGAAACTAATTATTTTAAGCTTTTTCTATACCAATATGGTTTTGTGAAAATGTTCCTGCATCACATGGAATATGTATTTTTAAATACAAAGAAATGCCATCGCTTTCTTTGGAGGGTTTTCTGTCTTTCTTTAACTCTACTCACATTCTTCTTTGTGGGAATGTTCAGTTTAACTTCTTAGTAGTTTTACTTCTGTTACCACGAGATCCGAGCGCTCTAAAACGTAAAGTATGCAGCGGTCGTCTTCAAACTAAATTAGATTCTTTTTTTTTTTTTTTCCTTGTGTGTGTTTGGTTCAGTGTGGAATATGTATTGCCGGTAGTTTTCTGCTTGTGCTTGAAATTTTTTTTTCTGTGCAAGGCATTGTTTATTTTTTTTATTTTTATTTTTCTTTCTTTTTTACTTTTTTAAAGTGTTATTTCTGAGGTTTGTGAATGTTTTGTGCCTCAGGGTTTTATCTCAGGGATTGGCAATTGGATCGCTGATGAAGTTCTATATCGAGTAAGTAGCTTTATTAGTGGTGTTGCTGCTTCTGGCCTTAGGATTGGTGCAATACGTTTTGAGTTCTGTTCAGATTTTACTACTGTTGACCATCTAAACCTTCACGGAGTTTGTTCATATTTGCAATAGTAACCATTTATCACTAAGATTTCTTAGTCTCTATCACCTGCATCCTTTCCCAAATCCAACAGGTGTGTGCCAGTGGTTGGCCCAGTACTGCGCTAGTTTGTTGGGTCGCATAGGCCAGTTAATCAATAAAGCTTAATGTGAAGTTTAAAATGGATTTACTTGTTCTTACCGTTCTTTTTGTCAATAGAACATAGTTTAAAGTGGTGGTATTCTCCTGTCTTATATACAGGCGAGAATTCATCCCCTGCAAAGTGCTTCGAGCATGTCTAAAGAAACGTGCGAGAGACTACTCAATTGTATTCATGAGGTAGGCTTTTTGCTCCATACTTCACAATGATTTGTTCGAGGTATGTTATTAGTTGACGGTTTGAAAATTTATTTTGAGGACTTTGGAGATTGCACTTTTAGGTTGTAAAGTATGCGGTTCAAGTTGATGCCGACTGCAGTCGTTTTCCTCGTGAATGGTTGTTTCATTTTCGTTGGGGAAAAAAGCCTGGAACAGTTAATGGTGAGATAAATTTTCTTGACAAAGATTCACTTTACAGGTCATTGGAAAAGCTGTTGAAGTTGGGGCAGATAGTAGTCAGTTTCCCACTAATTGGATTTTCCATTCCCGGGAAAAGAAGGGCAAGGCTTTTGTTGATGGTTTGGCTCCTGATCTGTGATGTTCCTCTATGTGCTGCTTAAATTGTTATTGTTCCTCCATGTTCCCACTAGTTGGATGTATTGGAAACATCGAGACAATCCTAGAAAGTAGGCATTACCATCACAGTATCAAGTTACTAATTGTCCATTGCTTCCATTGTTTGCGATAACATTTTTTGTAGTGTCTTTTCTGTTCTTTGCCACACTAGATTGCTTAGCAGGAAAGTGACTAGAACTCTTACTTTTGTGCTGTACCAGGAAAAAAGATAGAGTTTATTACAGCTGGTGGCAGGGTATGTTTCTGCGACTGTTCCTGTGTTTGATTATGATGTTGTAACTTTTCCGAGTGTGTGCTTCTTGTACCTCAGACAACAGCCTATGTGCCCGAGTTGCAAAAGCTGAGTGGGGTGCAAGCTACAAAAGAACCACAGAAGGGGAAGAGAGCAAAAGGAAGCAAGAACGGTAAAGATCATAAAAATGTTGACGAGGTTGATGGTCGGGATGTCATAGTGAAGACTGGAGAAAAGACTTCAAAAGGAAGGAGTGTTTCTGTTAAGGGAAAATCCAAAGATACTCTTAATATTAGCCGTAATGATGCTGTGAAGGATAGTGATAGCAGCTCTGGTGATGAAGATCCAAAGAATACTTCTAGAAAGAAACCTTCTGTGGGAAATGAGTCCAAGAAGACTACAACAAAAAAGGTTTCTAAAAGAAGGAAGTCTTTGGAAAGTGGTGATTCTACAGGAGACGATGATGAAAATGAGAATAATAGGGATCACAAGAAAGCCAAGAAAACTAAGAAGAATATGATGAAACAAAATGTTGAATCCAATCAAAATAGGCGGTCAACGAGGAAGAAGGCACAATAGTTAACCGAAGTGACCAGACAAATCTGTACCCTCCTGGTTTTGAGAGAATGGAGACAAGTTGGCTAACAACGTAATGTTGCTTTTGTTAAGGAACTTTTTAGCTCCCTCTCTGGTCCTGTTAACTCATCTAATTCTCGATCTCTCCAGTTGACCAAGGAGTATGGTTTGATTGTTTGGCTTTAGCTTTAACATGTAAATTCCCTCTGTTTTGGTTCGTAATTTTGCTACAATCGTAAAGAGGCTCGGCCAGTCTAGAAGAAGTGAACAACGCTATATGTTCCACACTTCTTACTTCCCATGCAATAGAACGCTATATGGTTTTTCATGAAATCTTGGGAAATAAATCTCATTTTTCATTCAACCGTTTTGCCAACTATAAGTCGAATGATCCCACGTAAGAACCAAAGATGATATCCCATGGACGCTACAAATACAGCCACAAGTTCGCCGGCAAAATCAATTAGATAGCTTTCGTATGATTCTCTAGCTTTAAATTTGGTTGGAGGCTGTATTATCGAACACTTCCCGTCCTTGGGATTATAAATTCGAATTGATACATTGATGTCTACAAAGTTTGATCAGACAAATTCGACTTGGATTGAGGTGGAACCATATTGATGCTCGCGAGTTCTTTCTCAATTACGATTCCTCGATTTCATGCAGTGCAACAGATTCTGGTCTCAAAGGCAATTGCATTGATTTCACCAAGGGCAGCGAAGACCGTAAATTTGGATACATATCATATGGAAGAAGATCGAATACACTCTTTCAACCCTTCTCCAAGTGCGGTCAATAATCGGTCTCCACCTTCTTCTTTCCTTGTAATTCAGTCATAGAACAACTTATTTCTCTAGTCTCCCGAAAATAATTTATTTGATTTTATTATTTTAGTTCCACAATAACAAACATTTTCTTTAAAGATAGAAGAAGAAATATTTATTTGTTCTTTACATTTGCTGAGAAAAACGAGCATATATCAAAATTCATTTAGGATTTGTCTATAGATGCAAGCAGAGCCAGGCCAATTTCATTTATTTTTCGTCTTTTAATTTTTCACTGATACGAGCCAACAAATTTATTTATTCCAGAGCAGCAATTGAAGGAATTTGCACATCATATATAGGTTCTTCAGCGCAGTTCACAAATAAAAGCATTTTGTTAGTTGGAGTAAAAAAAATATAAATTACTTAAAACTCAATGATCTTTATACTTCAAAAAAAAGAAATTCATTTTTCTTTTTTGAAATAAAAAAAGCTTTGTTTTGTAAACTAAAAATTAAGTTACGAAGCAAGAACTCTACTTTATTGCAGGAGAAATTGTGGAAGGAGTAAGTCGTCCATTTTCAGATGATGAATACTGTCTAAACAGAAGAACCACAAATCACCAGTCAAACTGCAACAAAAGAATTGTGCTTGTGATCACATTGTTGGAGATGCTTTCTCATTTCAAAGGAAATATCTCAAAGCGTCGACAACTTTCTCCGGCCTGTTAAGGTCACAGGAAACTCGTCACAAACAGAAAGGGAAGAAACGAAGATGAACTTTCATGGCTTAGATTGCAGGAGAATCCATCATACCAGTCCTCTTGCGGCATATGACCTGCTCCTTCAATCAACTTTAGCTCAACAACGTCAGGGTTCTTCTTCTTAAATTCTTCTGCCACCGACTTAGGAAGATACTTGTCTGATAGTCCCCAGACAACTAAGATTGGTTTATCCCAGCTGCATCCATATCAGCCTAATTAACTAAATGACTACACTATTTGCGTTTATATATGAGGCCAAGTTATTAAATGCCAAATATATGTGACTGCATAGTAATTTGCCTGCTTTTTCAGATGCCAGGTGTATCTCATTTTCACCCTAACAAAGCAAGTCACTTGGGTTGGAGAATCCATCAAATTTTAGGTTTTATGCAGCATTAAGCAAAGGGCGGAAACACGAAAAGCACAACATGAAATTTCGGTGAGATTACAGTTTCAAGAAGCTTTACCTTCCTGAAGCGAACCCAGTGGATATTTCGCCTAACAACTTGTTGAAGTTCACTTTCTTAGCAGTTTCAAGCAAGGCTGCAGTGAACACCAAAGTATGCAAAGGAAATACTTGAGAACATTTGGGAGCATCTATCTAGTCGCCATGAATATGGCTTTTGGAACATAACATGAGTGCATTGGAAGATGGAGCCTCGAAGTAGTTAGAAACACATAGAGGTTTCGTAGCTAGCTTTTCTTCAAAACAGATTATTAGGGTGAAAAAAACATACCAAAACCAGGTCCACTGCTTGATAAATATGGTAATCTGTACACATCAGCCTTCTCCAGCTTCAAAACATATCTGCAATCAAAGCATCTATCATGAAAAAGTGCAAAAGCTGCATCGGAAATGTCTTTAATCGTAAAGCTAATACAAGCCAAGAACTTGGATGGAGGAAAACTGTGGCTCTCTACTGTCATGCTGCAACATTTTTACTGATAGATACGCACAAACATTTTTTGTGTTCCGTACAGTATGTTGTGCATCACATCCATCACCATATGTTCTGTGCCCACAATATAAAATGAAACATTTGCAATGCTAGATTCAGAAGTACAAAGTCCAGTTATTCTTTGACCTTTTCTTTTCAAAGCACTTCCAATATTTTGGAAGGGACTGAAATTTTACTTATCAAATCTGCCTCTTCCGAGATATGTTGAGATGACAACACTTTAGGTAGGTGGTTCTTTCTTAAATTTAAAGAAAAATGATTGATACATACGCGCTACCTGCTTCAATAAATCTTTCAGCCATTACAGCATTCTGGCATGTGAACTCGCCCAATAATGGAATCCTAGCAATGGCAAGTGAAGATTTTAGATTCAGTTCAGAATCTAGGAACAAAATTTTGATGAAGGGCGATTAAACGTGTTACTTAGATCAACATCATATCTAAAGCAGCTGTCGTATATACCTGAGCTGTTGAAAGAGTCCAGGAATGGGAGATGAAACTGTCAAAGGGGTATTCAGAATTGCAAGTTTCGATATTCTACCAGGGTTCTTTAAAGCCCAAGATAACCCATAAGAACCTACAAGGAATCCCTGCACAAAAAAAAGCATAGAATAAAATATATGTCATCTGCAGCCTGTATGTCATACAATGTGAACATGTAAACCTTGCATCAGTAATCTAGTGAATAAATTTCAGTAAGTATAATTTTTGTCAAGCATCAGCATGAAGCAATCTTTCCAAACCTGAACAACAAGGAAAAATGGTGCTGTGACGGCAAGGACATCTAATAACTTATCGAATCCATCATGAAACTCTTTTTCTGTCAGAATGAATCAGATTCTCAGAAAGCAAGTAATGATTCCTTCACAAATCTACAGAAATCATCTCTGAATCTTGGCAGAAAGCTAACAACCAGTATAATTAAATCCATATCCAGGCTGTGGCTTGTCACTAAAACCAAATCCAATCCAGTCTGGTGCCAAGCAGTGAAAACCAGAATCAGCCATCTGGCAGAAACCAGCATGTTAGCATACAAACAGAAGCTACAAATAAATAAATAACTAATAGAAGAATCCTTGCCAGATTCCTATACATACGCCATCTTACAACTAAATTTTTACACGATTTTCTATTTCCTTTTTTCATTCTTGCCAGATTCACTCTTGCCAAAAGGATTTCATTTGTAGTGAGTATACCACGACTACGTAAATATGTAGAAGCATGTTTAAGCTCAGAGTCATCTATAAACTTGAATGTAGAAAAAGCTCAAACTGACAGATAGTATGTACCAAAAATGGTCCAGAGTACAAGCTGCAGTACATTTTTAATGATATTAAAATCAAACAGGAGATATAACCTGAGCCATGACGACACGGTAACTATAAGATTGTGTTGGAGCACCGTGAAGAAATACAATGGTTCCACGTCTGCTATCACGTGAACCTGCAAAAGGCAAATTAACATTTTGAATTCAGGTGAAGGAAAATAATCTACACAGCTGTAACAGCAGGAGAATGCAGACTTCACCTGTTTCCCTGACGAACCATCTCAGACCTCCTGATTTAACAATTGAACCATATTCCCTTCCCTTGTCTTCTATTCTCTATTTTGCAATCACAGTATGGGAAGTATATGCACATTAGTACCTAGGTCAATACGCATGACTCGAACAAACATTTTTTCAACAAAACATTAACAGCACACACTATAGATGACATGTCCCTTTCCTCTTAACCTGGTATACCCGTATTTAAGCAAAGTTGTAAAGGAGTTAGTCTTTGTCCTTCATAGACAACTGTATCTGGGGGCACCATCAAGTAGGATCACAATTTTGATAATTCAGCAAAAATTTCCACATCATTTAGAAAAAAGAATCACAAAAAGCATTTCATTGCACTGAAAAGCATCCCAGACACAGACACACCCAATAAACTGTTCATTACTACATTATCGAAAACTATGAAGCCCGGAAAATCGAATCTTGACAGCAGAGTAGATGGTAAGCGATTGCTTACATATAGCATTTGGCCAACGTTGCCATCTTCGGCAGGGACTTCAGGGAGTTGGATAGCACTTCTGCTGGAAGGGTTATCAGTGACAAATCCAAAAGGGTTGAATGCAGGCTTGCCATCATCACCATCATCATCGTCATTTGAAGCTTTGACAGAAACGATCCTTCTTCTTGATATTGGGTTTCTTTTCCATATACAGGTCCACAAGTTAGAAATTTGTCTATTAGAAGAAGAAAATGGAGAAGATGAGGAAGTCTGGAAGCTGTTTAGAGCTGGGGAAGATGGAGAGGCCAAAGAGAAGGCCATATGAGGTTTAGAGAATGGAGGGAATTTTGAGTCCAAACCAACACCACTAATAACTGATTTTCTGACTTGGTAGATGATGTTATATACACACAATATTATTATACTACTGAATCTGTTTTTCTGGTAGCTTTTTCTTCTTGATTGATGACTGGAACTGCAAGCTCCACCTCATATTATTTAATGGAATCCTTTTTTTCTAATGAGTGAATGAAAGTAGAATTATGTTATGAAGAATATAAATGCACTCCAATACACAAGTACATTCCCAAACAAAACAAGAAGATAAATAATATCTTTAGCTACACAATTTAACACACAGCAAATGAGCCTGTAACAGACAAGTGAATGTAAGGAAAAAAAAAATAATAAATAAAATTGGCGTCGCCCGGACTCGAACCGGAGACCTTCAGTGTGTTAGACTGACGTGATAACCAACTACACCACGACACCTTGTTAGTTGTCGATTTCGACTGATATTATATCTAGATATATAATGTTGACAATAATTACTTTGACACGAAGTGGCAAAGCCATTAGACAAACTGACACAAAGGTCAACCATGACTTACGGAAACCAGTTTTCTCCGACCGGCGACTCCTTGTCTGAGAACCCCCGCATAGAAATTAGTGTAAGTACTTCTGAATCCATCTCTCGATATCGCCTTTTCCCGATGATATTATTCGCCTTGTAACTCTTACAGTCTTACTATTATCACATTGTCAACGCAATTTAGATGAATATTGTAGTTTGTAAGTAATTTTTTTCAATTGGATTAGTGGCTTACTTTATGAAATGCTGCGTGGTAGTTCAATTTACAACCGGGATACCATCTATCTGGTTTGAATCGATTCCATCAAATATTGCCATTGAAAGCGAAATAAAGGTTCTGCCTTTCAGTTTCCTGGCCTTTTGATTGTCCAGTTTACGTCCCGAGTAACAAAACGACCATGCATTTCTGTTTCAGTGTGTACTGATAACATAAATTAGAGGTTTTCATACTTGAAATGCATCCAAATAGCAAAACCTAGGGAGCTGTAGCATTTTGTTTATTATTATTATTATTTTTTGGATGTGATGGGGGAAATCTATGAGATCAATTTAATAAGAAAAATTTTCCATTTCAACATTTCATTTGACAGGCGATATGCCTCTATTGACGATGCACAAGGGACACATTGTAGGCTAAAGATTACGATATTGATTTTGTTTTATTAGATAGAATACTGCATATAGAGCCCCTTTCGCCTTTGAGTTGAAAACTGGTAAGGCGAAGAGTGATGGAAACCGGAAGAGTGGTGGTAGAGAAAGTAGGAGGGAAGTCAACCGTTACTTCCTCCTTCTCAAAGTACCCTCTTAAATTCATCATTCCACTGAAGGTGGGTCCTTCTCAAACAGATGTTGTATGGATTTACACCATCACGTATGGCGGAGGCATTGTCTCTGGAGACTCTATACTGTGTGATATTACAGTTGGTGATGGTTGTACAACAGTTTTGACGACTCAGGCTTCAACAAAGGTTTACAAGTCTGTAGGCTCGAAGTGTTCTGAGCAAGTCTTGGAGGCAAGAGTTGGAAGCAATTCCCTTTTGGCGGTGATACCAGATCCCGTGACATGCTTTTCCACAGCAAAGTATTGTCAAAAGCAAGTTTTTAGAGTCTCGTCTGACTCCAACTTGTTGGTTGTTGATTGGATAACTAGTGGTCGTCTTGGAAGAGGTGAAAAATGGGATTTCACCTTTTACAAGAGCACCAACCATATCTTCTCAGAAGCTGATGAGCCTTTGTTTCTCGATACAATATTGCTTGAACAAGAAAAATCTAGTAGTGTTGCTGAGAGGATGCAAGAATATCAAGTGATTGCAATGATTGTACTTTTGGGGCCAAGGATGAAGTTTGTTCAAAATCAAATTCAGGAAAATGTAAAAAGTTTGATGTCTCAGCAGCTACTTGCTCCTTTAAGTAGCTCTGGAAATTACGGCAATGTGCATAATGATCATTGCTTAGCTAAACCCAGCTTTATTGTCTCCAGCAGTGTCTTTGGTCGAGATGGGACAGGGGTTGTTGTTCGAATTGCTGCTACCACAACTGAGGCAGTTTATTGTTTTCTTCAAAGTCAGTTGTCTGGACTGGAGCCGTTACTCGGAGTGTCACCTTATTGCTGAATAATCTTTGTCATTAGGAAACAATATGAGCTTAGACATTTTGCTATCAAAACTGTTAGCATTAGGAAAAAAAAAAAAGGATCCTAATGATTATTTCTGTTTTGAATTTTTATTTTTATTGTGTTTTTTGATACCCGATTATGAAGCGACTCAAAACCCAGTTTCTTGGTTTGTTTGTTTTCTTTTAATATATATCCTTGATGTAATAAAGCAAATTATTTAACACTGCTTTGATAACTTACTCATTTTGGTTATATGTTTCCCTTTGATCATGTTTTCTGTTGCTGTACTGTTTTTCTTGATCAATTAATTCTTGTCTTTTTCACCCCAGGTGGAAGGGACTTCGGAGAACAGTGAACAAAGAGGTGAGGGCAGTCATCAAGAAAGCGATGGTGAGGAGGTCTTTCAGTTTGGAAGTAATGACCTTGAAGATGACAATAACCAAGTTCTTACACTTGAAAACAGTGATCTCGCGCAAACTACTGAAAATTTGCTTGGGATTGAAAGCAATGATTTCGTGAATGATAATGAGCACTTGATTGACTTCGAAAGAAATGACCATGATCATAACAGTGGCCAAATTTCTGAGATCGTCAGAGATGGAGATACAGTAGCGCATAGCGGAAATGTTCTTTCTACAGGAGAGGTTTATCCTTCACCAATGGTTGGGATGGAATTCAAATCCTATGATGATGCCTATAATTATTACAATAGCCATGCCAAAGCACTTGGATTTGCCATCAGGGTAAAATCTTCATGGACAAAACGGAACAGCAAAGAGAAACGTGGTGCAGTTCTCTGTTGCAATTGTGAAGGTTTCAAACCGGTGAAAGAAGCAAGCAACAGAAGAAAAGAAACAAGAACGGGGTGTCTAGCCATGTTGAGAGTGAGGTTATTGGAATCAAGTAGATGGAGGGTGGATGAGGTTAATCTTGAACATAACCACTCGTTTGATCCTGTGAAGGCACAAAACTCTAAATCCCACAAGAAGATGGATTCAGGGACCAAAAGAAACTTAGAACCATCTAATGATGTGGAAGTTCAGACAATCAAGTTGTACCGTACTGTTGTTAATGATACAGTGGGAGATGTTAGCCCTAATGAAGGAGATCTAAGCAATCATGTTGATCAGCCAAGGCATATAAAGTTTCGGAAAGGTGAAGTTGAACATATCAATAAATTCGTTTGTAGATTGCAGTTGACGAACCCGAACTTTTTCTATGTTATGGATCTGAATGACGAAGGGCACTTAAGAAATGTATTTTGGGTCGACTCCTGGTCCAGGTGTGCTTACACTTACTTCGGTGATGTTGTAGTAATTGAGACAGTATGCCTGTCAGAAGAATATGAGATTCGTCTTTTGGTCATTACTGGTGTAAATCACCATGGCCAATCTATCTTGTTAGCTTGTGCTTTGCTTGTAGATGAGTCTGTAGAGACTTACATTTGGTTGTTGAGAGCATGGCTTTCATGTATGTTGGGACGTCCTCCGCAGACAGTTATAACAGACGGCGGCAAGGGCTTACAAAGTGCAATAGCAGAGGTATTCCCACGGGCTCACCATCGCCTTTGTTTGCCCCTTGTAATGCGAAGTATTCTTGAGAAATTAGGGGAATTGGGAAGATCAGAAGTCTTCCACACCATACTTGCTAGAACAGTAAACAATTCTCTGAAAGTTGATGAATTTGAAAGGGCCTGGGTGGAGATGGTCCAGCACTTTGGACTCAACAACCATGAGTGGCTTCAGAGTTTATTTGATGAAAGAGAACGATGGGCTCCAGTATACTCGAAAGATACTTTTTTCGCTGGACTCCTTACTTTTCAGCCAGGAGAGCGTTTGAATACTTTCTTCAATGGTTATGTGCAGATTGACACGACCCTGAAGGAATTTTTTGGTGTTTATGAATCAGTTTTGCAACAAAAGCGTCAGAAGGAAGCTCTTGATGATATGGAATCAAGAGATTATAGCCCCATTTTGAGAACAAGGAGCAATTATGAGCTGCAGCTGGCAGAAGTGTACACAAAGGAAATATTTCTGAGGTTTCAAGGTGAGTTAGAACTGATGTCCAACTGCTTCTGCTTGACACAAGTTCATGCCAATGGCCCAATTATCACATACATGATCAAGGAGCGCGCTGCTGATGGAGATATGAACAACTCAAGAAGCTTTGAAGTAATTTACGACAAATCAGGAATAGAAGTTCGATGCATTTGCTGCTGCTTCAACTTCAGAGGTTATCTGTGCAGGCATGCTTTGAGCATTCTTGCCTTCAGCGGCGTTGATGATATCCCAAGCCAGTATATCCTGTCTCGGTGGAGAAAGGATTTGAAACGCTGGTATGCTCCTGAAATCGGCTCCCACAGTGTTGATATTACAAACCCTCTTCAATGGTTTGATCACTTGTATAGACGAGCCATGCAAGTTGTTGAGGAAGGGATCACATCTCAAGATCACTATATGGTTGCTTGGGAAGCGTTCAAGGAGTCTCTAAATAAGGTTCGTCTTGTAGGAGACAAACATGTCTTACAATAATAGTTCTTGAGGTTCTTTGTGCCTTATATATAGTACGGGAAGTACTGTACTAAAACTAGAAAGTGGCGCTCAGATTCTCTCTCTCTCTTTTTTTTCTTCCTTCTTTTTTTATGTTTACTATCATGATGTAAATTTGTGACCTTTGCTGGCAGTGGAAAAGGAAAGTATGTAAGAACTAACAACCAATTGATCTATGTCCTAATTGAACATTGAACATTAGTTCTCAGTTTCACTTTTTGTGTGAATTCATTAATGAAATAGTGTTTTGTTCCACATAATTTAAATGTACATGAACTTTGATTTTGTTAATAACAATTTTCCTATAGTAGTTTATAATAGGCGGAAATGTATATTGATAAAGGAAAATGATATGTATAGTGGATAAAAAAAATAGTGAAAAAATATACTGAGTGATGTGGAGCATTTTTGGCTTCTAATTTTTTGCCACTTTCCCGTTACAATTTTATCGTTTTTTAAAATTATATTTTTACTTTTAATTAATAAGTACTGAGAATGATGTATTTGTATTTTGATTTGTCCCTGTTACACTACAATTTGTCACTGTTGATACAGAAAAAGGAAAATATCGGGTAAGTTTAAGGGGGAAAAAGAACGTTAGGCAAGCCCACGGTAATAAGGCCTACTTTAGTGGGCTTTATTTAAATTGGAAAAAGAGGCCCAAGTTGCTGGCTCTTGAGTTAGGATCTTCAAGAGAATAGAATTCCTGCGAAACTGACGCTGATTCTCGCCGGAGATGATGAACCAGTAAACCCTCCGGGCTCCGGTAGTCTTTTGTTATTTCACGGTAAGCACTTGATCGCTTTAAAACGTATAATTTTTTTGTTTGAGACATAGTAGTTCGTCAATGGTTGAAGAAGAAAAAAAGATTCTTCTATGCATGAATTATTGAATTCGGTGAAACTGCCTTATTCCTCAGTCATTACCGTAGCTTTTCGCGCGCAGGGGATTTTCTTTCTACAATTAATTTTGGGTTTTTCAGTATATTCTTTGATCGATAGCTGTTTGTTAAATTGTGCTTCAGAATTGAAATCTTAAAGCCCGGGTTTTAAATTTCAAGTAGATTTTGTGTTTTCAGTTTATCTCTTGTTTGGAATAGCTTGAAATCTCATATTTTTTGGGAAAATTTAACTCTTGTTTGATTGACCTAAGCTATTGGCATTTTAACGTGGAGATGCTATTTAGAAAGGTATCAGAAAGTATTTGCTGCATAGTAATCAATGATTTATAGTTGTTTGCTCTGAAAGGTTGGGATACTGAACTTTAAATTTAAAGGTCTTGAAAGTATAACCAACTGCATCCAATCTTCGAAGTCCTTTTTACATTCTATTTTCCTAATTGGGTAAACTTTCTTTTTTTTGTTTCAGATAGTCTATCGAACTGTTAAAATCAATATCGGCGTATGTATCTTTCTGGATGGAATAAGCCCAGTGATGATTAACAAAAGATGGTCTGGCTTTGAATTTTCATACGGATGGAAGAGCTTTCCGTTAATGAAGAGCGGGAATCTGTTTTACGAGATGCAGGAACTCTGCTAGAAACAAGTGTTGAGAATGCTGGATTCAGTGATCGCAATGATAATCCTGAAGGTAGAAAAGAATTTGTTGCACCCGCTATTGGAATGGAGTTTGAGTCGTATGAGGATGCTTACAACTACTACAATTGTTATGCTAGGGAGGTGGGTTTCTGTGTGAGAGTGAAGAATTCATGGTTTAAAAGAAATAGCAAGGAGAAGTATGGTGCAGTGCTTTGTTGCAGCAGCCAGGGTTTTAAGAGAAATAAACATGTTAACCATCTGAGGAAAGAAACTAGAACAGGCTGTCCTGCGATGATAAGAGTGACATTGGTGGATTCTAAAAGGTGGAGAATACGTGAAGTTACCCTGGAACACAACCATTTGTTAGGTTTAAAGATTCATAAATCCATAAAGAAGAGCTCTGCATCCAAGAAGAAGGTGCTTTCGAACGCTGATGCAGATATACGCACAGTGAAGTTCTACAAATCACTTGTTATTGATGCAACAAGTAATGGGAATTCACCAATTCTTGCGCTAGATCCTAGGAGTTCTACCCACTCTGATCAGCTGACTCTAAAAAAGGGTGACCCGCAAGCCATCTACAATTTCCTGTGTCGGATGCAGTTAACTAATCCAAATTTCTTTTACTTGGTTGACCTCAATGATGAAGGGGGTATAAGAAATCTTCTGTGGGTAGATGCTCGATCTAGGGCTGCTAATGGTTACTTCAGTGATGTGGTTTTTCTCGACAATACATTTTTGTTGAACAAATATGAAGTCCCTCTTGTTGCATTTGTGGGCATGAATCATCATGGTCAACATGTATTGTTGGGATGTGGTCTGCTTGCTTGTGAGACAACAAACTGCTATGTGTGGACATTAAAGGCTTGGCTTTCATGCAGGTCAGGGCATCATCCGCATACTATAATTTCTGATAGATGTAAGTTTCTACGGAGTGCTGTTTCTGAGGTTTTCCCAAGATCTTTACACCGTTTTGATTTGTCTCACATCATGAAGAAAATTCCAGAAAAGCTGGGAGGACTGTGCAACTATGATGCCATCAAAAACACATTAGTGAAAGCAGTTTATGAGTCATTAAAACCTTTCGAATTTGAAGCAGCTTGGGGATTCATGATCCAGCGGTTTGGAGTAGTTGATAATGAGTGGCTCCGGTCATTATATGAAGATCGATTCCAGTGGGCTCCAGTTTATATGAAAGACACTTGTTTTACAGGAATGGCAACCACAAGGCTTGGTGAGACGTTGACTGCATTCTTTGATAAGTTTGTGCACAAGCAAACGCCTTTGAAAGAGTTTCTCGACAAGTATGAATTAGCTCTTCAGAAGCGGCACAAGGAAGAATCTCTTGCAGATATTGAGTCAAGAAATACAATTACAGATTTAAAGACAAAATGTTCCTTTGAGATGCAAATGTTGAAAGTTTATACCCGAGAAATATTCAAGAAATTCCAGTTGGAGGTGGAGGAGATGTACTCTTGTTTTAGCACAACACAGCTTTACATGGATGGTCCAATTAATATTTTTCTGGTAAAAGAGCGGCTCCCTGGTGAAGGAAATAGGAGAGAAATCAGGGATTACGAAGTTCTTTACAACAGAGCAGCCATGGAAATCAGGTGCATCTGCAGTTGCTTCAACTTCTATGGTTATCTCTGCAGACACGCCTTATGCGTTCTCAATTTCAACGGAGTGGAGGAGATCCCTTCAAAATACATTTTACCAAGATGGAAAAAAGATTACAAACGCCTATATATACCAGACCAAGAGCCCAGAAATACCACTCAAAAGGATCAGTGGTTGAGTCAGTTATACAGAAGTGCATTGCAAGTTGTCGAGGAAGGTGTCATTTCCTTGGACCATTACAAAGTTGCCTTACAGGTACTTGAAGAATCATTGCATAAAGTTCATACTGTTGAAAGCAAAAAAGAATAGCTTTTGTGCTCTTTTAGCCAGCTTTTCTTGTGCATTGGTGATGTATAGAAAGTACAAGTTTGTCGACTAAGTTTTTCCCAGTATAAATTTTGAAGGAGAATGAACTTGGAATGACCATGTAATGCCGATGAAATACTTTGTTTAACAATGTAGCACAAATACAAAAAACTTTGGATTTGGAAACATTTTTTCCAATGTAAAAGCCATGGATAAAAAAAAAATAATAATAATAATACCAATAATTAAAAAAAAAACCTATAAGCGCAACGCTTTTCTCTGCGCGATTTTCATTTTTCACATACTAAAAGCGCTAAATGTTGAGTTTTCCCTCCAATATACACTTCCTCTTCGCAGTTCTCCCGCCATCTCCACAACCAACATCTTAAAAGAAAACCCAGCAAATAAATCAACAATTAGTCCACCCGCTCTGAGCTCTGTCTCTATCTCTGTGAATTAGATCCATCAGTTTGAACCAGTATCGGAATTCGGAAACAAAGAAATTCATGAAGTTCAAAGCTTTCTTAACCGATCATGGAGTCAGCCTCTTGGAGAAGAGGATTTTACCAGCCCTAGACAAACTGGGGAAAACCTGCCATCTCTATTTCACCAAAGAAACCGTATACTTCCTCCACAATCTCCTCAACGGAGACGGAATCCAATCCGTAGCCGAGTTCAAGAAAGAAGCCCTTTTCGAAGATTATCACATCTCTAGCCAAAACGACAACAGAATTGCTTTCACCATCGATCTCTCCCTCCTTCACCGAGCCCTTCGCAGCATAATCAACGTTTACGCCGAGTTTAGCAGCCATGTTATCGGTGGGCCGGTGGTGAATCGGCTTCAGATTAAGCTGGTTAAGAAATTGCCGGCCCATTCACAGCAGCCGTCGCCGTTTCTGACGTTTGAGACTAAAGGGTATAAATCTGCTGTGATTCAAGATGTGCCCATTTCAAAACCTTTGACCAGGAGTGAATTGGCAGAACTTGAAGCTGCTCTGGATTCAGCCCAGGAAATGCCCAAGACTTTGGTCAGAGTGAAGGATCTGAATCAGCTGGATCAGTTCGTGGATAGAATGAAGCACGTTGGGGATGTGATGAATGTGTCTATAACCAAATACGGCGATCTGCATCTGCAGATTTCGACGTCTTTGATCACTTTAGGGGCTGAGTTTAGGAAGCTATTGGTTTTGGGGGAAAAAGCAGATGCACCTGGAGGGGAAGGAAATTTGAGTGTTCAAACTAGGTCTGGAAGGGCTATTAAAAGGGGTGATGCCATGTCGGTGCAAGTTAGCGTGAAGCATTTTTTCAAGAGTCTTCAATGTCATTTGGCCAAGCCTGATTGTGCTTTCTATGGAATCACTTCACAGGGTTCTTGCTTGACTGTGATTTTTCAGTTCGTCGTTCCAGGTACTCGACAGAATGATAAGTCGATTAGTCTTCATTGCCGGATTCCTGTGCTTGATCCTGGCTCTAATTGAGAGGGGATAATAGTTTGGCATCTTTTTTTTCTGAAAGTGTTCCTTGTAGCTATACTACTAGTACTAGCATAATTTACCAGATCAACTGTGTTTGATCAGAATTTGCCCTTTTCCTATGATAGTTTCTCAGTGTTTCTTTGCACTGCTGCTGCGATGTTTATAATTACAGTGCAGATTGAGTAGTTGATACCAAAACAGAGAGAAGAGCACGTCTATTTGGTACAATATAATATAGCAATTTACCCCATCTTATTCGGCAAGTGCCAAAACATCTTGTGAGTCAGGTATCTGATATTATACAACGAAAAGAATCTCAAAGCGAAAAGAAAAAAACTTCTAATGAAGAAGAGAAGAAATTTACCCCCAAAGAATGAACTGATCTGTTTAAAGAAAAAATTCCTATAACAAAGAAAAAGGTAAAAGAGAAAAACTCTGTAGTTAATCGTTAGTACCTACAAAGCTATAAAGCCTAACTTTCACTTTTAACAGTTGTCGTCTGATCTGCATCAGAAGCAAAATCGCAAGAGCTATATTTCAACCAATCCTTGGCACATATTAGGGCTTCCACCGTAGTTGGTCTTAATCTGCTTCTCAAACTATCCATCTGGCCCTCAGCAGTACTAAAGACAGAATCTGGTGAAGTTGTTGTCAGAGGAATTGACAATATATCTGAAGCCATGATGGATAGGGTAGGGTAATCCTTTTCATTTTCTCTCCACCAGCCCAACACATCAAAATCCTGTACAGGAGGCAAAGCAGGTCTTTCCAGGTACAGATCCAAATCTGATTTCAAATCAGACACACAAAAGTCAAAGTCTACATCAATAAGTTCATATTCTGGATCAGTATGCAATTCAGATTTTATAGCATATTCGTGATCATCTTCCCCAAATGCTTCTGTTATTGGTGGAGGTGGTTGCTGTAAAATATACTCGTGATACAGATCATGCACTGCTCTTTCAACAAACTTGATCCAAGCACCAGCGTTCTCACCATATAATCTGGATAACCCCATCTCCACAAACTGCCTCTTACATCTGGGATCCATGTAAACAGCTACTGCTAAAATCAGGTAACAATCGTTCCAGTATCTTTCAAATTTATCCTTTAGAGGTGTTGCCAGGCTGCTGATGAACGGATCGTGGCTCATGGAAGCATTCACCAGTTCAAGCAAAATTTTCCATGCTTCCAGAAAAAACATATTGGAAGTTGGGTATGATCCTATAGTCAGAATGCTCATACCATCATGCATAAGCTTCAAATATGAGCATAGAGTTTGAACTTGCCTCCACTCATCCACTGTTGGAGTATCTGCACCAGAGATGTCTACGCAAGAAAACACTTCCTTTAATTCAGAAGCAGCTACTAGCATTTCATATGTAGTATTCCAGCTGGTTTTCTCATCCAGAATTAAGGTCCTCGTGCTTGGTACTTGGAGTTGCTCTTTCACTTCGGAAAATTTTTCTGGGAGACCTTTTGAAAACATCACAAATTTCACACTTCTACGGACTTTTTCCACAATAAACTTCATTGCCTCTAAAGCTTCGTGCACTAAACTACTCAAGACACGCGCATAACAACTGCCTGTTATTAGCTGGCCCTCAAGTATACCTGAATTCTGGTCACAGAGTTCACCTGACCTCTGGACTGATAAAAGACTTCTGAGACTGCCCCGGACCTTCTCACTGCTGTTAGGTTGATTAAGAGTAAGAGCAAATAGTTTGCTCTCCAGACACCAATCTTTTAGGCAAGCATTAATTGCATCTTTCAAGGCAAATTCAGAATCATTTAGCAAAGTGATGACACTAAGGATCCTTCGCTGCAACTTCCACTGAAAATCAACAAAGTGCCCCGTTATTATTACATAACTTGTGGCTTGATCTGATGTCCACAAATCCAACCCAAGGCTAACCCGACCCTGAATTCCTCTTAGAATATTCAGAAGATTTTGTTTTTCTCTTGAGTAAATTCTTACGATATGGTTCTGTAATGTATTCATGTTGACTAAGTTATACTGAGGGTTCAGAGCACGTGCAAAACCCTGAAAGCCGGATTGTTCCACCATGTGTAAGGGATAGTCATGTTGGATGATCATTTTGGCCATCTCATGACTACAACGTTCCTGATCAAAGGAAACTTTTGCAAGTGCAGTTGCATTCTTTCGACGCTTTCTAGGCTGATCAATGGCATCTAGTGATCCATTGCTATCTGAATTTGGGGTGCATACAGCTGCTTGATTATTCTCCTGACTCAGTCGGCCCACTGGACAAATTCCCATGTCAACATGTCTTTTGAGGTGGCTCGTACCAGAAAGCTTTGGGCCAGTCTTGTAGGCAAATGATTTTTTGCATTGCTTACAAAAGGCCTTTATGCTGTCCCCATCAGCTGCGCCGATAGTGAAGTAATCCCAAACCATAGATTTCTTCCTCCTGCGTTTCATAGGCTTTGTGTTTGTTGAAATTGGAGTCAAGCTGTTCTCTTCAACAACGGTGGCCATTGAAAGCCTGCAATATGATCCCAAAGAACACCAGATTAAGTTACTTAGTTCGAATGCCTTCTACCGATGCAATTTACTCCTACCAATGTAAATGTTGCAAACTACCACATCGAATTGAGATAGCCCAGTGTTCAAATCTAATTAGATGGACAGGAAAGGGCTTAAATTCTTAATCTCATTGGCATACTTCCTAAACTGGATCCTAAATATTGAGTAAAAATTAATACCTATATACAATACAATACTAGGTTACCATGCAAGTCATGTGAATTCATTGAAGAATTACACAGATTATAAGTAAAGGAATTGAATTGGATTCCTACATATGCATATGCTATCCTATCATTGCTTCAAATAAAACACCAAATGTAATCTAATAAGCCTCCAACATCAGTTAATAAATAGCCACATAAGACCCTAACTTGCAAGACTAAAGTAATAGTGACTGAATCCCCAAAGGTCTGCAAGAACCATGGCAATTAAATTGCCAGAGGCTAAAATTCAATGAGAGAACACGAGGAAGTGATTTGGGTAGCTGATACAATGCCAACTGAACTTATATCCTACTGGCGGAATAATAGCACAAAAAAATTCACCAACCTACTAACTCTATACGCACTCTGTTCAGTTCAGCTTAGCAGGCAATGCCCAAGAACACAAATCTCCCCGGCATCAAAACCAACACGCATAATCATAAATCATCCAAACCCACCCAAGAACGACTTAAATAAATGGGGAAAAAAAATAAACTTCTTCCAATTAAATCATCCAGCGTCCATCAAAAGTTACAAAATTATAAACACCGCGCCTAAACACAACAAATACACTCCCCCAAATTACACAAAACAACAAAAGTTTCGCCAGGGCATAGTTTCCTACCCAAAAATTCATCTCAAAGAAACCCAAAAACCCACTAAAAACCGTGAAAAAAGCAAACAAGAAAAGAACAACGTGAAAAAAGGCGCGAAAGAAACGACGGCACAAAGAATCAGCGTAACATGCATACATGAAACATCGAAGAAACAAACTAAAGAGATAACCAAAAAGAACTAACCTTGCGAATCCGCCTTCGGAAATCGGAATTGGTGGCGGACGAGTAAGGGGTTTAGGGATTAAACCCTTTCCCCAAACTTAATTTTTGAATTTGGCGAGAAAGAAATATAGAGGAGGGAGACGACAGAGAAGGAAAAGATGGGCTTTTTCTTGAGCCGCCCTCTTCACAAGTCTAAAACCCTAAAACAATTTTGGACTTGGCTTCCGAATTAAGAGTTGGACCATAAATCCATCTCCTACGCGGGTATTTATTGAGCCCACCGTCATTGGTAATTTCCTTTTTTCTTTTTTAACCGCGTACAAAAATATTTTGGAAAATACTGCGGCTTAATTATTCTCTTTCCTTCTTTGAAATATTTTATCCAAAAATAAATAACCAGGTAATAAGTTACAAAAACCGAAAATTGCTCAAAATTAAAAATATAATAATAGAATTATAAGAAATAAAAAAATTTAAATTTGTAGTTAAATTTACAAGGAGTACTCTCAATACATGTTATGAATGGAAAGAGTAACAAAAGTGAAAAATAGGTACGGTTATAACATTCCAGGAAAATGTCATGAAAATCATGTATGAACCTAAAATATAATTACCTTATATTTTGAATGATGACAAATTTTTTAAGAAGACATATTAAAATTTACTCTCAAGTATTTTAAAAATAATTATATTATTATTCGGCAAATGAATAACGAGGATGTTCTAAGCAGAGGCAATTACAGCGGACTAAACCCTACTTGACATGGGTGGATCCAGGGGCAAAGATGTCACTTTATCTATAAATTTAAGCTAAATTCTTTAACATTTTCTTAAGTGGTAATCATTATTGAATTTCGCGTACTTCCTAACACTTTTCTTTGTTGGTAAGCAATATTATATGGATAAAAAATATCTTAATCATATTATAATCATCCATTCTATGTATTTTATTGAGATGGAAGTATTATAAACGTTTGTGATAAATCAAGATTATGTTAACGTGATAATCATCATTTCAAATTTATAAATTTATATTGCATGTGAAACAATAATAGTTTTCGGGATAAGTGTCGTAAGCAAACTTATCTTATGACGCAATAAATCAATGGGGGCTAAATTAAGACATTTTGAATCAGAATATGGTAACAATACGGTTATATAAGCTATAGCAATCAACAAGGACCTAATTCCAAAGGCCTAATCCAACCGTGCAATACTGAAACGTACACATTATTAATTTACATCACTTTACTTTTGGTTTTTTTTTTTTTTTTTTTACAAAAAGAGGGGTAACGCTAGCTTGGAATACCATAAATGTATTACTAATAGTGCTCCGGGAGAATACAAAACCCACACTCTTGGTTACAAGAAGCATCATAAATGAATCGTTTGTAACATATGTACGTTTGACAACGTCATGCCAAAACTACCTTCATTTTCAACTTCACGACATTGTTGCGGAGACATCAGATCGGATTCAGGGACAATGTCATTGTGACAATTTCCAAAATAATTTATAATGCGATTGATATGACGATCAATTTGGTTAGTTGATTAAATCGTATATAATGTTATTGGACAGTGCAAATAGTGTCACAAAAAAATAGTACAGAAGATCATGTAAAAAAAATATTGATGATATGATATGATGATATAAGAGTAGTGCTACTAGTGCTGCTCCTCCTCCCCAATTTATCACCGATCCATTTCTGTACGGACTCGATCTCTTTCCGACCACTTAAGCAAAAAAGAAAGTGTAAGATCTAATAATATGAACATATGATACCTGTCTACCTGCCTGCACCCTCAAACCTTATGTTTGGATAGATAGCTAGGCACTCAAATAATGAGCTACCCTGCATGCCTACATTATCATCATCATTGACATGAATACTACTGTATTTTACTACAACCCAATTTTCCTACGAACCCCCCCATCAAAATTTGAACGACACCTGTTAAAAAAAAAATGAAAAAAGAGGAAACGGACTTCTTTCTTGAACAGGACAAGTATTGCGAAGAAGTCTGATTTGCTGCATAAATATCATGTCAATTCTTAAAATAATGCACTTCAATTCGAGTATAATAACACTATCATTCATCCCTCTTGCGGGGGTACCTTAATTAAAAGACATTGGATGTGTGAGTAGTGGGCAAGTCACAACTATGATTCCAGCTACCAATAGAGTTTTTGATGAATTTTATGTGAAATAATTATTTGTGTACTCCCCCTCCATCCCCTGGCCTAACTGATGTGCACCAATAATCAGTCTTTCCAGCCACAAAAGAAAGGATCCAAATTAATGTAGTAGTAGTTCGAAGATGTTAACTCAATACCATGCATGCTTGTTGAAGACAACAGAGGAGAATTAAAGAGTTATTTTTTAAGTTTGAGACTCGATCTATTGAACAATTACTCTCCATTTCTAGACCCAATCAAAAAGATTCAAACGAGATCACTAAAATTATGCCCCGGCCCTTATCGTGGATCATGTCAAAGTAGTTCCAGATTATGTAAATTTACTATTCGAGCATAATTATAGGATATCTCCATATCAAAAGTTGCAAATTAAAGTTACTTCTTCACGGTCTCATATTAATAGTCCACTTTTACTGACACTGACACCTTCTGCTAACAAGAAAATCAAGAAGATGATTCGATCGACTTTACTTAATTTGGAGAGCCATTAAGAGAAGATCTGGAAGAAGAAGAAGAGAAACAAAAAAAAAAAAACGGGTTAAAGTTCGTTCCCCGCATCGACCTATCTAAGAACAATTGCTTACCTTATATGGTTGAAGTTGCTGAAACGCATCAAAGGAATGGTTTTATTCTTAGAGAAAGATGAGAAGAAAAAAAGATGGATCTTGTTTTGATTGATGAAGTTCCAATTTTGCCTTGTCTTCCCGCAGCTTTCTTGAGCTTCTTTGCTCCATTGATTATCATCATATCAATCAAACAATTGAACGTAAAATCAAGCAATCAAAGGGAATTTAGAAGTTCAAGAAAGCTGTGGAAAAGCATGGCTGGACTTGCACTACTTATACTTTGTAAGTATTTCTTTTCACTTTCTTTCTTTTTTCCAATGCAATATTATTACATATTACAAATGATCATCATCATCAATTCGACCTTGCTGCAGAGATTTATATATATAGGCGCACCAAAAAAAAAAAAAATAAATTTTGGAGGCAAAAACGTTTTATGGGTCAGAAAAAACTCAGGAGCATATATGTCGATGATTATTACATTGATAATGGGGGGATAGGAAGAGGACCACTGCTGCAGCAGTGGCCTGATATCTACGGCAATATAGCTATTTAGCCAGGCTAGCCTGTAATAATAATACGCAATATTCTGATAAAAAGAAAAAAAAAATGTAACAGCTTTAAAGTATATATATATATAATTGGCAGAGACAGTGGAAAACAGTGGTGAATGGGATGATTAGTAGGGTTCATTTTTCTCGATGGATTTTTCTTGGATTTTTTTTTGCACATTTTGTATTATTCCTACTATAGGCCTTCAGATTTGAGGGTCCTAAATAATTAGTTCCAATTTTCCAATCTTTTATCGATCACATATATTACAGGTGATAGATTTCAGCATTTTGTGCCTAAACACGCCGAGAATTAGAGAAATTATGGATTGTTTCTAAGATTTATGAAGACTTGTAGTTACTCTTCTTGTTATAACAGGGCAGTTAGAATCATAAGGATTGTACATTTATTGTGTTCTAAGATACAATATACACGGGGATATATAACAAACTTTATACACAAAACTACAATAATAAATATAAATATTACAATAAGGGCAAAATGTGTAACATATATGCACTCGTGAGAAATCCGTCGACAAGATTTTTAGTTGTGCACAAATTTCTGCACCAAAACCTCTTCCAACGAAATGCATAATCATTCATATGCATATATCTGCCTCTTATCTACCTACGCTACCAGAATTCATGCATATATGTTTTATGTAGGTTACTCAGAACAAGGGGATGGATGGTGGGTACGAAGTGTACAACCAGCTGATTGCTATTATTTTTGTTACATCAGTCATCCTTTTCCCTCTTTTTTATTTTCCTTCCTGCCTTACCTAGTCTTGTAATGTCATTCATCCTCATCAACTTGTCACACACCAAATGGTACACATTGTACGTGCAATTTTTTTTTTTTTTCCTTATTGTGTTATTCAGTGCAGCTAGGTATGGTAATATTTGCAATGTATATGGTACAATTATTTGATGATTGAGGTAACAAAAGGGCCTAAGGGAAACGTGTGCATCCCTACATTTCTGTTTGGGTTGCTTTTGGTAAAGATTGGCCACCCCTCATCACTTCCAAATTTATGCAAGTTTGCAACAATTATAGTCCCCACTTTTCCAACCAACAAAAAGATACGAAAAAAAAAAAGGTCATCATCATGCAACTGTGATTAAAACATTTTTTAGAAAATTTTTTCTCTTGAAAGAACATATCTTACTCAAATTTCAATTGATAAGTACAGTGATTCAAATCAGAAAATATCTTACTCATATTCGGAATTCCGAATATTGAGTGCATATATAATATATATGAAAAAAATACTATATTTTTTCTGAAAAAAAATCACTTTGAATTTTGACATTTCTACTATTTTTAGTACAAATTTTAAAACTTCATACATTTCAAAACTCAATGCAGATATTTTTTTCTGGGGACAGAGGGAGCATTAAAAAGAAAAAGAGGCTGAAATTCCACAGATATTCATTGCAATTCAAATCCTATGAACGCCAAGTATCATGATGCAATTGGAGAATTAAATTGAACCTATATCTTATTGATAAAATTGAAAAAGTACCATGAAACCATAACACATTGTTAGTAGTATGTGATTACCACTTATTAAACCAAATATATATTCGGGGAGGGGGGGGAAAAAGAAATTGGTGGATTTGAATTTTTCAGATGATTGACATCCCTTTTACCCTATTAAAGCAGAAGACATGAAGCTTATGTGGCAACTATGTATGCATCTGTTTTGGCTCCAATGCACCATATTTCAGATTTCAGAAGTCTTTTTGCCACGTGTAAGTCTCTTTTAATTAGAAGTTATATAATTTTTTTTTAAAAAAAACACATGTTTTACTACAAATAAGGATCAGTTACATTTCAAATGAATGGATATATTAATTCAAATTCAAATGTCCAATCGTATAGTTTTGCAGGCTTAATATAAACAAAAAATAAAAATACCTAAATTCAGCAATTAAGAATAATGCCTTATAAATTAATTATTTATTATTCCCTTATAACCTCATATTTATAGGTATATTTTTTTAAGCCCCAAACCATAGCATAAATGATATATACGCCAAATTAATTCCTCAAAAAATAGTAATTCAATTAGATTTTAATAAAATAGTAATTTAGAGGGGGCGCCCGGATATCTGTCCGGGCCAAGCATCTAGTTGATATTTATAATATTGATGGGGGCTATACTTTATTCATCAAAAGAATTTTAAAAACAAGTGGAGAAACGTTAATTTCCTTTAATTCCATGTGTAAAAATCACAATCGATAAAATTTAAGGGTCTAATCCGGTGATTTAAACAAAACTATATATATTACCTTAAGGACACTAATGACTGACGGATTTTTCCGTAACGAAATTCAAAGTGAAAAGGTAGAAGAAGAAGAAGATGAATTTCTATGGCGGATACCACGATTATTCCCTCTATCTCTTCGATTTGGGCGCCACCGATCCTACTCTTATCGAATCCCTAGCTCGAACCAACGGTTTCCTTGATGATAACCGTGATGATCATCACAGTGCCCGAAGTAATTCCACCCTCAAATTTGGTCCAGAATCTGGCCGGCGAAGTCCGCCCAAGCACCGCCACGATGGCACTTCGCCTCTTCCCTTAGGCATGGATTGGAGCCCTGCTCCTCGCGTTTGGGTAAGATTTTATTAATCATTAAACGTAATCAGCTTTGAATTCCTTGGGACTGTTTTTCTGTGCGTTAATTTCTGAATTCTGCTGTTTAATCATCAGTTCTGCTGGCCTTTTCTTTCTTTTAGCTGTTGAATTGTATGAGATGCTTTAAAATACATCAAAGTGGGTCCAGATTAATCGAAGAAAATTTATCTTATCGAATTTGAGTAATTGATTTGATTACGGTTACTAATGATTTTAAGTCCTTCTTGAGCTCATTAAGATTCTGATTCACAGTAGACTGTGAACAGACTTTTGTATTTAAGAATTTTTACTCCATTATCAATGTCAGTTAGAGCCTTCAGCACATTGATTTCCATTGTCTCTAGACTTCGAGGAGTACCTTATGGTCTTCAATTATATGTGTTGTTGCAGGAAGGACGGAATACTGTCTGGCCACATGACTTTCATACCGGATGGAGTTTTTGTGTCACTGTTCCTTCTTGGACTATCATCCCTAAACCCAGGGGTTTAGATCCCATAGTGGTAGGTGATATTCATTTTCCATTTCCCTTGTCCCACTTTAACTTTAATTGAAGTGACCTCAGCTGTGATTTCCTTACCTGAATTTATTCTGTGACCATCAGTACACTATATTTTGCGTGCTCCCGGCCTTTAATTGGGTTAAATGCTGTCTGTAGAAATTGGTGGCATGAATTATGTTTTATCTACTTCACTTTCTGCTGTTTTGGAACTCAGCAATCTTTCACACTATTCCTAGTGATGGTCTGTAGGGAAGAATTCTTTATTTTAATTATTTTTTATTTTATCTTGTGTTAACGTTCGTTAATGTAGTTTTACAGGGTGCAAGTGGGTATACAATCCCCAGAAGGAATTTCTAGTTCACGAGGAATACTACGGCGATTTAGAGATTTCTTGAAGCTAGCTTCTGATGTAAGTTACCTTCTTTTGTTATGCTTTCACTGAATGTTTGTGTATTATCTTGTGATGAACTTATGGATATTTCCTAGTTTCCTAAATATTTACATATTTGCTTCGGATGCTTCTTTGTCTATTGAGTTCCACCAACTGTAATCTTAAGTCTCCATAGTTGGTCATATGGTTGAATTCTTTTGAAGCAACCATCTCTTCTGGTGTAAGCATTTGCAATTAGTTTTATCTTTGCTCTTTTTTTTCAGCTCAAAAAGGAATTCCCTCGGAAAAAGTTGCCCCCGCCTCCATCAAAAGGGCTCTTGAGGATGAAAAGCAAGGATCTAATTGAGGAGGTTACTAGAACTTTTTGTTTTCTCTATCTATCCATATTTTAGTTTTCATGTCTGGTGGATAATCTGAGATATCATCTCACTGTGCTTGTAAAATGTCGGATCTAGTTGTGTGATTCTCTGGGCCGCATGAGTTTGTTCTAGTTCCTCTAAAATTCTAACATACTTGTGTGTTATCCTTCTATTACTTTAGGAGGATGTCTACATGCGAGTTGTCCAGTTTTGTTCGTATGCATGGTCACGAAGTGGACAATATTGTTTGCACGTACAATTGCCCATCATTTATATTTTCACCAAATATCCCTAAATTGTTAGAAATTTGCGGAAAAAAATTGCCCATCAAAATTATATTTATGCATGTATGAACATTCTGAAAGTTTTTCCCCACCAAAGCTTTGGAGCCAGGCTCCGCCTTATATGAATGAACAACTGGTTCTCTTCAGTATGCAAAATCTGTAGTAAATGGATTTTTGAGAAATTTTTATAAAAATTATCAGTGTCAATCACGTGGTTGGAATTGTAGATGCGTGGGTATTGCCTACTCATACACTACTTAGTTTTAAGATGCGGTACTTTGAAGACAAAGTGCTGAGCATCAAATTAAAGTATGTTAGCTTCATATCAGCGTAGGTCTTCTTTGGGGGATTGGATAGAAAATCTTCTTTCTGACATTGATGTATCAAGGAGCGCAACAGTTGGAATCTTTCTTGAGCTTGAAGGAGCCGCAAGATCTTGTAGGTGTTTCATGCAAATACACAATTTCTTCTTATTTAGACTATTTGATTTTTTGGACACTTGAGGTGCTTGTCCAAAACTTAACTGATGTTTATCTATTGGTGGTAATTCTCAGCATTCTATGTGGCAAATCAGAATGATTTAGATCAGAATTCTCCGGTTGGTTTTATGGTTACATCTGAGGAGGACATGTTAAACCACATAGATGGTTCTTTGGTTGCCGGTCCATCCATTACATCAGAGGATGGAAATTCTACTTACGAGGCATCTGACGTAGGTACATCAAGAAGTGGGATGAAAAGTTACTCTGAACTTCGCATGGAGAATGCAACACATGATTCAGCAGTAAACAGTATCCTGGTTGTAGGCAAGGATGGGTTTTCTGATAATGACGACTTGAGGCCTTCCAAGGTATCTGTTCAAGAGAGTCGGAAAAATTTCCATGATGGAGGACCATCAAGAGATGACAACGCTGCTATTGACCTACACAGTTTGGGGATAGGTCCTTTGCAAGTTGTATCTGATCATAGAGGTGAGAAGGAACACTTGACTGAAGCTGAGAAGTGTCCTACAATACTGTCAAAGGAAATTCTTGAAAGTGAGGTCTCCGCATCAAGGCTTGAAGTCCCACAAATCAATGATTCCCCTGCGAGTCAGGAAATATTTTCACATGATCCGTGCATCTTAATTCCAACAGAAGACCAGAGTAAGATGAACAGGCTTCTCACCACTGTGGAGCAAAGAATATCGACTGCAAGGACAGACGTGGAAGACCTCATAACAAGATTAAATCAGGAACTTGCTGTTAGACAATACCTTTCAACTAAGGTATTCCAAGTTCAGATTTTGTGAACTAAAAGTGGATTAACAGTTTTCAATATCTAGATAACCTTTTGTGACTTACTTTACTTTTGTGTTGGGTTTGGGGAGGACCAAAAAATAGTCTTGTGCAGCAGAAAATGTCGTTTTCCTTTGTGTGCTCGCTAATTTGTAACATAAGGAACACAAAGGTGATTTCTCATATATAATATTGGATGTATAGTTGGGAAGATTCAAATGTTTATATTCAAATTTAAGTTTAATTACCGTTTACTTCCTCCACTTTTTGTGAGAATAGAGTGGTGGAATGGGTAATCTGGTTCGTGAAGTTTTTGAAATTGAAACTCTTAGGTCAATGTATTTACCAGGATACCTGGCAAGAAATCTGATCAGCTTTGCAGGGTTCGTTAAAGTTTTATTTCGGAAGTGTTCATAAATGCTCATATTTCTAATTATTCACTCATGATATTTCTAGGTTCAAGATTTAGAGCTGGAAGTAGAAACCATGAATCTGAATTGGGAAGAAAGTCTGCAGCAAGCTGTTGGTGTTGAAAAGGAGAAAGTTACTCAAGTGCAATGGGATATGGAGGAACTTCGAAGGAAGTGTATGGAATTGGAGTTGATGTTGAGAAAGGAACAGGTAGAGTTTTTTTTGTTTTCCTTCTAGTCTAATTTAGAATTTCGTTGTTAATGCTTATCATTGACTTTCTTCATCTTTTAGGAGGAGAAAGCTCTTCTTGATTCAACCAAGAACTCCATCACTCTTGATAATGATAGGCTGCAGCAGGAATTGGACGTCACCAGGGAGCAGGTCTCGATGCTGCTAAAGCAAAATGAAGATTTGGGCGTAAAGTCCAAATTGGACTTGAAAACGCTTGCTAAGGAAGTTAAATCTCTTCGGAATTCTCAGTCAGAATTGAAGCAGGAAATTGTTAGATTGACGAATGAAAAGGTTGGTATCGAGGTTTTATTACTCTGTTTTGTCAGTTTTTCTTTTTCTTAGTCAAAATGGTTCAGTTGTTTTATTTTTTTTGGATAGTTAAGTCAATTGTTTTAGAACAAGCTTCATCATGAAAAGAAAATTATTAGAATATGCTTTTTTTTTTCTTGAGATTATGGCTCATTGTTGTGTAATAGCATTGATATTGATGCTTATAAAATCTTGGATTGAGAAATCCTTGTATATTATGAGACTTTGAATATTTTGTTGGTGTAGTCAAATTCATTTTCCCTAAGGACAAACTTTCTATAATCTCCATTTCAGAGGATCCTTCAAGAGGAAATACAAAGAAGGGAGCACTCTGATGCTGCTAATGCAAAGTTGTTGCATGAATGCAAAGTTCTCCGTAGTCGGCTTGAAGAATGTAGAATGCCTTTCCTGATTGAAGAAGAAAATAACCTGACTGTAGACACTTCTACACCGTCTGAAGCAATTGACTTGTTGAGTACATCAGATAATCGAATAGGTCTTTTACTGGCAGAGGTATGTCCATTCCTTTAAACTAGTCTTCATATGGCATCTTTAAGCTGTTAAGCTTCCATCACTTCGCATATCAGTAATCTTCAAGTTTTAATTTTTAGTTTCTCGTCAAGCACTAAGGTGATGATTGTTAGGTTATAGGGGATCCAAATTGAGTGGCAACCCATTACATAAACTGGTGGTGGGAATAGCTCCCAAATATCATACCCACAACAGCAAAGTTTTAACAAATATATAGCTTTTCCAGTTATTTTTAACTCATCAAACAATATCTGGCGAGTAAATTTGAAAGATGCTGTAGAATCAGAATACTTTCCTTTTCGAAATATTGGCAAATCTCCTTTTGTGGCTTTGAGTGGGTTAAAACTTAAAACAAATCTACAAGGGAATCCAGCATTTCTTGTTACTCATGAATTGTTTAATGGCATTGAGCAGGCACAGCTTCTTAGTGAAGATGTAGAGAAAGAGTCGACGTTTGGAAGTCCCAATGTGGATGATGGACATAGAAGAGCGCCTGATGAAGCAATCAGGAAGGTGCTGGCTGATGTCTTAGTGGATTACGCTAGTCTACGGATACAGATGAATTCTCTTCTTCGCGCCGCTCTTAGTACTCGTGAGTCCGAGAAAGATGCAGAACTTACCTCCCCAAGAGAGAGTTTACTAGGCAAACTTTTGGACAGGTGATCAAACTAAAATGTAGAATCATCAAGTGAAGGAGTTTGGTCTTTTGCGTTGTTGTACGTAGGATTCATACTGTCATCGAAACATAAACACCTAAAAAGAGCTCTGAAATATACCAATATCTATTTACGCAATGATACCATTTTAATAATTTTGGGATCAGTCTTCGTCTTGACGGAAAAGTCAGTAAAGTATTTAATAATGCAGTTACTAGCTCATAACAGAAGCAGCAATAGGAAAATCTTGTATCCAAGTCATTTGAGTTCATTCAGTCAATGGTTTAACGACGTCTGAAAATCCCAATTTGTATAGATTGCTATATCTACAAACTGACACGGGATCTAGAAAATAAAACAATTCACAAGAAAATCACTTCAGCTTTGGATTTGTCAAAAGCTACAGCACAATTTGAAAGGGTTCTCCTGATGATTGGAAGGGAACTTCACTTGTCCCCACCTCCGAACATACTCATCATATCCTTAGGCATGCCTCCCCCCATGCCGCCCATTTGCTTCATCAAATTTTGTAAGCCTCCCATGCCACCCATCTGCTTCAGCATCTGAGGTGGAAGAACTTTGCTCATGTGCTGCGCATTCACATTCCGAGATAGGGCATTCATCTCTCCCTTCTTTGGAATCTTGAGTCCCTTCATCTTGGTCCATATCTTTGCCAGGCGCTTGTATTCTTCAAGCATGTCCATCACCTCTCTCACCTGACGACCAGACCCCCTTGCTATCCGCATCATCCGTGAATCAGTGATTAACTTAGGGTTTGTACTATCCAATTCTGCATTAAAATGTAAATACTATTAGATTAGCACACATTCAGATTCTTCAATGGATTAGGATATGTAAGGTTCCACTGCTACAAGCGAGAAACATCATTAACTTGCCTTCGTTAGTCATTGAGTCCATCATAGTCATGTAACGTTTTATCTTGGCCTGGCTTTCTTTCTCATGGCCTTTAGGTATCAATTCTGCGCTGAATCCTGGGAGCATTGAGAAAACCTACAGCAATCAAGCAAGAAATAAAAACGACAGAAACATACTTCAGATACTATCATAACTAAAAACACGTGCACAAATTTTCCTAAAGCTAAAAGCACTCAAGAAATTAACCAGCAATGGCCAAAGGTTTCCGAGAATCAATCTATTAAGATTCATAGCATAGACTGATGCCAACTAATTTGATGATTCTACTATCATTTCTGATAAAGCACCTGTATTAAACTAGTTTCCAATGCTCTTATTCAATTGGCCTCCTCAAAGATAAATAAGTTTGATCCCAATGCTTTTACTTGACAGTCTAGTCTAACTTTCCAAAGCATCCAATAAATTCCAAAGAAAACCCATGGAAACACAACTCACCTGCCCAATGGGGCCCATTTTAAGTATGTTCTGGAACTGCTCATACATAATCCTCAAAGTGAAAGTTCCTTCTGAAAGTTTTTGAAGAAGCTCAGGCTGTTGATCCATTGGGACAACTTCGTGTATCTTATCCATAAAACCAGACCAATCTCCCATGCCTAAGTATAAAGACATAACGACCACCAGTTACGAAACACGGTAGAGACGAAATACAGAACAAGTTGAAACTCAAGCAAGGAAATTGAAAATAAGGAAATAAATCAGTACCTAACAAGCGACTGACAAATGGCTTTACGTCAAAAAGTTCAAACTCGTCCATGTGCTCACCGGTACCAATGAATATGACAGGACTTTTTGTGGCTGCGACTCTACATAAAGAGTAGGAGATGTCAGCATCACATAGAACTCTAAAGGAGATTACATCAGGCAATGTTATTTAGGCACGCCAGTGTAAATTCGAATAAAATCTTTTTGCTTTCGTTGACAACCACAAACTTCTCTTGAACTCAGTGAGCTACCCCAAACAAAAACCCCAATTTATCAATGTATCAAAGGATAAATGCATAACATAAAAATTCCCGTACAATGCAAACATCCAGCAGAAAATCTTAAATTAGCAAGCTAGCAGAATCAAAATTCAGAACTTACGCGCTGAGAGCACCACCACCCTTGGCATGACCATCCATCTTAGTAATGATCACGGCACCAACTGCAACACTTTCTTTGAAAGCCTGAGCCTGATCAAAAGCAGCTTGACCAATACTGCTATCCATAACAAAGATCACAAGATCTGGTTTCTGCGACATAGCGATGGACAAATTAGCATATGAGGACCAATAAAAGGAACATGATATTACAAAAAAGGCACATACCGTTGCTTCAGAAACTTGACGCATCTCTTCAAAAAGAGATGCTTCCTGTTTGTGGCGTCCACTAGTATCAACAATGATAAGGTCACAGTTTTCCTTCTTAAATCTGTCCACACCTTCAACTGCAATTTTAACTGGATCGGACTCTGTGTAGCTGTTACACAATAATAAACAGAATGAAATAACTGAAAAATGAATGGATACCATACACACCAGGAACTTCAAAGACAAACGATTATAAAACATATTAATACTCCAATTATTATTTTCTTTAAGCATACGTTTTCAGTGATAAAATGACAGCCAAGAAATCAAATGCTTTCAGTAGGAACTGTCAAGACATTGTAGCTACCATAAAATTGCAAGTAATAAACTTATGCGTTCTGCATATATCTGAGCAAACTTTGATGTTTCACTTCACCCAATTTTGATTTCTTGACATTATGGATGATTGCACAATAAGATACCATGAACCACCAAGATATAAAGAATTTTAGCTACTATCCCAGGCCCCAGCTATCATAATTCCAAACTATACGAGTCTTCAGTTTTCATTGGCATAGGAAATGAGCATTACCAGTCAAATAAGAGAGAAACTTTCTCAGAAAAACAACTTACAACAGCCACTACTGATAAAGAAGATGCACATTCATAAAAATGCAAACTGCATTTATCAAGTCATAACATGACATTCAGAATTCTAAACTGAAATCAGCTAAGTTTCTCTGTTTTCAAAAGGCAACATAAAAAACCAGCAACAATGCTTAAGAGACCCAAAACCCACACACCTTCCATAAAATGGGATTTTAGCTTTTGTTGCATTCTGCTTCAGTTGATCAAAAGCACCAGCCCTGAAGGTATCGGCACATACCAAGGCAGGTTTCCACCCCTTCTTCTGGTGGTAGTATGCGTACTTTGTACATGTGGTTGTTTTACCAGATCCTGCAAGCTCAGATAAAATCATTCACAAAGAAGTTACAGAAGAAATTGGCAAAGGAAAAGTAAATATGACAGCATAATAAGTAAGATCCACCAAAACACTATGAAACTACAGTGCCTGCGCCAACCAAAGAGCATTCACCAAACCCCAATCAGGAATGATGCTCTTAGCATAACAGTTTAAGTATCAAATAAACTAACCAATCAGGGAAAAAAAAAAAAGAAAAACGAAGTAAAATTAATGCACGCATTCAAGTACCTTGCAACCCTACAAACATTACAACACTGGTTTTCCCTTTCTTAGGGGTGAATGAGGGTTTTCCGGGATCCAACATCTTGCATAGCTCGTTAAATATAGCCTACAAAAAGAAAACCACCCAATTAAAAAGTAGCACGTGATAAGGGATAGATTAAAAAAGCAGACAGCATACAACTGCCTAGGTGAAAAACTGGAATGATACAACTTAAGGCATGATAACAACTTCTAAGAGGGCAATCTCCAGCAACTGACAAAATTTAATTCATTCTGTCACCTCAAACGAGGCTCATTTAGTTTGAACCTATTCCAAACATAAAAGAAATTACAACTTCATAAAACTCACAATCAGAAAAGTAAAAGAAAAAGAGATCCTATACATAGCAACACAATATATGAACACTAAGCTCGAAAATTTTCCAAAATTTAAAGGGCATTGCAATGCTCAAGACCTTTGCAACATCAACAACGAAAATTTAGGGGAAAAAAGAGGAGAGTAAACTCATACCTGCTGGATGATTCTACGCTTGTTATGTCCAGCGGCAAGATCCTCCAGATTGACAATTTTCTTAATATTAGATTGCATATCACGGACAAGCTTGAATTGAACATCGGATTGAAGGAGAGCCCTGGTGATCTCATTCAGGCAATCAGTGAGAACTTTTTCGTCGATGATTGTCGCATTGCTCATCTGCTGAAGAGCACGCGATATGCTCGAACCTAACTCTGCTAACACCATCTTTACGGCCGCTGAATTCTTCACTCAAAACTCAAAACGATGCTGGTGAAATTAGTTCCCGGGGTCGTCGATTAATCCTATGCAAAGCGATCAAATCCTAAGATATCAAAAAAATAATGAAATCCCGTCCGAATTTGGATGAGAAGTCGGTCGAAGCTATCCAATTAGGGTTTTCGGAAATGTTGAAATCTAAGGATCGATTCACCTCCTCACCGGTAATGAAGAGAAACAGGAGGCTGGTGAATTTGACCCGGAGCAACCGAACCCGGTAAAAGGGTGATGGCCAACTTTTTGTTGGGCCTCTGAGTCGGGATAAACTGGGCTTTTCGATGTATTTTAGCCCGTTTACTCGTTTTCTTTAGCGTGAATTGCATTTACAACCTCGACATTTATAAAATTACAATTCAAACTCAAAGTTTCTTTGTGCTACTCCTAACAAATAGGACAATAAATCACAAAATCAGATTCTTCAAAACTGTTTCGAAATAAAAACAAAAAAGATTATTCAAAACTGTAATTGCATCAAATCGAATTGATTCTTGGTCCTCTTTGTAGCATACTGAATTTACTAACAATTATATAGCTCGTAGTAAAATTACGTAAAATCTTCTTCTTTTTTTTTAGATTAAGGGAGGTTTACCGCCTACGACAGAATTATATTATGCGGGTATGAAACCCGTTAATATCATGATATAACCAATTTTTAATGTGGGTCGGTGGCCTAGTAAACACCTTGCTGCCAAAAAGGTTCATATTAGATGTCGATGTCATTGCATCAACTACAAAATTCCCTTCTCTATGTGTGTGTCTCAATTCCTTTCCCTACATAAAATCTTTAATGTAGAAGATGCTTTTATTTCTCGTCTTGAAATTATTACTAGTGTTGGTTGATTCGAGTAAAGTTAATGATAATTAATCTTCTTTAAAAGAGGGAGTTAAAAAAAAAAACAAAACAAAAAGGATGAAGAAAGAAAGAATCAGGCAAACCATTTGAACAAAGATCTTGAGGGGATTCCAAATTTTCATTGAATTGGGGAAAATTTTCCATGAAAGTTTCGATTGAAAGGACTAAATGAACATTTCAGGCAGTGTCACGTGAGATAATTCAAACATTAGCTATACTAAATGGGTGTCACGTGAGAGCTTCGGGCAATTCTTTGTTGAGAGAAGTGGATGGATATGGCAGTAGCTGCTTCCTCAGCCGCCCAACTAGTTGTAAAGATCAGGTTCCCTGAGTCTGAGCTCCGGCTGAAACGACACCGGAACAACCCGGCGGCACTCCCTACCTTATGCTTGAAGAAGAGGGCTTGCCTCATTCGAGCAGCAAAGCCCGGAAGGGAAGAAGAACAAACTTCCAATGAAAATGGCCCTGACAATTCTGCATTCTTATCTCAGGTCAGGTTTTACCCATGGTTCCAATACTAGATCATTCAACAGATTTCAAGCAGCATTCACTCTGAAATTTGCCAGTTTTTTTCTTTTTTTTGGTTTGATTGAGTAGGAAGACTTGAGCTATTTGACGAAACTGGGAGCTGGTTCTGTGGCTGGGGCAGCTGCTATCAAGTATGGAAGCGTTGTATTCCCAGAGATTACAAGACCCAACATTGTTGAAGCCCTCTCCATCATTTCTTTTCCAGTTGTAGTTGCTGTTCTGCTGTTATTCTGGCAAAGTCGATCAGAATGATGGTTGTATGGAGATGTTTTAACTTTTGATGTATAATTTTCCACATTTCTCCTACTCTCACATGAGAACTTTGTTCTTCATCATCGACATGGTTTCTCTTCGAGTCAAAAAAAATGGATCATTCGTCTGGTTAGACATGCCAAAGCTTTATGTGGACACGACTATGATTACAGTTGTAAAGAGCTGAAGCCCAGAAATGTATTTTACTTTAAGGTCGCGTAATTGTAATTTGTAACTAATATACGCAAATTTACAGATTACAGTGTTGGCTGTTGAGAACTAAAGAATGCCCACTCAGGGTTTCATACGATTTCAGATTTCTCTAATGCTGACGCTAACAGTTTTCAATTGCGGGAACAAAGGCTATACTCTGCATATTTTTTGCTGCTATGCGCGTGAGGAGGCTCGGTACAAAAATCTCCAGTGCTTTGTCCCTTGAAGAAGACTATAAGTTGTCTCTCAACCACTTCAGTACTCCGTTTGCAACAGCCCTGCATAACAAAATCATAACTGACACAGATTAGAATAGATAAGGCATAAAGCAAAAGGGAGAAAGAACAATTTAGATGGTTTGATTTGCAGACCAAACCAAATGTTTCATTTGCCGAACAGCATGGATATCACAATTATGTTACTGTCAGCAGTAAAGAATAAGTTGCAGGTATTAATGAGAGAGTTCAAAGTTCTTGAGAAGTTTTCTGAAGGTGAACATATTGAGCCACAGAAAGACGTGGTTTGTATCTATATCCTACAGTTTCAGTTAGCTTTTTGGATACATTATCAGGACGATTTTCTCCCAAAGTTAGTCCAACACTCCAGTCAGCCGAAGAGTACACAGCTTATCTTCAAAAGTATCATTATATCATTCATCTATTATCCTCAAAAGCCAGAAGAAACACTGACCTGACCCAAATGGCCGAAATATATTATGAATCCATTAAGGAACATTTAGTGCTTACTAGAAAAGTGAACCTACTTATTCCTGCATGTATTTAGCAAATGGGAGAACTGGGGAAAGAATTTACCCTCCAAGATCTTTTAGCTGCTTCCATAAGTCACTTTGATCTTCAGAATTCTTGGGATCCTCAGTTATACTCTCTGTTTGACTTTCTACCGGCTTAGCTGCACGATATAAAAAAAAAAAAAAACAATTGTACATTGGCACCTCCGCAAACCAAGTTAAAAAAGCTAACGTCCACTCCACACATATAAGGCAAACTTTAATTTTGAGTCGTTACATAACATCCCTAGTTCATATAGTCTGATTTCAGCCAAATGAAGAAAGTAAACACCATGAACTGACATGAGAGAAGCTATTTTATTCCGACGACAGACAATAAACCAGAAAACACTCAAAGCAAATACTCACTAGTTTCCTGAACTTTAGGGCGAGTTTTTGAACGGCTTGCAGACGTGATGTTCAGAGAAGCAAGTTCTTCAATCAGTTCACGCTCTCTAGCACTGTGGACATAAATTATCCAAACACAAAGATGCAGCAGGTCAGGAGAATAAAGTTATTGAAAGAATTTACTTTACAGTACCCTCAAGTTTAAACATAACCTCACAAAGTTGAAAAGAGGCAAATAAAGGTGGGGACCAGTTCATATAGTTACGAATGAAGTTAAACTCACAAATTTAGATGTAAAAGTAGATAAGGGTAACAGATGTCAAAAAGCTTGGAGTTGCATTACCAGCTTTGAAAAGATACCTTAATCTTTTCGGAATGCTAACTTTAACAGTGAACAAATGATCACCACGCACAGACGGCCTGTTCAATTTAGGAGCACCTTTCTTCGCCAAGACAAGTACATCCCCTGGCTGTGTACCAGGAGGAATCTGAAGATCACTGGGACCTTCCACTGTTTTGACCTTTCACAATTTCAAAGAGCAAACTGATGAGGGTCATCATTAGCACACAAAAAATTGAATACGACTGGAAAGGAGGCCTGGTGTTAATGTAAACAACACCGAATGTCGTATGCATTGAACATTAAAAAGTTTATGATTACACTAAAAGCTTGTCCCAAGTATCTATACCTGAACAATAGTACCTAATATTGCATCCAAATAGCTGATTGATACAGTAGAATAGAGATTTAAACCATCTCTTTGAATCTCCGGAATTTCTTCAATATCAAGATATACAAATAAATCCCCAGGTGGGCCCCTACATATAGTAATGTACAAATAAGTAAGTCAATAAGTAACATTCAGATACAAGCACATAATAACAAAATGACTTAATACTATGGTATCATATCTAGAGGCATCAGTTAGGATAGGTGAAGGGGAATCCTCACAAGGTGTTACAGCTAAAACACTGAAAACCGAAATGTTCTATAATAAAACCAAGCCATGCCAGCATAGATGTCAATTTAAAACGATTAAATTGAATGATTGATCAAACACGATGGCGACATATGATCCATATAGCCAACCCTGTGGGGCGAAAGCATCTTGTTGTTGTTACATGAAAAGGTACAAGACCCTTTTTTTATAAAAAAAAAAAAAAAACCTTATTCATCGACATACCCTTTTGGTCCAGCATCACCCTCTCCGGCAACTCTGAGAATACTGCCCTTGCTCACTCCTGGAGGAATTTTAACTTTAATGTATTTCTTTACTCTCAGCCGACCTTGCCCAGAACATTTACGACACAATTCAGAAATCACTTCACCGTCACCGCCACAGGTTGGACATATAGAAACCTGCAGCAGCCGCAAAACAAATTTGAATGATAAAAAATGTTGATAAGCATTTCCTGGTGATGGAAGGACACATAAATAAGTATGTCGAGGAAAGCATTGACAATTTGGTTATAAAAACAAGAGGGCAAGAAATGGATGATCCAAAAAAATGTTGAAACATATTCTTTAGTCCCTCTAAATGAAAAATTGAACAACATTCAATAATTTTCTCAATTTCCATTTCTGTACAGTTTAACCAGAATGGTTAATGTCACTCCCTCTCATGTTAGTTACTAACATACTGTAAATATGTGCACATATTTCACCTGAACAGGAAAACAAATCATTATACCTGCGAAAACATTCCGAAAGGTGTTTGCTCAGTTCTCATAACCTGACCACGGCCACCACAAGTAGAGCATATTCTCATTCTCGAACCAGCCTTCGCTCCAGTACCAGAACAGGCTTCACATGTCTCAAGATGAGAAAGCTCAAACTCTCTTTCTGCGCCAAATATAGCCGCCGAGAATTCCAGTTTTATATCATATCTGATATCAACTAGGATGAGTCAATTCGACGAGGCCAATGAATACAGATATCATAAAACAATAAAGAAAGAAAGAAAGACCAGGTAGACATAAAATGGGATAAGAAATTGAAAAATGTTGCCTGATCAATGAATGCTCGAACACCCAACTTCAGAATTGAAATGGCTGTAAGTCATTCAATGTCTTCAATAAAATAAGTGATTCAGAGAGGACAGATACAACAAAGCAAAATGGTGGAAATCCATGCAAACTGAAAATTGTAATATACAAAAGCTACCTCTATTGCCAACAATCAAGAAGCAAGAGGCATTAAACTGTAGCTGTTTACTGACTCACCGTAAGTCTTCGCCCTTAGTAACAGTGCTGCGGCGCGTTCCAAAACCAGCTGTATCCATTCCAGAGAACCCCATACTTTGCCCAAAAAATGTCTCAAACAGATCAAAGGGATTCGTCTGCAATAGAACCAAAGAACAAGCGTCAAACAATTGAAAAACCATGTCTTAAATGATAACTGTCTTTTGCTTGATTTCAAGATTCAACATGATTCATAGATAAATAGAAATGTTCATAAAAAATAGAACTAGACACAATTAATTATAAATAGAATTGTTGGTTAAGAGCTTCCCCGAAATTTCCACCATCCATTTGAGAATTTGAAAAATGACAATCAAAAACATCAATACGCGCATACGATTTTTGAGCATTGAGAGTGGGAATTACTCTATCAATAAAATCCAAAAGGTCTCGCCACTTGAAAGATCAAGGAGAAGACAACCACAGCAAAGATAAATACATCTCCAAATTGATATAAGCATACAACATGACCAAAAAAATTTGCATCAACTTGGTAAAGTAATGAACAGACATCAAGCATAACAACTAGAGATCCTTAATATGAGATGTATATTCAGTAACAGGATAACATAAAGAATGACTTAATACCAACGGATCAATAAAAATTCTTCAAAATATATATGTAAAAAAACTGAATACCGTGTATGCTCCACCCTGCCCCCCAACTGCACTTTTCACCCCAGCTTCACCATATTGATCATACAAAGCTCTCTTTTTGTCATCTGATAGCACCTGACAATATATAATTCAGAATTTGCAGATGTAAAAAGCAGGAATGTTGTAGAGTTTATTCGCTTCTAATTGAGTATTCATTCATAAAATACATGCAAACATTTACACAAAAAGAAACTTCTATAATCCACTCATAGTAATTAAACAAAACAAAATACCTAGCATTTAGAAGTTCAAACAAAAGGGCCCCATTGAAGGATGCTTATTGGGAAGTTTCAATGGTACATCTTAACCTGATCCATGTCTTAGGAAGTTTGCAGTTGACAACTTGTCGACAAAAATTCTAAAATAACCCCTTTTCACTAGTTTCTAAGCGACATGAATAGAAATGTGAATGAACAAAGCGATAAAGCATAGGTGGCAGCAAGGCTCCTTACCTCATATGCAGCACTGATCTCCTTGAATTTTTCAGTAGCTCCAGGCTCCTTGTTGACATCAGGGTGGTACTAAAATGAAGATGCAAACTAATTTATCAGCTTCACCTTGTAAAATGCAAGGCATGCATGCAATTGATCAGGTTTTGTTAAGTTCACGAGAACAGTCAACCAAGAAAACTTAGTCTAACTCTAGCATGCAGGCAACTTTTCAGGAACCTTGTACAAGCTATAGAGATTACGATCAACCCCATGAAGCAAAGTTTGATAGAATAGAAACTATCAGTCCCGTGAGGCAAAGCCTAGTGGAATAGAAACTCACACTTTCTAATAATGGCTAAAAATCCTACCAGAGCTTCAACTGCCTTAAGGCCACTGATCATCACTACAATACACAATTGGAGACCATTTCATGGACTTGACATCCAAATGGAGTTGGAATATATTAGCTCTAGGACAACGATTACTAACAATTTAAAATATGACAGAAAGCACCATACTGATAAAGTGACATCTTCAAATTCATAACGATATTAAGAACTCACATCATACACATTATCAATAAATAGGAATCCCTTCAATTCACCACAATCATAGCCAATATTAAGATGCCAGGAGATTCAAAATTACCTTCTACAACCAAATTAAAAGAAAAAAAAAAGGAAGCAGAAGAAGAATAATTGAGATAGTTAAGTACCTGCCGAGCTAACTTTCGATAAGCCGCTTTAATTTCCTTATTAGAAGCGGATTTTGGAACCCCAAGCGTGGAGTAATAATCAGCTGAGGCAGCCACAATCAATCTACGAAAACGCCTCGGAGAAATCCTCCGGTTGAGTTGCGAAGAAGGGGAAGAGGATACACAAAGAGAAACGAACTTCCTTTGACCCCACAAATGGGTCCCGCCGGCAAGGAAAGAAGATGAAGATGAGGAAAACGGGAATACTGGGATAGTGGGACACTGAAGAGGCTCCGGGGATAGGAAGGGGAGTGTTGCAGCAGTGGCCATTCCGGTGGCAGAGCACATTTCAGTAGAAGTGAATCAGAGCTTGCAAGTGTATGATTATTTGTCTAGGAGAGACTAGAAGATTGAAGATGATGACGGGAAATTCTGATTCTGCTAACTTCAAATATGGTGTTCGACTGAAGATGGCTTATTTTCCTTTTTCCTCTTTTTTTTTTTTTTTTACCTTTTCTTTATTGCATTTTTGCTCTTTTATTTCTATGGACAGAAAGGCGCTTTGTTGGCGGGGGTTTGGCTTTATAAAGACCAACTAATTGAAGCTAATCTGGGGCTTCTTGTCAATTTTGAATTTTAGATCCCCACTTATGATGGGCTGCTGAAAATACCCAAATTGTGTTAGAGCGATCACCTTCCAAAGCATATGTCCAAAATTAATTCTTGATGCATCTCAATTCTTTTTTACATATAAAGGAGAAAATCAACCCAAACACAGGTCCGTAGGCGTTCATAAGTTTTCGATGGTTATATTATCTAATATACAAAACATTTTATTTTTATCGTTCTATTTAAATAATTCACTTTATTACATAATTAAATTTAACAAAATAGATTGCTTAAAATGAAATTGATAACATATTGTTTTGACCTACTGACATGCTAATAAGCAAGTTATAAAGATGCCAATGGCTGCTGACAAAAGATTTGCGTGTGTATAAGTAACTATTATTTTCCCTTTTACTTTTCCCTATATAATCGTGAATAGTGATAATATTAATTCGAAACCTCTTGAGCACATCATCATCTTCATCATAAGTTAAATTTTTAGTGACAATAGTTATAATTAGTTACTAATTTATTGATAAATTGATACAATTATCAATTAATAATTTTTTTATCATATCAATTTATAAATGTGTTAACTCTCATTTAACTCGCAAAATTAAATGACTAAAACTACTTACTATCACATTGTAAACCACCCCCCAAAAAATTTACTACTCTAATATTGGTCAAAAAAATTTAATGCAAAGGGACAAAAAAATTTAACAAAGAAGGTCAAAGATTTATTTCTCTATTTAAAAAATAATTTTGAACAAATTAAATTCAATTAAGTTGTATTTTCGTTTCGAGAAAGGAAAAGATACAGATACTGCTCATCAAATTCTCGCGTCCGTCCTAAAAGCCCTGCCGCTTCTCTCTCTGAAACTCTTTCGTATTCTCAGCCGCAAAATCTATCTTTTTTTTTTCTTGCTATTTTTCAATCTTTGCCTTCTCAGATGCTAAGAGGGATTTGCGAAGTCAGACAACCTACCGTAAAACCCTAGCAATTTTAGCTGTTAGTTCTTCAGGTAATTTTCCCCTAATTTTAGTATGATTGTTATCTTGATTAATCATCGCGCACTTTTTTTGATTTTCTGTTTCTTTTAAAAAAAATTATCCACTATGTTTTGTCCACTGGGTTATACTATTTTATCCCCCAATTTGTTTGTCTTTGTGATTTTTTTTTTTTTTTTTGGGAAATGATTATTTATGGGCTTTTAATTTTTATTGCCATTGGAGGAGTTGAGCTTGAAGCCCTAATGCGAATTTCTTTCTTGGGATTTTTTTTTCTCTAAGGTTTAAATTTAGTTCTCGATATGGCGAGATATGAAGAAAATTCAAGACTCAGAACCCTAGCTGACGCCGTCAGCGGCCCATTTGAGTCGGACTTGGGGGTTGGTGGGAATGGGGTTTTGCCCTCTGGCCCGGGCGTCAACGGCTTTAATGTCAAAGAAGAGGGTGATGGAGGTAGTGATGGCGGCGGTGGTGCTGGCGGTGGCGATGCCGGTGCCGGTGGGATGGAGAGGAACTTGGGTGTCTCAGACGGGCCTGTGGTTGATACGTTTGATGAGGTGAATGAGGAAGTGGAAGCAGCAAAAGTCCTTTCTGGTAATGGGTTATCTGCTGGACAGAATGGAATAATTGAGGAAATGGCCGTGGTTAATGAAGAAGGGGAAGATGGGGTTGGTGAGGACGATAACGGTGAACATGGGTTTTCTGTGGGTGATCTGGTTTGGGGTAAAATTAGGAGTCATCCATGGTGGCCTGGCCAAATATATGATCCTAAAGATGCTTCAGAGAATGCCCTTAAGCTTAAGCACAAGGGTCGTCTCCTTGTGGCTTATTTTGGAGATGGTTCTTTTGCCTGGTGCTCGCCCTCCCAATTGATTCCTTTTGCTGAGCATTTTGAGGAAATGTCAAAGCAGAGTACTTCAAAAATCTTTGCCATTGCAGTACAGGAAGCAGTGGATGAAATTGGTAGGCTTGTGGACATGGAGATGACGTGTAAATGTGTGACTGAGGAAAACAGGAAAGGGCTAGACTCCCCACTGTCTAAGAATGCCGGTATTAGAGCGGAAGTCCAACTGCCTGAGGGAGACATTGGTAAACTCTTATCTTTTAGGTATGAATCTGCTGAGTTGTTGGCAACTGTGGCAAGTGCTGCAGAGACTATTTCTTTTGCCAATATGCTTGATCTTGCCATTTTGAAAGGTTGGCTTTCTGCTTTCTTCCGTTCCAAAGGTGCTGGATACTCATTACCTGTTTATCGTGAGGGGCAGTTAATTGAAGGCCTCGAAGACAAGAATAGGTTGCATAAGATTGGGTTGATCAAATCCACTGGAGTTCCCCTCAAGGGACCACTCGAGCAAGACTGGTCTTCAGCAGCAGTTTCTGGCTCTGACTCTGGTCTCTTGCCCTCTGGGGACAAGGTATATCACAGTAGGAAGGAGAAGAGTGTGGCTGAGCTCCTCGGAAAAGGTTTGGATGTTAAGCTCAAGAATATGAAGAAGAAGATAACTGTTGCTGACGGAACTGGTAATCAAAGTGATGGTAGTTGTGCTCCTTCAGCTGGGAGAAAGAGAGGTAGGAGTAAGACTGACAAGATGTTGCAGTTGGGAGAGAGTTCTGGTGAATGCAAAGTAGGTGAAACTGGTGGTGCTGATCGTGAGGATGCCCAAGGGTCTAAAGATGCAGAAGGAATCTCATCTCCAAGGGAAAGGAAAAGAAGTAAGTACTTGTCTCCTCCCTACACAAATGCTCAGATCAAGGCTGTGAAATTGAGTTTTAAGAAAGAGTTGGAAAATGAATCAGTGGAAATTAGCGAAGTTGCCAAGACAGGCGAGCACGCTGGGGAAGTGCCAGAACAATTAAGTTCTAAAAAAGACTCGGAGAATGGATCTGTGAGAGTAAGCAAAACTGCTGCTGGAATGGGTGAGCGGATGACCAAGGTTTCTGCTATTCTTCTTGATTCACCTCTTGTTCATTGCAATGGCCAAATTGTGAAAGAAAAAACTGCCAAGATAGTCAATGGAACTGGACAGCTTGGCTCTTCCGTGGACATATATCCTGCACGAAGCCAGCAAGAACAGGAGATTACTGTGACTATGGATGCTGATGTTACACCGAGTGCAGTGCTGGGTGGGGTTTTACATGTAGCTGTTAGTCCCTTGCATTCGTGGGATGAAAGTTTGCTCGTTATACTCAGGGGATTCCTTTCTACATTCAGGAACTCTATCTCCACCAATGGAGCAAAACATCGTGGGAGGCAGAGAAAATCATCAAACCCTGCTGAGCAAGGGGGAGTGGAGAATGGGGATGCCAAGTCAACTGAGGCTAAGAAAAGGCGTTCAGGTAGTAAAAAGGCTAACTTAGATAATCTTGATACTCGTAAACCAAAGAAGGCTGCCAAAAGTTCTGTTGTAAAATTGAATGAGAAGAAAGTTCAAGGAAAAGCTTCCCCTTTCCCTCCAACTCCTGTTGCTTCTGGTGATGATACTTCGTTTCCGTTTCTTGATAAGCAAGTTGTTTCAGAGTCAGCAGCTGATAAGGGTCAACCACTTGGTTTACAGAGTCAGCAGCTCATGATGATTGCAACAATGCTTGAAAAATGTGACCGTAAAGTTTCGCCGGAAGAGGTGTCTGGCATAGATGGCGGGATAAAGAATCTTTATGACATAGTTAGGAAGATAACTGAGGCTGCCTCATAGGTAGGTTGGAACATTGCCTTTACCCATTTAGATCTGATTGGGCGATTGCTTATGTTTGTTTATGGTGGTCCGTGATGTATGGATTTAGAAGTTTTGATGATACAGGGATTAAAATGTTGCTAAATAGGATGTGGTCATACTTTATTGGTTTTGCCATAACATTTAAATGGATGCGTTCACGTCATATTTGCCATTGTTATAGTTGTTCACAATTCGGATGCGTTCATGTCATATTTGCCATTGTTATCGTTCTTCACAATTCTTTGGATTATGTTCACGCTTCCTCATAAAATTCTACCTTCACATTCAGAACAATCCCAATAGTAGAATGCTTCTTGCGGTGGAAACGCATCAATTCCAAGTAGCTCGATAAAGGCTTTTTGTTGTGTTTCCAAGTGTTTCCATTGGAAACGTCTTGTAAATAGAAAACTCGAAGAAGTATCTAAATCTTGCTGTCATAGAGCGGAAAAATTGGCGGATCTACCTAAAATTTTACATGCTTCATCAATTCTACCTTTTTCTTTTTCGGTTAGCTAATATTACCCTAAATTATGCAACAGTTAGTCGATTTTGTCCAATTTGCTATTTTCCGTCTAAATTAACGGAATTCTATTTGTTTTAATTATAATTATAAAAATACCCTAATAGTTTTAAAAATTTATAAAAATGACCCCAAAAATTTATAAAAATTATAAAATTATCTATTTTCAGTTTTTATTTAAAATTTTCTGTTTTTTATTTCTTTTTACTATTTTTCAAAACTATAAAAATATACTATATGATCTTTTAAAAAAAATATTTATTTTTAAAATTTAATGTACAAATTTATAATTACATATTTGTATGTCATGTTTGATGTATATAAGCATATTAATTTTTTAATAATATAGTTTTACAATAATAATACTATTTTTTAATTCATTTTTTTCAATCTAAAGAATAAGATTATTTAACTAATAATAATTTTTCACAAAAAAATTAAACAATTCGCATAGATTAAAAAAGAATCTATTGGTATACTTTAATGTATTACAATTTAATTCAACTGACTTTAGATAGTATTTTAAAATTTAAAAAGAAATCAAAACTAAAATATAATTTTTTTAAAGGCCAAGTACAGACAGAAAGCACAAAAAAAAAACACCTATTTCATTTCTACGTTGGCCCAACACAAGAATATAGTGTGGTGACATTTACAAAAATGGTACAAAATATTTTATAAAAAATATGTATATTTATTACTGCAAGGGTTTAACATTTTGTGATAATGTTTTGAGAATTAGTATATCTAACTTTAGCGGGAAGTCCTTTTTTTGGAAAAAAAAAATAATTAAAAAAAATCTACTCCAGTACTGGACTCCACTTTTTTTTTACATTAAAAAAAAATTAGATTTCTCCAGTGAGAATCGAACCTCGAACACAGTTTTAATCATCTCATATCTTAAATCACCTAACCATCCAATGCAACCCTCTTACCTTTAGTGAACCCCGCTTAAACGTGGGTAAAATCACTCTCCCGATTAGAAATACTTTGGTGACAATTAATCTTATATCTACTCTCATGAAACTTAACACCCTAAACACTATACAGTACCCTATATTTTTAATTTAATAATTTTTTTAATTGCATAATATAATCTATAGCCTGTTTAGTTAATTTGCAATAATTTAAAATGTACTAATATATATTTTTTTAATCTATGCTAAATGTTTTTATTTTTTGTAAAAAATTAGTTTTAGTCAAAAAAATCTTATTCTTTAAATTAAAAAAGACAGATTAAAAGAATAATACGGAATAAAAAAATTAATATGTTTATGTAAATCAATCATGAGTTACAAAATGTATATCTATAAATTTGTACTGTAGTGTTTAAAAATAAATTATCTATTTAAAAGATCATATAGTATATTTTAATGGTTATGAAAAATAGTAAAAAGAAATAAATAAAAAAAAGAAAAATTTAAATAAAAACTAAAAAGAGACTATTTTATAATTTTTGTAAATTTTTGGGGTTCCCTTTATAAATTTTTAAAACTATTAAGGTATTTTTGTAATTAAAACAAATAAAATTCCATTAATTTAGACAAAAAATAGCAAATTGAACAAAATTGGCTAACGGTTGAATAATTTAGAGTAATATTGGCTAACCGAAAAAGAATAGAGTAGAATTCACGACGCATGTAAAACTTTGAGTAAATCTGCCAATTTTTCCGTCATAGAGCATACATCAAATTTAGTAATAAGATGCCAACAGCTTGTAGCAATCACAGGTACATTATTACAGAAAGACCAATCAAATCCCAATGTATTGAAATTTGAAACACAATTCACTGTATATAAGATAACTTAGTTTAAGAAATTAAGTAAAACCTATTTCAGGCTTGATACATCTATATTCTGGGAGCTATAAGGTTATTACAACTGGAAATCTAGAACACATCCGGATGGAAACGTCCCGGCATTGAGCTGCCTTGTTGAGCGTGTCGCAGATGCATCGTCAAGGCGTAGTTATTCACCTGAAAAACAACAAAGGGTGACGTTAATGACTTCCTTAGTTCTAATGTACACAACCCAGACACAGCATAAGAACTTGACAAATTCAGGGCAAATAAATTTCTAAATCTCAACCTCAAGATTTCTCAGTTGCTCCTGGTACTGAGCAACCATTTGTTTCAACTGCTGCACTTCTTCGTTCTTATCGTCATATTCCTTTTGACGCTCATGCTGGATAGCAACAGCTCTCTTCAGGATGGAATTTTCACGCAAAAGCACTTCGATTTGTTCCTTCAACATGATGTTTTCCTGCATTGCAAAGCCACAAATTAGTTTTCTAAAGGCCAAAACGGTGAACACGTTAACTATACGTGAGAATCCAAGGATTTCATACTTTCTGAATATTTTCAGTCGCCTCAGCACTAACACGTGCACTTATGGACCTCTCTAAACTCTCCAACACTCTCGCGGCACGGGATCTAGCATCATCGATGCTTGTAGCACCATTCATTTCCCTCAAAAACAATTCCACCCATTCTGCTCCATCTTTTGGAAGGTTGTTTTGCTTCGAAGCATCTTCTGACAGCAAAACTTCCTCTCCGACATTAGAAGCAGCAACTGCCAAAATAAAACAGATCTCATGACTATCCTTTCTACTAATCTGATTTTAGTCAACAAGATAATAACGCAAAGGTGGCCTCTAGACAGATCTAAGAAATGGTAACTTAATATTCAAGTGATATGCCCTCGAAATAATAATTTCGACCATGCGAGGGCAAATCACTGGCAAGCATCTGTTGCAGGTCTTTATAATTTCTCATACAACTAAAGAAAAAACATCTAAGCCCTGTGATATGCCCAATTAAAAAGAAAGAAAGAAAAGGAAGATGAAGAAAGAAAGAGCATCCAAAAACCACATGTAAATTCTAGCATCAAGAGCGTAAAATCTCAAGAGGTAACCACAACAGAATTCCACTATGCTCAGTGCTTGTAGATGCATGCATCAAAATCATCTGATAATCTACCAATAGTAACATATAAGTTTTCACTATACACATTGAAGAAATGCCAGAATCACAGCCAAGAGCATATATGATTTCAACTCTCTTCTTCAAACGATTCAGAGCATTTATCAGTATGCATGCTTCAAGATCCCTATAGACGCATCAATAACAATGGCTACAAATTGAAAGCCTGGCACTATATAATTTGCTGTTCAACAAATAAACAAAAATTAATATAAAAACTCATACCATTGTTCACATTAGAATGTGTCTCCGGCACAGGATTTAAATTTCCATGTACATATCCAATGCGAAGCTCATTCAGCCTTTTGATAGCAGAATCCAAATCATAGCCACATTCTTCTAATGTCTTCTCAATGAGCTGAAAGTTAATAGAGAAAACTATCAGTAGGTGCCAATGGAGAACTGCCCCTGTGTTATCTTCTAAATCATTCCAGGCAATGAAGCTGACAAAACATAGATAGCAAAAAATCACGAAATAAGGAATGCAGGACTTCAAAACAGCAAAAAGAACTCCATCATCAAGAAAGGGAAAAGACCACTTTTAACAAGTCCAATTCTTTACCAAACAATTTATACATTAGCAAGTCATCCGTAGCTTGTGAAGCATGGAACAAATAGATATAAACTTGCATAGACACTTCCCAGAAGTCTTAGATAGACCAATACATACGAAAAAGATGTCTGAATATGTTTCCAAACACCAACACATCATTTCCATCCATACAAGTGAATAACAATCTAAACCATCAAGGGGCCTAGAAAAGATACATGACACTGCAGAAATTTAAGATGTCACAATTAATTTGTACACCATGATGCACCAGGAAATATATAAACTTAGGTTCCAATAGCAACCACGTATCCAAATCGACTTGACACAACTGACCCATATACAAAATAAAGCTTCATTCCCAGAAAGAAATGATTTTTACCTAAGACAGAAGCTTTAGGACATGAACAAATCACAGAGCAATCTAACACTGTTTATCTCTGAACCAACCAATCAATAAAAGGAAAACAAATGGTAGACACCCCAATTAATAACAGAAAAGGTAGGGGATTTACCTCATTCTCCATCTCAGGAAAAGCAGCCCTGAGTTGATCAATAAAAAAAGTCGGCGCAACCACCGACCGCGGCGGAGAAAAATGAGCTGAGCAGCGAATCTTCTTCGCTACGGGCGGAGAAGCGGAGGTCGGCGACGGCGATTGTAAATCTTCGAAAAACGACCTCTTCCCGCACACTATAGCAGACATCGTTGAATCTCCGTCTGGGGTTGCTTCGGTTTAACCTTTAATTTACAGTATATGATACAAATAAATTAAAAAAAAAATTAAATTAAAATTAAAAATCGTCCGTCTCTATTCCGTATTATATCCGTGGATCTCTCTATCTCGTTGAATTTTTGAGGGTTTTGTGGGAAATTAGGGTTTATAAGAAAGGGGGGAAGAAGATGAAGAAATCCAGCCCAAGAGGAAGGGGATGGTGGTTGAGATTTGAAGGCCTTTATTGCCTTTTTCTTGTGTTTGAGGGTTTTCAGCTTTGCCTTTTGGGTTAGTCTAATGAAAACTCCTTTTTATTTATATTAGACAAATGAATTTTTTTTTAGAAAAAAAAAAGAAGAAAAAAATTGGGGAAAGAGGTTGATGGTGGAGGAGGTGGTGCATGGACTGATTTAAGCTGACGACCCTCAGCTGAAAGTGGCGGATATGCGATGCTGACAACGTTGGGTTGACGATTTTGAACCACCTTCTTCTTTCTTTTTTAAATCACGCGCTCAGAGCGTGTTGCTTGGTTGTTGTAGGACTTCCCGAAAAATCCAACAAAAACACGGTTGGTACGACAGCGTTAGGTTGCTGCAAAGTGCAAATGTTTGTTAGATATTGTGATAATCGTCAAATGGCTCCTTACATTTTGACAAATATATTTGTTTGCCTATATCTTTTGTATAATTAAATTTAATCGTGTATATTTCTAAAATTATACTATTTAGTCCTTCATATTGAATTATTTGGTCTTCCACACCACATATAATGTATCCCTCTTTTTTTCTTATAACTTGAGGTAATCCCGTTGCACTCGTTATGACAATTAGGTTAACCTACAAACATAAAATTTGTGTCCAAGCCTTCCCAACAAAGGTATTTGTGGGCTTTGATCTTACGCAATCAGGGACAAGACTAGGGGTGTTCACGATTTGGCTCAATCCGGTGGAACCGCCCAAACCGGTCATCGATTTGGATTAGTGGGTAGATTATAAGTGAATTTTTAATTCGGCAGACTTGAAATTTGAAAACCAGTCATACCGATCCAGATTATGATTTGACATTGTTAAACTGTCTATTAAACCGGACCGAACCGTATATATATTATTAAATAATAATATAATAGTTTTGTATATATAGATGCAGATGATGACTTATATGAAATTGGTAAGTTGTCTGATTGATTTTGTTGTTCCCCCTACTTTTAAATTTGGTTGAGGTCGTGAGTTCGAATGCCCCTATGACTAAATTTTTTTCTCCCATTTTTTCCCCAAAAAAGGCCAAAAAAAGTCCAATAATAAAAAAATATTTAATTTTTGGCCCAAAACAAAAAAAGTCAATTAGAAGGCCAAACCGCCAATCCGCCCAAACCAATCCGTTCATAATGGATTGAATTAGTCCGGTTTAAACATCAAACCGGTCAAGTTACACTTTAAAAAATTTTGAAACCGTAATAAACGATTTGATTACGAATTACTATCAATCCAGACCAATTTGATCCGTGAACACCCCAATACAAGACCAACTGGTCTATTCTCGTAAATCTTACTTATATTATTTTCAAAAGGAAGTAGCATACAACTCTGTGCTATCTTAAATTTTCAGTTTTTGCATGATTGCATGAAAGCATGCCAATCTCAGATAATGCAATTTGTCCAGTAGATGCCTTAAATTCAACCAAAAAACCTCAAAAAGTCAAGAGAGTGAGGTGTTCCTGATAGGACAAAAACAAACATGTTCACTTTCCTTACAAATAAACTGGCTTTGTTTTCGTTGGCAAGCAGATTTAAACGTTTAAAAAAAAATGAAAATTCAATGCCCAACAGGCAAAACAACGCTGCACTTGGTACACATGAACACTTCTGATTTTTTTTTAAAAAAAGGTAAAAATTACATGGCTCAATGAGGCCTTTTTCAGTTTTCACCAAAAAGAAAAAAATCAATCACTTGGCAGTTTTGGCAGGTGGGAGAAAGAAACGTGTCCGCAGGAAGGACAAACTTTTTGTGCAACGTTAGACCAGATTCCGGGCATCCACCAGAGATATAGAGAGAGAGAGATCCATCTGATGTTTTTTACCAGAGACTGGTGATGATGCTTGGATAACCGGTGAATATAGCAATAATCCCCAACTAGGCAACAACAGCATATTTTCCCATCAATTTTCATCCACACTTCCACCTTCCAATGTAAAACCAAAGCATTATCAGACCATCATGAACAAAAACTTAGAGCACAATGCTAATGTCACATTTTGAAATGAGTAAAACAAAAATGGGGATTAAGGGGTCTGGTTATACCTTTAGGGAGCTATATCCCGGGGTTCCACAAGAATATAAAGTGGCTTACCAGCCAGCTTGCGACGCCCCTGAAAACATTACACAGTTTTAGGATTTTCTCTTAGAAAAAATTGCGAATTTAGTTATCTTTTATGAAGAGATTGAGATTAATTTTCTCTTATGAGGAACAATTTCTTTTGTCCCTAGATTTTTGCACGGTTCAAAACCAGTAAGTTCTCGCGGACTTCAATGTTAAATCAGATGCTTTAACCCCATGGTGCATATTGCATAACCATCCAGGATATGTTTAGGACATGAATCAGGTTTTTAAAAAATGGTTAAAGGATTCCTGCTCCGAAACTACAACGTTATCATCTGTGGCTGAACCTGATTCTAGGACTATAATGGACATTGGGCTATCAATGCACTATCTTTCAGGAGCAAGAAATAATTGAAAGCACATTTCTCACGAAGTAAATCGAGAAAGTAGCCTATTAATCACTGCAAACTCGTATGTTTCATTAGCAAAACTGAAAAGAAGTTCAGATAATTACCTTAAACTCTGGTACACCAATAACACAACCACATTCAACAACCTCTGCTCCACCACGTTCTACCAAAAAAAAAAAAAAAAAATTTACCCTATTCCAATGAGAAAAAATGTACAGAAAAGGAGAGTCTGGAAATCATTCATGAAAAAAAAAGTTCAGGACTAACCTAAAAGCCTTATGGCTGCAGATAGAGTGCCTCCGGTAGCCACCAAATCATCAACTATCATTACCCTTTCCCCTGTTTCAACAGCTCCAACATGCATCTCCAAACGATCATTCCCATATTCTAGCTCATAGTCTTCAGATATTACTTCTCCTGCACATTTTTTTTTTCCCCACAAGTTTTAGTGTTTCAATTAATTGAACTGTTCAAAAATCTTCTTCAGATGAAATTTGCAATTCGAGAGCTTACCGGGCAACTTTCCGGGTTTACGCAGGGGAACAAATTTTGCACCAATGGCTAATGCAATAGCAGGGCCAAACATGAATCCTCTGGCTTCCACTCCTATATAATTTTACAAATTTAACCACCAGAAACTTCCATTTGAAATTATGGAAGTGGGCTATGTGAAACAACTCAAAAAACCTCAGAAAAAAATAAAGTGATCCACCTAATCAATCAAAAAGGGCAAAGCTTTTTTGGTCCCCCAAGCAATTATTTGGTACAATACTTTTCCATTAAAAAGTACACATGATAAGTTAAAATACATTTTTTTTTACCGAAAAGATAATTATCTTCACAGCACGTCATAGTAACAGTGACTAACTAGTTACAACACAGTTCACTAAACGGAAAAAAAAAAGGTCCATTTTACTCGGTGGCTATTTAAAATATATCAAGAAAAAACAGAGTACCTGCAACAATTGAGATATCCATGTCTCTGTAACGCTCAACAAAGATATCAATGGCATCCTGGAAAGCTTTGGGATCCAAGAGCAGTGTTGTTATGTCTTGAAACATTATTCCTGTCAAGAATCCAACACAATCCCAGAAAATCAGTTCAAATTCTTAGTCATGTAATTCCTCAAGAACTGTCTTTTAACTACGGATTTTACTGTTGTGTTTCAAAGAAAAAAACTTCAAAATAAACGATGAAAAAAACCTGGCTTTGGGAAATGAGGAACAACTCTGATGGCATCAGAAATTCCCTGCAATCTTGGGTCACCCCGCAAACCATTCTCTGAAGCAAACATCTTAGCCGGAACCTTTATCCGCTCTGTAACTCCACAATACGTTTTGAGTCCACTCTTCCAAAGAAGCAAACTCTGTATGAAGAGAGTAGTGATATCAGTGTGTGACTGTGTGTTGGAAATCTTAGAATTTATGATGGAGGAATTGGAGGAGTCTCTGGCAGTTGTTGACACTATCTTTTTTTTCAGCTGTCCAAAACCGAGCAGTGAAATGAGTGAAGAATGAAGACGCGCTGATAACAACTCGGTGGCAGTCCTTATTTATACACTTCAATTTTACATAATTGCAATTAACAATAAAGACTGTTAGTGTTAAAAAAGTATCTTTAAAATAATAATGTGTGATTACAACTAACGATGTGATTGGTATATTATCCTAAAAGTGTGACAATTTCGTATTTTATATTTAACTTAGACATTTTGTATTATGTATATCATACTACACAATATAGTGTATGGTCTATAAATGTTTTGAATTCATTATTATAATATTTGAGGCAAATTTAAGAATAAATTTGCACAACGACATAATACAAATTTTAAAGTTAACGTTTTTTTTTTTTTTAGGAACAGAGGGAGTATATAAATTTTGTAGACTAAATGTGCCTTAGTGTATTATAGTATTATTTCGTTTTTATATTTGGTATCGTTAACAAAAAAAGGGATGAAATAGTAATCGGTTCGAATCCGGATTAGTCGAACAATGAATTCGGATACCGGTAGGTAATATATACATATATAAAATAAAATAAAATAAAATAAAAGAGATGGGATAGAGCTCACAAATATCGTACGTAATAGACCTTAGTTTAAGACAAAATGTGGCTATCCAAACTTAAAGGTCAAATTCTAACGCCTTTGCAGCTAATCTGATCCCAAAGGTCAAAGATTCCAACGCCTTGCAGCCAATTTGCTAGGATCATATCTCAAGCACAATGGATTTAAAGTTAATCATTTATATGGAGTTTGCTTTTAAATACTCGCTCCGCTTCTTAAAATAAGACATTTTGATTTGTCTTAAGTTTCACCTAATACGTATTTTTAATTGACAAAAAAACCTTAAAAATATTTCATAACAATCAAGAGAACACAACAAATGTGAAAATATATTTTTAACATTTTTTGTTAATTAAAAAGACATAATAGATAAAACCTAAGACAAATCAATATTCCTTATATTAAGGACCAGAATGAGTACTATATTTTCCAGAAAAGAAATTTATAAATCCAATCGTTCCCAATATAGTACGATTGTCTCCCAAAAAGAAAAGAAGAAAAAAAAAGGGTGCTTCTCCAAAAAAGAGCTCCTGGACAAAGAGTAGACATATCTAAGCTTCCGTGGATGAGGTAGATAGCATATCGGATTTCGAAAATCCATTTTCTTAATGAAATTAGTAAGTCGGATTCCCTAAATCCTACTTCCATTATCTAATAAAATATTAGTTTCTCGTAATTTCAATATAAATTTTCTATAATTTCAAAAACACATAAAATAAAAAACAAAATCGGATTTCAAGTATCCGATTTTATTAAACCTTTAAAAAATAAATTAAAAACCAAATCGAACTTCCATCTGTTATGTGCGGGAAATTTTTGAATGGACAAATCCGATTTATATTTATTATGGTAGATGGAGGTGGGCGAAAATAATAAATACTACCGGATTTTGAAAATCCGACTTAAGTAAAATCAGATTTATAAAAGCCGATTTTTATATTAAATCATTTTTCTGAAATCCGGCTTCTTTAAAAACGTATTTTGAATTTCCGTTTTCGTTGTAAATCGGATTTCTGAAATCCGGTTTGTGTTTATTATAAAAGAGTGGAAAACGAGTTTTACAATTCATAGAATGAAATTTTGTTGGGTTTTTTGTTCAAGAGAGTTCTTTGGGCGGCGAATTGGGAATCTTCTCCAAGGATTATCGGAAGTAAAGTCTTGAATCGCCATCAAAAGGAGGTTAGTGATGATTCTTATGGTTTTTGAATAGAATGAGTGATATTTTATGTGATAAACAATGATTTTCATAGAACCATTGTTTATAGACTAAGAAAATTTTGATTTCTTGCCATTTTGTATACGAAATGTGATGTTTTATGCGAAATTTTATGGTTGATTTGAGAATGTATGGATATGCACGTGTGTTGAAGATGATGAATTTGAAACTTTGTGTATTTTTGAGATGTTAGTCTCTATAATGGTTAATATATTATTGTGGATAAATAAGGATGTTGTGTAAAACCATTGTTGATTGGTTTGAGTTTAGGATTTAATTAGGTGTTGTTTGTTTAGAATGCATTGTTGAATTGTAGGAGTTTAGGGTTTAGTGTGTTGTTTCTTTGTGTTTAGGATTTAGGTTTATTCGAATAAAATTGTTCGTAATTTTGACAAATGATTGTTTGTGTAATCAACAAATGTAAACAGCATTTAACTGCCCATACATTCTGAATGAGAGTGTTTCATTCATTGCTCAACTCATCAGGCATAAGGTTAAAGTCGACACGGATTATAGTGTCGCGTCAGTTCAAGCCTATGTGAAAAAGATGTTAGATGTGGATGTTAATTATAAGAAGGCATGGCACGGAAGGCAAAAACTGATCGAGCTTGTTTATGGTGATTGGGTCTCAAATTTTGTGGATCTTCCAAGGTATTTTTTTTTTTATATTAATGCGTATGTTAGTATGTTAAGATTGTTTGGTTGTGTGTCATTGATTACATTCTGTTTAATTTATCATTTAGGTACTTTGCAGCACTTCTAAAGAGCAATCCGGGTACAATGGTAGAGTGAGAGTGGCAAAAAGATTGGACCCAGAAAGAAAGGACATTCAAATATGTCTTTTGGGCATTTAAACCTGCTATTGATACATTTTGGAAATACCCCCCGGCTGTTAGTATTGATGGTACGCACTAGTGTGGAGGTTACAAGGGGAAGTTACTTGTCGCGATGGTTAAGACCGCGAATAAACGTATATTGCCAATTGCGTTTGCGCTCGTAGATGAGGAGACCGAGAAAAGCTGGCATTCTTTTTGAAACATTTGAGACACCGGGTCGTGATGGATAGAGTTGTTTGTATTATATCCGACCGGCACAAAGGCATCATCACTGCGATGACCCATATGGAAGAATGGAACAAATATTGTCAAGCATATCATAAGTTTTGTCTTCGACACATCCGCAGCAACTTGCTAGCTACATTCAAAAGCAAGAGAATCCGACGGTTGTGTTGGGAAATGGACGAAAAGCTTTCATTAAGAAAATTTTAAAAACGCAGGCAAGAGTTACGTGAATTCAATGTGAAAGCCCATCGCTATCTTCGGGAAAATGATCTGTGCCAATGGACTCTTGTAAAGGATGGACACCATTGTTGGGGTAATTTGACGACGAACATATCTGAGAGTTATAACAACGTCCTCAAAGGTGTCTATTTCCTCCCGATAAGAGCTTTGGTGGAAGCAACTTTTCACAAGATCGTGCTTTTGTTCCTAGAAAAATATGAAGTATCGTTAAAATACATCACTCCGGTCCATACAGAGCTGTGGGAGGACTTTGTGAAATATGAGAAGAGAGACGCAGGTCACAAAGTTGATAGTTATCCGAATGCTAAGTTCAAAGTGACCACAAAAATGCGGTTAGGCGGTAAGGGTAACAACACACAAACAGCGAGATATCAACAGAAAAAATGTTCTTGCAAGAAATGGCAAGAGTATAGGATGCCTTGCTCACACGCACTAGCTGTGTGCCGTGACATCAAAGACCAATCAATCTAGTGGATCCACATTATAGGACGGTGGCATGGCGTGAACAATTTAGCGGTCGGGCTAACTTTAATCCGGTCCTCGATGAGAAATAATGGCCTCGGGCACATTGGAATCTCATCCCGGATTATGAACGGATCGTCATGAATGCTAGACCAGGGCAGAAGCAAAAAAAGAGGTTGAAAATGCAAATGGATTACAAAGGACGCAAAACACGAGAAAAATGTACCCGATGTGGCTCCCAAGATCATGTTGCATCTGTGTGTTCGAAATCCCACTGCCGAGCTGATAGAACCAGAGTCAACATCAATTGGGATGCAAATGGTGTCATTGGTGACTAGTTATGCATTAGTTATTGTCAAATCCGGTTGTGGTTGTTTTCGTTGTATTAGTTATTGTTAAACTTAAACTTGTTGTACTAATTTGGAGATTGTTGCGACCTATTCTACGGACATCGTATTAGTCTGAAAATGTTAGTTCCTGTTGTTTGCACTTTATAAAAAAACAGGAAATGGTGCACATGATAGAGATTTTTGATGTGTGTGAACTTCAAAAAAATCAGATTTCAAAAATCCGACTAGAGTTTAAACTCGGATTTTAGAAGTTCGACTAGGGTTTTAAATCGGATTTTCAAATTCTGATTTCTTGTTAAACGGATTTAAAGATTCCGATTTTTTAAGGAAAATCGAAATTTTACCAGAAGTCGGATTTCAATAAAAATTGGGAGATTTTAGCCAAATTCTCTGTTTTAAGTCAGAATTCAAGAATCCGATATCTTAAAGTCGGATTTGCCGAATCCGGTTTTGTCTCTAGTATATATTCGTTGACTTAAACCCTAGACTTTATTTTCTTCTTCTCTCTTCGACCTGCGTGACCCGGTGACAAAACCCGTCATTTTTTCCCAAATCAGCGGCCGAACCCTAGCTGCCGATTCACCCCAATCCTTAACACCCTAACCTCACCCCCAATCCAGTGCCTCCAATCGACTCCCGGCGACACCAAATCCGGCGCCTCCAACCGAAGCAAATCCGGCGCCTCATGTCTGCCGGTTCACCCCAAAACCGGCGACCCATCCAATCGACCTCCATCCCGGTGACTCGAAGCAATCCGGCGTTCCCCTCGTCGACTCTGCAATTCGGCAATCCAATACAACTACATGTATCTTGTCCTAAATAGGTGGAATTGCCCGCTCTCTTATGCAAATGTCCTCAAGGGCTATTTACCTCCGATCAGGGATCAATTAGCTCTTA